GTGTTCTAGGCTGGCAGAATTCAGCCGGAACCCATCGGCAGGCCACCACTATGCTGCTGATAGGGCCATTGCATACCTATACCAAACGCGTGGCTACGCTCTCTGCTACGATGGCAGCACCATTGACACGGACCAAATGCTCATTAGGGCTAGTGATGCCAGCTTCGCCGACGATTCCATCACACGCCGTAGTTCGCAGGGCTACATCCTGAAACTATTTGGGGGCCCTGTAGATTGGAAAGCAACAAAACAAAACCATGTCACAAAATCATCTACGGATGCCGAGCTTACTGCTGTTTCCAACGCCGTGTCAGAATTCATGTGGTGGCAACGATTGTTCACGTCACTGGACCTTGTTCTCGAAGGAAACAAGGTGATAACTGTCCTATGCGATAACCAACAAACAATTCGACTACTCAGCAAAACGGGCGGGCATTTGAATACATCACTAAAGCACATAAACATTCACAATCACTGGCTTCGTCAGGAAGTACAAGCCGGCCACGTACGAATTGATTGGGTGGCATCCGAACATATGATTGCAGATGGGCTTACGAAGGCCCTCTCTCGACAGAAGCACGAGCTGTTCGTTCAACAGCTTAACCTACAGGACGTCACTAGCAGGATCTAGAAATTGGACGTAGGAATTCACCATCTTTCGTTGCTGGGGGGTGACTCGGGTTGTAACAGCTACAACCTAGGATCAACAACTCATACGGTTCACGGTCACCTACGTACAGACTTGGAGTTGCTGGCATAGTAGCTGCCTACATGCCTAGCCAGTTACAACTTCTACAGAGAGGGGTTGGGGTACGGTGGCCTACCCTGCATAATGCTGCATACCGCTGCCTCCAATTAGTGCTTCTGCCTATGCATACAGTCACTTCCTACGTAGTATATAGTTTGGCCTTCGGGCCCCCGAAATAAGACAGAGTTCACATCAATTTTCAACCTGAGTAGTAAGCAATGTAATTGTTTACGCGTTTTGAATCTGCCGCACGGAATTGGTAATATACTTGCGTTTTGAGAGCCTCCCGGGCGTATTAACCTCAAGGAGCGGGAATGTAAATGTCTACGCTCTATGGATTAGGGCGTAGGAATTCGTGATATCCTTATGCCTTTGTGAGGCTTCTCGACGTATCAATCTCAAGCGGTGAGCAATGTAAGTATGCATGCAATGTAAAATAGCCCTACGGAGCTGGTTTCGTTTTGGAGTCTTTCAGAGTCTCCTGGCCGTATGACTTTAAAAGGACGAGTCTGGTCAATATCCATACATTGTGAATGGGGCCCTCGAAGCTAGTATGACTTTCGCCATCGAGACCCTCTTGAACTTATGACGTTGACAGAATTAGTGATGTAAATATCTACGGGTAGCAAATCGGCCACACGAAATTGTCGGTACGGTACACTCCTTTGACGATGTTAGACCTGGCTCAGCCTGCGGCTAGTGAGTTATACAGAAAGCAAAGTTGTTACTCTTCAATCCAGGCTTATGAGAGAAATCATAAACCACGAGTGGACTTTTCCTGGGCGCAGGTGAGCGCAGACGAGATCCTCGAGCGGGACGTATAGGATCGAGGTACAGTACTGGGTCATAAGTCTGGGCACACGGATTTAATGACTACTTGGCTCCATTCTTGCTCACTCGACATCACGGTGAGGAGCAGCCCAGCTAGTAAGCAACCAATCAATCAAGAGGCAGTCTAATTTGCACTTCTTGAAGCTTGACAATCGCGTGTGGGTTTTTGAAATTCTACGGGGGTACCCCAAGCAGTGGTAAAAGCGTGTGCACAGACTTATGACCTGTCACTGTAGGCTTTGGATAGACGTATTTGATTTCGTGTTTTGGACAGATTCGCATACATGTGAAGGAGCACTGCATATACTGTGCTTTCGAGGTGTGTGATGTACGTGAGCATGCAGCGTGAATCATTCACAGCGGAGTGTTGATGTCTACATGCATTGGAAAGCTTGCTGAGCCCACCAAGCTCGAGGCCACAAGGATGTACCTCTCAAGATTATTCGAATCGGAGCATGATTCCCAAAGACTTTGATATATCCTAAAACTGCTGTACTTCCCCTGGATATATGCATTTGAAAGAGAGCGAAATGTTCGAGCCTGCACGTCGCAAACTGATTGCATGTTGTCACGACACTCTTCATCTTTCATAGACCCCCAGGCTGCATGATATCTGACAGACGAACGATGTGCCGACGAAGATGCTGCGAATCAGGTATATGCATTAAAGTATGTATTAAAGTATATACTTTGAATCAAGCAAATAACCTTCACATATCCGCGGCCTTGAAGCTCATCTGATGCTCCATATACTCGAAAGTAAACGTAGATTTTGACAATGCACATGCTACACCGAGATACTCCTGGCCGTTTGAGCTCGGATGAGCACAGAATGTGAGACGAGAGAGGGTCTAAGTCAAGCTCTCATCTAGGCCATGTCGTGGAGGCCTTAGCATCGTACGCGTTCCAGATTAGGCGTTGACATTGAGAATACTTGTGTTTCATTGAGGCATTCCTGGCCATTTGAACGCTGAGGAATGTAATATGTAATCAAATACACATTTCGAATTACGCGTGGATATTGCCGATGTTGTCGAGACCTCACAATCACAAATGCACGATATAAAGCGTCGGCTTTGAAAGTACATATAGTTTGTTGAGATAATCCTGGCCGTGCGAGCTGCAAAGAATAAGGGTTGTAACGGAGTTGGCACTTTGAACCAAGCTCGAGTGCTTATGAACTCTTTACGTACTTATTGCTAGCCTGTAGAGGGTCTCGTAGGACGAAACAGCCGGCCTAAGATAGGCTCTATTGATGATTCACCCCAATCCCGATTCCCCTCAACTTACCACCTAGAGAAAACACTCCCAGAACACACCACTGAGCCCAGACTTACCTCGACATTAGGTGCTTCACAACCTCCTCCCACCGGCACTGTCACGGAACAAGGAGCTGTTGGTAGAGTACGTGAAGTATTGGAGAAGGAGAGAGCTCGAAGAAAGTGAGGCTATGTACAGAGGTGCCGTGCACCTACCATAGCCCTCACCGCTCTTACCTGATAATATTATGCCCGCATCAAGAGCGAAGAGCTGCTCTATCGAGCGCATGTACGCTCTGAGGGCTGCCATCATCTCCTTTTCTCCTAGTCATCTCCTCGAGGCACTCATCGCCCAACAGCTAAAGTCCAAAGTATCTACGAGTTAGGCCAGCCAAACGGACTCCATGTGTAGGGTAGCTAAAGCCGTGGAAGTCCCTTCATTCGTCCCTCACCGTATGAGATTGAGATCCCTTGCAACCCGTGCTATGGTAAAACTAAAAAGGTGGTGATATGAAATCAGGCACCCACAGGCACGTCGATATTGATGGACCTTGCACGGCCCCGAGGCGAGGTGCTATGGAGAAAGCGTGTCGCGCTAAAGGTCGAGCTGGGCTGGACGTGGGCGTGGACGTGGAGAGGTGGTGTTGTTTTTCAGGTTGGCGCGATAGAAAAGCGGGGACATCGAACGAAGGTTCTATAGACACTATTTGTAGGTTCGGAGGATGATGTAGAGACGAAAAGGGTGCATTTATTCTATATGATCTTCTTATAATCATCACTAAAGTCAGTGATCTATTCGTACTTCCCTACATAACCCACATCCTCCACCAAAACCCCAACCCCACCATGACTATCGAAAGAATATATTTGAGCTGAACGACCTCCACCCTCCCCATGGCGCAAGGCAGTACTGAAGACGTACTATTATTCAGTGGTCATGCCGTCCGTGCTTTTTGTGGGTCTTGCTACCTCGCTGCCTCGAGGTCTGGTGATCTTTTAACACCCCACCAGTGGGTGTAATCTTCTCTGGTACCCTCTGACCCTCGGGGCCCCCTGGCTCTCTCGGGCGCCCACTGGCATGACGGTTTTGTTTGATCTTGCACACTCCCGTGTGCGGCCTGCCGCCATAGAGAAGAGATGGGCCGCTTTGGGGAGTGTTCGATGTGGTTGGCAGACGCGACACTGCAACGATTGATGTGACGATCAACAGAAGAAGGAGATGAGGGAATGAGGTGAACTCGGCGGCTTGTTCGGAAAAAGACGTATGCATTTATCCTACCTGCTCGTCTATTAGCAGTCTCCGAGGGGAATGGGTGGGTTTGATATTTACCTAGCCGTTGTAGATCTTCTCAGCACTGATCCAACTCTATTAGGGTTACTTGCTTGTTGAAAGATGTTTGAGCTGAACGACCTCCACCGTCTCCATTGAGCTCGGCAGAGCTGAAGACGTAGTATTATCCAGACGTCACTCCGTGCTTAGTTTTCGATGAGCTTGCCGCCGCAAGCTGCTAGTTATTCCATTCGTGGCAAAAGCCCTCGGAGCCCACGAGCACGACGATTTGGTTTGATCTGAGCAAACGCCTCCTGTGCACTACGCTGGTGACGTGCATCGTAGGCACGGTTCGGATGGCGAGTGTTGTGAAGAAGAGAAGAAGAGAGGGGGCGTGCGGAAGAGCTTTTATGTTGCTGGGGGAGTGGGGGAGCTAGGACGGATTTGTGACGCATAGCAAGAGAACAACAAGCAGCAACGGCGGCAGCACACGGAGCTGTGGTGGGCAACAGGCTCGTGGGAATGAGACTAGAAGACGGCTTCCGGCTCGATAAAGAGCATCTATCTAGCTACATATGACGCAGATCGGCCTCTTGCTCTCCCTGTACGTGAAGCCGCCCATCTCTAAGGGTGAAGCCGTCCGCCTCTGTGAGGCTACGTAGATACAGCAGTCCAGCTACAGACTGACACCAGCTGTGCGCCCCTCAAAACAAGCAATTGTGGCCTAAACACAGTTGTAGTCACCAGTATATTGTTGAAACCAATGTGAAATGTATGAGCCGCAGTGAACCAGAGAGATGGGCAGTGGAAAGTCCACTCCCGGTCCACAACTCAAAAGATTCAATATTGTTCAACACCAGACAGGCAAGGCCATGGAGTGCGAGACCGAGGCCATGAATGATGAAAGCTCGCAAGTGTGTATTTCCCCTCCAGCCACAGTCCGCGAAGTGCGGCGGGCTGGGTGATGGAGGAGGGAAGAAATCGAAGCGGCGAGGAGGCTTTTGTATCGTGTGGGTGGGCGAGACTGGCGCTAAGCCTTTCCTGGCGATACCCTCGACGGCGAGGGCTTCAAGGTCAGCAGCCATCTGTAGGACTGATCATAGAAGTACACTCACTTAATCACTAAACTTCAACTCTTCTCTTGTGACCAGCTCCCTCCCTCTTCGATACTTTCTGAACCCTCCATCATGCCAGCCATCATCTGCCGCCACCCAGCGTCCCGCACAATCGACATTGTAGGAGCGCTTGACACCGAGGCGCCCGAGTTCTTCATCATGGAGAACGCCGATGGCACCTTCGCGCTCTGCTTGGAAGAGAGAAAAAGCTCTACATCTGCCGCGACCTCCTACCTTGCCATCCTCCTCCCCATCGCCATCCTCCTAGCTGTACTCTACTTTCACATCTTGCAACGGCGCCGCGTCTGAGCAGCTCCTGTTACACCACAACACCTTCTATATTGGTCGAGCGTAGCGATATCTTTGCCGGAGGGCCTGGAGCAGCGAGTCGTCTCGGAGCATTTGATTCTGCGAGCGTGCGGTCTGTCCTTGGAGGACATGAAATATAGAATCGTATGCATCAAAGAAGTAGCGCATGCAGCGCATGGCTGACGTAGCTTCCAGTTTGCATGGGAGTTTGGAAAAGCTGTGGAGAGTCCAGCGTAGTTTGGAGCGTGTCGGAATGTGGACGCTGGGGAGATGCGGAGAGGAGGACTCTTTTGGTAACGCATCCAAATCAATGCGAGCTACATGGACGATTGACTGACTGAGAAACTGTGTGTAGTGTACCAGTGAGCGAGGAATAGGAGAAACTACGAGACATAAATCAATGGGATAGCATGGAGCAAAATGATGGACAAACCTTTGGACCTCAAACCTTGATGGAGCCGGATGATTATCGAACATAGCCCTAGGATCAAGAGTGCAGCACTGCCTTGTCAGAGGGACTTCTAATGAAGTTCATCGCCGTCCAAAAGACATACAACGTTCCTTTGATCTATGGTCGATGAGCATCGGAGACACAGGGGCACAGCAAAAGCGGACCGCAGCCTGCACGTGACATCTGAACAGTCAGGACGAGAAGGTTGGCAGATTCATTCGATCGACAACCAAAATCATATACACTCTAGCAACGGTCGTGGGGAGGTAGCCAAGGGTCTAAGACACCCCTTGAAGTTGGGACGTCAGTACGTAAGCATTGATCTAACCAGCAAAAGGAATTTGGAACCGTGGAACGCTAACATACTGAACTCCAACTTTATCTCAACCTCCAACTCCCCTTAGTACCATCCCCGTCGCGAGCAAAGCGACACAGCATGTACGGGTCAGAATACCTCCACCGGCTCCATCATGCTGTGCAGCGCTGAATCCGTGGTATCTTCAAATCCCGCTCGTCTCTGCTCTGGTCGTCCAAAAAGCCATCGACCCACCAAGTTGCGGACGACCTCCGGTTACGGATCTTATCCCCTTGCACTGGATACCCCTATGTCCAAGTGTGATACAACTTATCCCCCAGAGCCCACCAACAGAGACGAATGATTGATCTTGGCGTGCGCCTTGTGCGGATCGAGTATGCCATTGCCAGAGCCACATACTCGACCGGCGCATGCCGTAAGATTGATGCGAACTTGAGTCAAAGACCACAAGCTGGAAATAATTCGTCGCTCAACTTTCTGCGAATGATTAGCAAGCCAGCTTCGACGCGCCAGCACAAGGCCTGCGTCGCCGTAGCCAGAGATGTACGGGTCAGAACACCTCCACCGTCCCCATTATGCATTGCAGTACTGAGTACGTGGTAACTTCAAATCCCGCTCGTCCTCGCCGCGTTGTCGGCCGTCATTTCTCCAACAACTCCGATTACGGTACGTCTCCCACTGCACTGGGCCTTTCCCTCGTTAATCCTGTCCTTTTCCCAACAGCTGGTTCCCCATCCAGCAGCCCACCAGCGAGAACGAATTATCAATCTTGGCGTGCGAATGTCGACTGTGCCACCGCCGAAGCAGACAAAGTCGAACATCGCGTGCCTTGGCTTTACTTCAAGCTGCCCTCTGCTTCTGCAACTTGTCTTTCGACTGTTCGTATCTGTAAGTGGTCAGCAGCTCAACCCCGAGGCCCCAGTACCAGACTCATGGCTTCGTGGTCGAGAAAAAGTATGTACGGGTCAGAACACCTCCACCGGCTCCATCAAAGGCTGTGCAGAGCTGGATCCGTGGTAACTTCAAATCCCGCTCGCCCTCGCTTGTCGTCTTTCGAGCCATGCTCGTCGAGTTCATGACGACTTCCGATTACGGTATCGATTTCCCCACTGCACTGGGTGCACCCTATTAGGTGTGCTTTTTGGTTCGTCCGAACTCAAATCCAGCATCCCACCAGCGAGGACGAATTGTCAATCTTGGCGTGCGCACGGGGAAGTCGAGGATGCCACCGCCGAAGCAGACATACTCGGCCGGCGCGTGCCGTGGTTTCGACTCGGAGACCCAAAGTATTACCGTCATCTTTCAATCACCAGTCTTTCTGATCTTCCAGCTCTTTCTTCATCCAATCCTGCAGCTAATTAGCAATCCGGCCCCGAAGCTCCAGCTCTAGGCTCGCCGCCCCCGTGGCCGAAAGAATATGTACGGGTCAGAACACCTCCACCGTCTCCATCATGCAAATGCAGTGCTGAAGACGTGGTAACTTCAAATCCCGCTCGTTCTCGCTTCTTTTCCGATTACGGTCGCGTTTTACACCCCCGTGCATGAGGTGGCCCTTCACCCTGGGCGGGCGGTTTCTGGTCAAATGCAAGATTTGTTATCGCTTTCCCCCAAGATCCCACCAGCGAGAACGATGTTATTGATCTTGGCGTGCACAAGTCGAGGATGCCATTGCCGAAGCAGATATGCTCGGCTGCGCGTGCCGTTGGAAGCTGTTTCTTGAATGCGGTGGATGTTGCCTTGAGGGGGGTGGAGATATTTGAATGGTACAACGACAGCCTCACGGTATCGCGTTGGCCGCGGAAGGGCGTAAAGGCGAATCATCGACGAGGAGTGACCGAAGCGCAAAGGCCCGGGGAGTTTTGAGACGGAGAAAGATCTTTGGAAGAGCCCGGAATGCAGAACGATATCGGAGTGGCCGGCGGCATCAACACGTTTGTTAATGGTGCTATTGATTGCTTGAAGCTTATCCTGTGCGTTCAGGTTAGCAGATTTCCAAACCATCAAGCACCTTATCATCGCCCACCTACCCGAAACGATTCCTTTCTTTGGCCGTAGAGACTGTAACGCCACATTCGGAGTTCGAAAAGTTAGCAGTCATCCGCAACCTCTTCGTCGAGCTGGAGTATACTCACCCACTCAATCCCGGTCTCCATGCCGGACGCCGGTTCTATCTTGTCATTTCCACAAGCCCACAGGGAGTGCGGCTATTAGAAGAACGCCACATAGTTGATTTGGAGCGTGCCGAACGGAGGTTGGGGAGAGGATAAAGATCCTTGGAGCGAAACGAAAAAGTAAAATGGCGCACTCGAAATCGCTACTGTCTTCGGATTCTGGTTCTCTATTGAAATCGTCAGCTTCAATGTCTCAATAATCTCCAAACGACTAGGTTGATGGTATATGTCTGAGCCTGGGCGTCCAAGCCACACCAACGATTGTTCCCGATGCTCCATTTGATAGCTTGTGTTTTCTCCTTATATGTTTCAAGCACTGCTATCGGAGTCGGGGTAGTGCCCAGCGTCACATCACCGCGAGGGCTAAGAGGATCTGGGTTCCACCCAGTGGAGATCCTCCGCCACTCGTGTGATTTCTTTTGTTCTAGGCACTGCCATTGAGAGTGCAGCTATGTGGAAGCTGGCTCGGAATATTGGCAGTGCCGGAAGTGTTTGGAGAACACGTGCAGTCGCATGGAAAAACCGTTTGAAGGGGCGTAAGAAATTGGGATCACCTACCTTTGTTGCAAGAGTATCGTCGTCGGAGCATTGTGTTCCATCTCTCGTTGACTGCTCATCGGAACCTATTATCATCGTCAGCTTGAGCGCATCACTCTCCTGACAGAGGCCGAGAATTGATGGAAGATGTATGAGTCTGGGCGTCCAGTGGGGCCACTTAATCTGCGATCCCGATTCTCCATTGATCGAGCTAGGAGTCGGGGTAGTGCACCAGCGTCAAGTACGCCACGAGGGCTAAGAGGGTTCCAGGCCATGCAGATACCTCTGCGGGCCGATCCTCCGCCACAACGAGGAACAATTTTCAATCTTGGCACCGCTCGGAAAGAATGCAGCTACGAGAACGCTGGCTCTGAAAGATCGTGCGGTGCCGAGAGTCGGGAAGGCTTGAAATTGACAGTGCTGTTGAAAGACTAAGGAAGACTTACTCCGCAGGACACCCGATCGCGCCATCTCGAAGTGCGTTCCTAGCATAGGGTCCCAAAGCCTACTCAAGTCGTTAGCTTCTGACTTCCATCTTCTCAAAAGCGGGTACGCTTGAAACCAAAAGATGTCTGAGTCTGGGCGTCCATTGCACATCTTTCCGAGTCTCCATTGATAAACTCCGGAGTCGGGTAGTGCACCAGCGTCACGTACGCCGCGCGGGTGTTAAGAGGCTCGGATCCCATGCCGAGAGCTCATGCGAAGGAATCATCGCTCACGCAGGGCGGTCCTCCACCACAACGCGGGATAGGGTTTCAATCTTGGCACCGCTCCGAGCGAGCACGGCTATTAGAAAGCTAGCTCTTGAAGAGACGGTGCCGACGGATTGGAAGCTTGAGAGCGTGGAATGTGAAAATGAGTTGGGAAATGGCCGGAAAGGAGAGATAGAGTATTACGCTGCTGTCGAACCAACGAGATACATTGCTCGGACGTTGAAACAGGTTACCGGAGCCTGCTCAAGTGGTCAGCATCTCATCTTCCACGCTCTGAGAAGCAGTTAAACCTGGAACCAAAAGATGTATGAGTCTGGGCGTCCAAAAAAGAACAAAACTACGGTCCGATTCTCCATTGATTATCTCCAGAGTCGGGTAGTGCACCAGCGTCACTGACACCACGAGGGCTAAGGGGGCTCTTGAATGGGCTTCTCAATCGCAAAAGGGCGGCCCCCGCCCACAACGCAGGTCGAACTCAATCTTGGCACCGTTGTCGAGAGCACGACTATGAGGAAACCAGCTCGAACGAAATCTTGGCACCGTTGTCGAGAGCACGACTATGAGGAAACCAGCTCGAACGAAAGCGGCGCCGGAGAGTCGAAGAGTTTGAATGCGCGGTGATGCCAAAAGGAATGACGAAGTAAAAGAGGAATACCTACCTTGCTACTGGAAGACAAGTATGAGGAGTGTGATCGCGTTCGCGATGGTAGATAAACCTTACCGCGCTTTCGTGAAGGAATAATTGGATCTGGAAACAAAATGTGTGAGCTGGGCGCCCAAACAGATACTCCAATTGATCCTCCGATTCTCCATTGATTTCTCTGGAGTCGGGTAGCGCACCGACATCACGGACACCAAGATGGCTGAGAGGTTCCTGGCCGCAGAGCGGCGACCTCCGCCACAACGCAGGTCGGGATTCAATCTTGGCACCCCTATCGAGAGCATGCGACTATGAGGAAGTCGACTCGGAGGGAGGGAGTGGTGCCGACATGGGCTGGTTCTTGGCGAAGAAGAGTGAAAAGATGTGGCAAGACTTACATCGAAAGGCCTAATGGGGGCAATCAGGACTTAGAGTCACACTCCCCTCCTGAGCAATCGACTTAGGGTCCCGGATTCTATCCTCATTGTCAGCTTCGCCATTCTGGGGCTCCTGAGAGGTGTGAATCTGGCATTGGAAGTAAAGATGTCTGAGCTGGGCGTCCATTTGTCCATTTGGACGGCTGGCACACGGGCTCAAGCTCGACTTTCCATCTAGTCGGAGTCGAGGTAGTGCCCAGCGTCGGAAGACCTGCACGGGAAGAGGAAACGGCTACCGCGGATTAAATCCCGATCCTCGACCACAATACAGTTCACTCTTGGCACCGCTATCGGGAGCACAGCTATGGGGAAGCCGGCTCGGATGAAAGAAGCGATGCCGTAGCTTCGAAGAGTTCGTCCAATTGCGCGGTACCGAATGTCGAGAGGCTGGGTCCGTGTTGGTGCCCTAAAAGAAAAGACTTACTTTGCTGCGAGACCCGTAGATGAGCTTCATTCGCGTTTTCATCGAAACCTGTGGTCAAGTCAGTTTCTCCGCCTCTCTCGAAGAAGCAGTGGGAGATTTCGGGGAGTAAGGATGTCTGAGCTGGGCATTATGTAATGTTGTGTGGAGATGGGATAGTCCAGCGTCACGGACCCTGTGCGTCAAGATAGCTCTTCCCGCAATATGCGGCGGCCCTCAAGCACAACACAGGCCGTTGGTTTCACTCTTGGCACCGCCAGCCGACACACGACTATGAGGAAGTCGGCGCATAGAGATGGCGGTGCCGGAATTTGAGACGAGTAGGGGTCTCGCCCGAATGATGAGGAGTCAAGGGAAAAGGTCGTGGAAACTTACGTTGCTGTCTCTACGTCCTTCTTCAAATCCAGCTGCAGACCTCTCTAGTCGGTCTGTGAGGGAGCCGCGGTGTTCACGCGAGATTGCCGAGCACGTCAAGCTGTGAAGGAGATGACCTCCCTGGGCGATGAAGGCTTGAGGAAGAGACGTCAAAGAGAAGTATTCAGCTACCAGCCACCGTCGGCGATCCATATGATACCGAGTCGATCTGGATACCAAGTCAGCCATGCTCGTTCAAAGAAGAGCCAGAAACTCACCAACGGCAGACTCGCGAACTGCTTCGCCCCAAAGAAGAATCAGGTGAAAGGATGTATGAGCCAGAATCCCACTTGCTTGCCGACAGGAACCCTATTAGCTCACGCCTCCATAGCGAGTAGGGATGGTGTGGTAGCATCTGGCGTCACGTCAACTTGCAGGGCAGCTGGGATCTTACGAAACTCTGAGTCTCGGGGCCGTGATACTAGCAGCCACCTAGGCCTACTTCCCGCTCTGATGCCGACGTCGATCCTGCGCCACTGCAAATGACTAGCTCCATCTTGGCACCGCCTATTGGAATGAAGCTATAAGGAAGCTAGGTTCGGAGATGAAGCGGTGCCGGAGTATATTATCTTGAAGAATTGAAAGAGAAGAAAGTGATCAGTGCAAAAGGATGTATGAGCCAGAATCCCACTTGCATCATCGGTCAACTCCCATGCTCACGCCTCTACAAAGAGTAGGGAAGGTGCGGTAGCATCCGACGTCACGTTAACTCGCAGGGCATCTAGAGTTCTATACGAAGCTCTGAGTCTCGGAGCCAGCAGGAAAAGCCCTTGGGCCTACTTCCCGCTCTGATACCAACGTCGATTCTGTGCCGCTGTAAGTAACTACCTCAATCTTGGTGTCGCCCATTTGAACGGAGCTACGGGGAGGCTGGGCTCGGAGGTAAGGCGGCGCCTAGGCACATCACCGCGAGAAGTTAAACAAGAAGAAAAAGAAAGAGGAGGGGAAAAGATTGATTCTTCGACGAATGAATTGGAAGTCAGAAGAGAAAGAGATCGATCGGAGAGATGCCCAAAAAGAAATATGCATCACGAAAATATTTGTGAGCTGAGGCGACCAACTAAGACTAGTGGCGGTTTCAATACATCTTCTCTTTTGCCATTTCCAGATCTCCATAGCAGCAGGAGAGACGTAGTATGCCCCAGCGTCACCCCGTCAACAGGATCCAGGGCTCCTGACGACGCTAGTCATGGCCTGCTGTCCCTATCATTCGAGTGGTCGGCCCATCGCCACTGCATACGACAAAATTGATCTCGGCACGCCCACAGGCGAAGAAGACTATGAGGAAGCCGGCTTCGATGTAATATGGGCATGCCTGACAAAGGCACTAAAAGCTTCAAAGGGGGAAGAGTCCTCGGAAAGAGAGAAGAGGAGAAAGAAGGTGGATTGAGAGGGGCAAGAGAACGGAATTACCATGGTTGACTTCCTTGATGTAGCCGTTGAGCCTTCCGGAGGTTACCCGGAAAACGCAGTTGGCCGAGACGCACTATCACTATCATGTTGTCAGTGCCTATGTCCGTCAATCGTCGAAAGAAGCTGGTCGAAATGAGCGAATTGAGAGAAATCTTGGCAAAAGTGGGGAGATGTATGAGCTTGGAACACCCGGGCATGCAAATCTCTTTGTCATCCATTGTAGGGTAATTTTCTAACATCCTTAGTGCAGTGCCTTGAATGATGGGCCTTCTCCAGCGTCACTACTGCGCGCGGGTCCGATAGGTCTTCTCAGAAATTAATCTGAGGATCTATCCACATCCGCTGCCTACGCAGCCTTTTTTGATCTCCGGCACCCTGGTCTGTGCAAGGCTATTGAGAAGCCAACCACTGGCGACGGTGCGATGCCGGGTTTTGCGGAAAATAGAGGTGTTCGGACATAGTGAAATGGGCGGGGAAGGTACCATTGCTCTGGATGGAGAAGATGTGCCACGTACCATTTGAATGCAGTGAGCAAAACATCGAAAGCGCGCACCCTTCGAAGAAACCAATTATTGAGATCCCTAATTTCCCAAGCGTTAACCCGAGCGCACAAAGAATATCCGAAAACATGGGTCGCGTAATTGCAAACTCAGATAGTCGAGAATCGTCATGATTCAGCAACAGCCTCGAAGAATCATCACGGTGGGAGAAGAGGAGAAAGCGAAACGATCGATCGACGTACCTGTGGTAGCCCCTCCAAGATTGCGCCCATGAGACAGAATGATACTGAGGCAGAGAAGGAACGAACCGCAGTCACTACACAAGGACTGATGATTCCCTCGATTTCTCCAAATCAGCAAGAACCCCAATCGAACAACATCGAATGAAAAATTGGAAGAGCTCCGACTCAGACATTTTCGTGTGTCGTCAGGCCTCAGTACGAAAAACACAATATGGATATCATCACAACCGGAAGGTGAGAAAGAGGATGAAGATCGAGGAACGTACCTCCAAAAATTTGGACCTTCCCCGAGATTGCGCTGACCGGTACTGCTCATGAGATGTCAACTAATTGATCCCTGAAAACATTCGAAACAAAATAATGGGGAGTCCGGTCCTCAGAAAGTGGTGTGTATATCATCAGGCCTCAGCACGAGAAGTTCCAAATTACACAATATCACCACAACGGGCAAGTTGAAAGGAGAAGAAAAGTTAAAGGGCATACCCGTGGTAAATGAGGAGGATACGCAAAATCCGAATCATGGAGCGAAGTTCGAAAGGCCTCTATCTTTGAGAGCATTAGTAAAGTCCAGTTGGCGCCAAGGGAAAAAAATGAACTGACAAGGTGTAGCGAAGACCGAGATCAAGTATATGCGAGTTGGGCCGACTGAACAAACCCCATTCTAGCAGGGCAGGCAGCTGAAGTCGCGGTTCGCCCTTCTTCCGTCGCTCGTTGTGCTCGAAATGATAATTTTGATGGCCCTGCTCTGCCATATGACGCCGAGTAGCGATGGGTAATTTTCCACATTTTCCAACATCCCTCTGAGCACAACGTTTGTGTTTGATCTTGGCCGAGTCTGGAGCGGGAGCTACGAGAGTTGGGCTCATGAACTGTGGGCCTTGGGGAAAAGGGAAGGGGAAAAGGATGGTGACTAATGGGACGAGAAAGAGGCTTACGAGACTGAAGAGCTGAAAGAAGAGGTAGTTGGATGCTGAGGAAGTCGCAATCCTGAATTCTAACCTAAGGATTACTTCTATGAGAGTCGTAGCGTAGTCTAAGGAAGACTGAACCGCACTTCAAAAGAAGCTAAGGAGATCGCAGACGAAGAAAGACGGCCGAATGAGATAAGAATGGAGAAGAACTGACGAAGCTGGTAGTGTCATTGGAAGATGTGGACGTGAGAGGAATCGAGTACGCCTACTCGGGAGAAGATCTCGGACGTCTGCCTTATTGTCAGCAACCGCCAAACCAACGATACATCAATGAAGAGATCACGAAACAGGAAAAAATATGTCCGAGCCAAGACCACCTTCAAACACCATCAAGTGCAAGGCAGTGCTGATGCTGGGGGGTCTATCTTGGCGTCTAACGTCCTCTTTCGGCTGTCTGAAGGCGCGCGCTGCCTCGCCAGCGCACTATGGTCAAGAGCAGGATAATATTCTAGTAGGGACAGCAGCCTACAAGCCAACCGGAACCAAAGGACGACGTTTTTTTCTTTTTTGGCAAGTGGTCTTTAAACAGGGCTATGAGAGAGCCGAGCTCGTTCGACTATTCCTGCCTGATGCTGGAAGACGAAAGGCGGCGAAATGGGAGGAGAAGACTGGATGTGGGACCTACAAGTGAGCGCTAGCTTGATTCTAGTAACTCCGAGTACCGTACAACTCGATGTGATACCTACTGACAAGTCGAAATCGCTTCCAGACTCGCAAATACTCCACGTCCGTTATGTTATGCCAGATTCTATTACTTTTCATCCTCGCCGAGTGACGACAAGTGCTCGATATCTGTAAGGGGTACATGGGAAGGCTGTCGAGGAGCCGTGCTCGTGTGGAGTGTCTTGTCTAGCGTCAAAGACGTGCGTGGTTCCAATGATCGTATAGAGGAGGAATTCGGAAGAGCGTGTAGAGGAAGAGGAGGAAGAGAAGGCGCCGCTAGGATTCGAGGGGATAGACCGGCCTGCAGAAAGATTAGCAAAGATGTCTGACTGGGCCCACCTACTGGCGCCATCGAGTGTGGAGCAGCGCTAACGCCAGGAGTTCCATTCCGAAGTCGTCGCCGCCTTTGTCCTGATTAGGATTTACAGATCCTGCCCGACCTAACCCGAAAAGAACAGATGCCCGCAGGCTTGAAGCGGACTGCGGCGACATTTTTGACCGATCTTGGCAAGAGGCATGAGAGCGGCATGGCTATGGAAGAGCCAGGCTCGAGTGTCCGTACCTTGCCTCGCACTGAAAGAGCAGAGGGAGGAGGATGGAGCGAGAATGAAGGGAAGAGAAGGAATGCAGACATACCAGGGATGAAAACCAATGTCTCAATGACGTTGCTGAGCTGCCGAAGAGTTAGCAAAGATGTTTGACCGTGAACCGCCTACTGGCACCATCGAATGCGGAGCAGCGCTGACGCAAGGGGATCTATTCAGCAGTCGTCGCCGCCGCCTTTGAAGATAAAGAGCCGCTGCCCCGACTCATAGGGCAATACTACAAAAATACCGCATTGCGGCATGAGCTGAAATCCGATCACGAACCACAGCGGCGACTTTTTGTTTGATCTCGGCAAGAGGCATGAGAGCGTCATGACTATGGAAGAGCCAGGCTCGAGTGTCCGTACCTTGCCTGGTGCTGAAGAAGCAGATGGAGGAGGAGGGCCGGAGAACCGAAGAGGAATAGATGGAACAAAGACGTACCATTGTGCTGTCCTGCTGAAGAGTTAGCAAAGATATCTGACCGTGAACCGCCTACTGGCGCCATCAAATGCGGAGCAGCGCTGATGCAAGGGGATCTGTTCAGCGGTCGTCGCCGCCTATGAAGAAAAAAAGCCGCTGCCCCGGCTCATCGCCGCGAAGGGCGTCCACTTGATAACCGCATTGCGGCGAAGCTAGAGCGGTCGGGGGGCCACGGCGGCGACTTGTTGTTTGATCTCGACAAGAGGCATAAGAGCGTCATGGCTATGGAAGAGCCAGGCTCGAGTGTCCGTACCTTGTCTGGATGCGATGGGAAGGAGTGTGGAAGGCATAGTGGCTGACAACAATTGAGAGAGGACATAGACATACCATTGTTTGGGGCCTCGAAAGCTCGAAGCAGACCTACTCGACGCTGGTAGACGCCACGTCCGGATCGACCCTACGATGATGAAGTTAGCGAAGTCTCAAGCAAAAGACGTCTACGAAACGGCAACAACAAGCGCTGAAAGAAATGTACGAGCAAGAAAACCTGCGCCGCGTGACCTGTCACGACGACTATAGCCTTTGTCGGTTCGGGTCGTTAATCCGAACCAGTTGTGGTCCATTCTGCGTCGCTCGACACCAGACTGTTGGCGAACGGTTCTTAGCCAGCTCTCATTGTGAGAATCCAGGCCCACAAGAGGCGACCGCTGAACAAGCTCCGGGCGATGTTGAGTGCTCTTGGCTGGCTCTTTGCGAGTCGGCATGGGACAAGCACGACTCCACTTCGAGCGAGGCCTGAGTGTTGTGGTGGTGGAGATGGAAGAGATTGAAAAGAACTTAAAGAGCTGGACACTTACGTGGCAAGCACGGGCTATCCTCCAGAGCATTGTGGATGTCTCGAGGCATTGAGGAAGAAGCGAGCCGTTTTGTGTTGATGACAGAGTGTGTGGGCGTGGAAAGAGGGGTGTGTCGTGAAGGCGACGAGGCGTGAAATGAACTGGCAACTCACAGTGGGCACACAGGCTGTCAGGAAAGCCTTTGCAAAGCTAATGATGATGAAAAAGCTGTGCCTACTGCGGATGGAGGGTGTTAGTGATGGAATGAATGAGTGTGGGTTGGAGACGCCACGATCGCAGCCACGAGCATCAAAGGCAAGAAGAGTCCAGAAGGCGTCGAAGAACTTACAGTACAGACCGACGAAGCCTCTAAGCTATCCGAAGGCGCTCAAGCAGCTGCGGGTTGCTGTGCCACGACGCTGTTGGGGATGGGTTGAGTAAGTGCGGAGCGAAGGTGGCGATGGAGGCCACCTGGACCACAAATCCCGACAGGAGTCCAAAACGCGTCAAATAGCTTTCAAGACGCATCTGTGGAAGGTCAGTGAGATGCAGAGAATCTTTTGGAGAAGTGCACAGCAGCTGTTAGATGGCGTTGTGGATGAGGGTTGTGGGAGGGAGACGGAGAAGGCTTTTTCGCCGGCTGGAGATACCACGGGCCTAGGAGACTTCAGAGGGCACCAGGAAACTTACGCTGACGGTCTACAGAGGATATGGAACAGGTTGAGAAGCCCTTGAGGCAGTGAATAGGAAGGTAACGATGGTGTTGGTGATGATGGTGGTGGGTGGAGGAGAGAAGATGAAGGAGAAGCAGAGGCGACAGAAAACCACAACAAAATGACAAGCCACGCACAGCCGAGCTAGCGCCACAGCATCACCCCATTGAGGGATCACCCTCATTGTATTCACAGCATAGGCTCTGGATAGCATAGCATTAATGCAAACCCCCCCTTTATTCATTCTCGTGCTACCTAAGCCGCCAGTGACACCGACTGAGGCATTGCTACGACCTTGAGGCTTCACAGCCATGATGGGAGACAGAGAGAGATAACAGCATCGGCAGGTAGCTCACCAAGACGTGCCTTGAGTAAGGGTGCATCTCCTCCCAGGAAACAACATGTTCTTGTCCACCCCTCGCTCAGTGAACAGAGGGGACAAAGAGGCCTGACGAAGGCAAGACTCCCAAGAGACCTGTTCTCTCTCGGCATGCTGACTCTCTGTGACCTCGAGTCTCTTGAGCTTTTTGTAGACGCCTTTCACTGACTGCCGTAGCATTCTTGGATCAGCCGCTCCCCTCGTTCTGCCCTCTACCGGCCCTCTCCCCGATGTACAATCAAACACCCATATTGTCCCCAAAGAAGCAACAAGCGGAACCTTGAACAGATTAGTTTAGGATAACCAGTGGAAGGGTCAGGAAGCAGAGGCTGGGGGGCCTGCAAGCAGTGCAATCACAATTAGGTCCTCGAAATCGTCGGAAACACGATGGTGGCAAAGAGTGCTCCCATACTGGATTCTCCCCCGTCCAGTCCAGGAGCTCATCCTATTCTTCGATCCAGACGAGCCTTTCCAATAGAAACCTGCACGATTAGCCTCTCTTTCTGCTTCGGACAAGCAACCATGCAGACAACGAGCCAAACGGACCTCGAGCCTCGAAACTCTAGCGCGAGCTTGCTAGACACCCTGGACCAAGACAAATATCTTCAGCCCAGGATCGAATCCACAGTCACACCGGCTCGTGCGGTTACCAGCCAATTGGGCACAATGGCGATCCCGATGAATTCACAACATACTCCTGGAGACCCACGGGTCACACATTCTCAGTGGGAAAGCGGCAGGCCGGCTCATCCTAGGCGAATACTCAGGGACAATGCGGCAAGCTGGCAGGCATGAATTGGAGAAACATTGGGGGGACTATCTGAGTTCTGGAACCCCTAGGGCTCGTGGAGCTCTCGGCAGAAACAGCTTTGTCCAGAAACACGATCGCGAAACACCTGCGCGCAAAGAGTTCAGGATAAGAACTGCCCTCGAGGCTGGCAGGCACCCTTGGTGGACACCGATAGGCCCCGGTGTGTGGACAATCCAGTTGGAAGGCGGCAGGACAAGGTCCATATAGCATATCGGAGCTCCCTCCAGGTGGATGGCTCCGCGTCCGATCTCAACTATACTTCTGGTTGAATTCGATCCCAAGGCTAGTAAGGCATCTTGAAACTCTTTCTTGAGCTTTGTTGCATGCAAGGGCTCAGACGAGAAGCCTAACAGACAAACAGCATTCTTATGGTGGTAGCTGCTGGACATGCTGGACGTTAATCCAGTTTACTACCAGTGCGTTAGCAACCATCATAACTCTGACAACATGGTCAAAAGACCACGCTGCGCTGGGATGTGCGGGCACGCGTAGTGTGTCTGTCGAACGCTGCCATGCTCAGAGCCAAGGTTAAGTCACAATACCTTCTGCCACCTGGTGTCCGCTCAGAGGGGCCCGTTAGAAACTAATATATACCACAGGTACAATATTACCTCCGAGCTGCCTTCGAAAAGGGACCTACGCTTGCGAAATATAAATCGGATAGACACAATGAAGAAGACAGTCGAAGATTAAGCACAACGAGATGATGGAAAGAAGACAAGAAAACGGAGAATTTGTGAGAAGAGAGAAATATAGGATATGACGGTTAAGCATAAGAAATGGCAGGCATGACCTCCACGAAGAGCCTCTATGCAAAAATTTGCAGCCTCCAAGCCCACATTAACGTCCTCAGAGCTTTAGAAAGTACAGAGCCCGGACATACCTTGGCGGACTCCATACGGTGCCAGATAGACTTACTCGATCCCATATTAGAGCCCTGTTAGTTAGGAGTCAGCGGTTACAATTATCGAATTAAATCATCTGGTAAAAGTATCATATTTACCGCCTTTACCACCATGATAGCATATCATGGTGGTAGATGGTCGATGGCATGCCGCAAACCTTCGAGTAGCAGTAATGGGGCTCATAAACCCTGGTTCGGCGATACTACGTTGAAGATGTTAGCATACCTCTTTGGCAAGAGTGAGCTCATTACACGATACCTGCCTCCGGCGTGCGATTTGCATCCTCGAGCTTATTAAATGTCGTCTGGACTCCTTTTTCTCTTTTTCGTATTTCTTCTGATGTTAGACTTCTGGCGTCGGAGCCTGCTGCCCGTACGCTAGTTGGAGAGATTAGTTTTTGTTCAAGTTGTTTGATGGCCAGAACTAAGGGAAAAGATGTTCTTACCGCATCGTCAACTCTTTTCCAGTAGTCGGTCATTACAATATCTATTCGGTCCACAGCCTTTCAAGACTCCCCTCTCTTCAAACTTTCCATGGCATGCTGGACCATCTCACGCAGCATCTACTACACTAGGGAGACAGGATCCTGTCAAATCCCCGTCACAGAATCAGATTTCCAACCACTCTTACAGCTTATCATGGCCCCTCGGATATATTGCTTCCGAGTACTCTGAAGCGGGTTTGATGTGCGCATTCGTGGAGGCCTCATCACGTCCTGACTGTGGATAAGTTGCTGAAGAACTCGAAGCGACGTTGACAAAACATCCACCACGATCGCACATTGGTATCAAGCCTACCAAGATGCGATATACCGACGAGAAATGAGGTTGTCTCGAATGGTTTGGTTTCCGTGCAGCTCCAAAAGTTTCTCAATCACCACCTCTAGATCCTTCGCTTGCGATGTCTTCGCAGCTTTGTTGTTGAGCAGTCCTGCGACCATCTGCTGGAACGCAGAGACGTGCGTTTCAACCAGCTCTGACCTGTCTTCGCAGCGAAGAGTAGAAGGGGTCGGCATGTCCCAACTGCGTCGGTAGCGATGGTGCGGTCATTGCGTAGCGGTCGTGTGAGGCAGTACGGCAGCGTAGCTATTCAAATAGCTTTGTGAGAGGATGGTGGAGATGCGATATAAGTTGCTTGACTACAACATATGGTGTTGCCATTATGAGTGTGGACCGGAAGACAAGAGGTGGAAATAAGGTTACGGGTCTGCGGCATCAGGGGTCCGTCAGCGAGAGTGGAAGGCGACGAGGTCAACAATATACCACGAATACGCTGCTCAACGCACTGGCAGCATGGAGTTTCCGGCAAGAGGTACCTCCCCTACGCGTTCTGAGATGCAGCAGTCTCTATCTTTTCCTACCGGCGCGGCAATAAGGTAACGGCGTTGAAGCTCGCTAGGGGAGGCGCGAGACGAGGCGAGGCGCCAAAGACTTTGCCATCTTTTGCGAAATAGATTACTGACATCCAGAGTATGAATTCGCCTTATGCGCCGATCGAGCATATCTGCGATTGACGGGCAAAGACTCATCAGGTGCTTGCATTGTTGGAGAGGACGGAGCGAAGATACGAGCCGCCATCGAAGCTTTACCATCGTTGGCTGCGTATATCACACCACAAGCACGACTTCCATATACGCGCTAATGAAGAGTATCATCTCAGACGCACGTATGAAAAGCACGACGGTTTTGAATCGCTAGAGAGAAGGGAAGCAGCACAGAACGCCGGGGCGCTAAAAGGACAGGCCACAGGTCGCGAATTTCTCCTCACCTAAAGCTCACAAACAACCTTAGTTAGGGACAAAGAAACACACGTCTACGACTAAGGTACACAGAGTGCCTTCGGGATCGTTCTTACAATCGACAATCGGCTCAAGCTTTGCGGCCTCATCGCTCGTGTCCTAGCAAACCCATTGACCCGCATCGACGCAGCGTCTCGACCATCAAAACCACAAGGATCATCTATCACATTCCCTACCTACCCATATTCCAGGATCCAGGCCTATAAGACTCGCCATCAGCAGCCCTCGTCGCGCACATCGCAGACCTCTCCCGCAACTGCCCCCACATCCCCATCATCGTCCATTCATCACGACCTCAGCGCCATCGCCATCGCCATCTCCATTTCGCTCTCCCCGGTTCCCACGACCATTGCAACCTCCCTCATGACCTCGTCGTCGTCGTGCTCAAGGCATGAAGTTCCATCCCTCCCCTCCCGCTGATTGGGCTCGCCCCTGGCGCCAGCGGGACAGGGGCCGCATTGTGACAAGCCAACATCCAACCACTCATGGGCCCCGCTCTTCTAACCGCCGCGCCCATCCCCGCCTTCAGCAAATCGAACCCTTCCACGCCCCTGACCACGCAAAAAGCCAGCGCCAACACCGCCGAAATAGCAATCCCGTCACAGCTGTCGCAGATGTGATTTGATAGCCGCCGGCCGCTGAGGTCTGCTGGGACCCGTCCGGCAAGAATGAGGGCATGGGAGGGGAAGGGAGGCAGGCGCTCAAATATAGAGAGCCCATCCCGCTGTTGTGGAGGCGAGCACATTATCCATCCTGAACGTGAAAGAAGCTGGGTCCTGTACGAGTCGAGTTGATCTCTCTCCCTGATAGAATATCTCTGGCTGTGCCTCTCCCAGATCTTCAACTCTGTTCTTTTCTTCCGGAACTCGTACGACCGCTGGACGACCTCTATTCTGCTCTACATATCTCTACTTCACATCCTCCACGGTCTATCATCTCTTCCCGCAGCCATGCGCAACTCCTCCGCCTCCCATTTCCTCGCCCTCCTCTCCTTCGCTCTCCTCACAGCCGCACAATCCACCATCCAAAGCACACATACCCTCCAAATCACCCACACCGCCGCCGCTACCTCCGCCGCCGCCGCCGCGACCTCGGCACCCGCCGCCGAGGGCTACAATGGCGGGACCGACAACCCAGAAGACCCCTCCGACGCCGGCGCTAGCGGCTCCTCGCAAGGCGCCTTCTCGCTCTCAAAAGGCGCCCTCGCCGCCATCATCGTCGTAGTCGTAGTCGTAGTAATCGGCGGAGGTAAGAAACCCTCCACTCCCTGAGCGAAACAGGTTATGCGAATGCGTGCTAATAGTATGACCCACAGCCGCATCAGCAACCCTCTTCTACCTGGCCAAGAAGCGTCAATGGGACGTGCGCCAGTCCATCCGCCGCGCCTCGCGCCGCCTCACCGGCCGCAGCATCCCCGCCAAGACGCCGACGCGGTCACAGAACCGGCGGACGGGCGTGCGGATCGCGAGCCCGCCGCCGAGCGCGAAGATGTTCATGCCGAAGGGCGGCAGTGGGCGCGATGTGGAGAAGGGGCTAGGTGGGGAGAAGGCGAGCGGGCCCAGGACCACGACGACGATCACGAGCCAGTTTGAGGTCGAGACGCCGCGGCAGAAGGGGTGGAAGGGGTATTTTGGGGGCGCGCGGTAGGGCTACTTCGGGGCTTTGTTGATACATGGGTGTCAAAAGGGAATGGGGGATGAAGAGGGTGTGTGGTAGCATTGGTTCACTTCGTTTCTTCTCTTGTCTTGGTCGCGTTCGGGCGCAGCATCAACCGGTCTTCTTCTCTTTGGTTCGCCACGGTATTTTGCGACGGTATTTGAGATATCCAGACAGGTTCAGGGCTCGGGATTGGGATTGGGCTTGGCGTTTAGAGCGAAGCGGGGTTTCGACGTGTATACCAAAGCACTATTGTCAAATAAATAAAGTGGATTGCATCAGATTGTTTCGAGTATTTAAAGGTGTATCTGAGTGTTCCGCCTATTTCGAGGTGTATCGTCTATATTTGCGAAGTTTCGAGTATTCTGGTAGTGTTTGACTTGGTCAGGGCGGAGCATCGAGGGGCACGCGAGACGACGCTCGGGAATAGCGCACCGTGCTCGTGCCTGTAAAGAAGCTTATTTAGCAACCGGCGCTTAGAGATGCAGAGACGCAGGGTATAAGTGGGGCATGAGGGGTCGGTAAGAGCTATTCATGGACTATCTACGGATTCTCTGGAGTTAAGCGAGAGTTGGGGTCCTCGGAGTGGGAGGATGGGTGGACGGGCATCCTGATGCTCGGATGGTGCATGAATATCGTTGAGGAGCGTGCTCAAAACATCCCCACATCGGAACTCAGGACACAGGTAACTCCATTTCTCGCATCCAAGCCTGCACGCCAGGCCCTCATGCACGCACCCGCCGCTAGCCAAGCCACAGCGCCAAAGCGTGGTCCGTGTGCTGATGAGATCGACGAGGGACAAGATGGAAGCGCTGGAGTTTAAACGCTGGAGTGCATGAGATAGATAGGGTCCGTTTGGAGATAGGCGATTGAGGAGGGGTGGGAAGGGGAGGGGAAGGAGAGGAGGATGGGGACATGGATCATTGGGCGAAGGATTGAATGAGCGGGTGGGTACTTTTATATGGGTATTGGTAAGTTTTGAGAGATTGATAGTTAGATGGGAACTTTGGTGGAGGGGTAGGTGTGTTTCAGTCGCGAGGACGAAGAGAGGGTTTCATACAGTGCCTTGCCATAGATATCCGTGCACTTTCCTGCCACTTTCTGTGGGGCTTCAACGTACTAATAGAAACGGATACACTTCCATTCTGCGTATAACGTGTTGACGCTGTCTAGGGTAACCTCGCTAGTTTACTACTTGTCCAAAATGCCGAACTTCTCGCTTTTTCTACCTCCTATATGCTGAAAATACTATGAAGCTCCTCACGCAGTGGTAAACGAGTGTACGGATTTCTATGGCGAGGCACTGTAACGTCGTCATTGATTGCCGACTTAATAGATGATGATGTCCTTCTCTTCCCACCCATCCTCCCATGACCAACATTCAATAGTATGTAGCTCTCCGTCTGATTTGGCAATCAAGCCGCGATCAGACACATTCAATAGCTCGACAAGTCCAACTCGTACCCAACCTATCTGACCACCATCAGTTCTTCGCACGAGTATAAGGCGTTTTTGGCGAGAATCCGGGGCTATGAGCGTATCGGCTAATGGGGGGCACATGAAGAAAGTGACCACGATTTCCACGTTGACGATGGAAGCAGAAGAAACGATTACACGTCCTTGACATTTGGACTAGAGCGTCTCTACATTGAAAGCTCATGATGGATGTGGATAGGGGCGGTGGTGGTCCGACGTTCGGCAAGGCTGAGGCTGTTGCCTGACTAATCGGGCCGTCTTGTTCTTCCGGAAGCTAAATATAGAATAGACCTTGGCGTGAGCGCCAGAGGCCGCTTTTCTATCCGCAACTTTGAATCACAGCAACCACGATAATTCAATACATGCACTTCATGATGTAGGCTCTCTGGCCTTCCCACTATATAAATTCGGACTGAGGAGGAGTCCCTCTTTGGCCATTCATTAGTAAATGGACGTACATATGCTATTTTACCCCTGAACCTCCAAGCTCCAGGTTAGGCACGAGCTTCGCCTCCCTACCTAGGTAAGTCCTCGTATTCTATAACTTAGTCCCAGAAAATCTTAGTGATGACGGTACACGCCTCGCCTCGCCGCTTTCCGAGTCAAATCTGTTTCCAAATCATTAATTTAATAAAGTCGCGTGCCCTCTTCCGCATCGTCGAATGCTGGCGCCTTGCTCAACATGCATTTCTCTACGCAAACACTCCCGCTCGCTATTTCTTTTTTCGCTCTTTCGGCGAATGCCATCAGTCTCTCTACTGACAGTACCGGTAAATGATTTTTTCCTTTTGGACTAGTTTCTCGGGCCGCTCCGCAATTCTAACTTCCCTAGATTCTATCAAAGATGTTGCCAAGACTCTTGCCGGAGGCATAATTCGGACGTATGAGGACGCCACATCCGACAATGGCCCACCCGGTCTCTTCGGTGACGATTACTACTGGTGGGAAGCTGGAGCTGTCTGGGATGCCCTGGTGCAGTACCAGACCTTGACCGCCGACAAGCAGTACAGCGATCTCATCGGGCAAGCTCTCCAATTCCAAAGAGGGCCGAACGATGATTACATGACGCCCAATCAGACGAAGTCTTTGGTAATAACCAACTTACCTTACCGAGAAGACGAGCCGTCATACCTTCTATGAGTACTAAATGCGACTACAGGGCAACGATGACCAGTCCACGTGGGGGCTCGCGGCCCTTTCCGCCGCTGAAATGAACTTCCCCAACCCCAATCCATCATCCCAATGGCTTAACATCTCCAAGAACGTCTTCGACCTCCAAGCCGCCCGCTGGGACACCTCCACTTGCGATGGCGGTCTCCGCTGGCAGATCTTCACTTTCAACAATGGCTACAACTACAAAAACACCTTCAGCAATGGCAACTTCTTCCTTCTCGCCGCTCGCCTGGCCCAATTTACTAGCAACACCACCTACGCCACTTGGGCTGAGAAGACCTACAATTGGACCCAGTCCGTCGGCCTGCTCACCGACGACTACCACGTCTACGACGGCGCTGTCACCACGACCAATTGTTCGTCTCCTAACCACATCGAATGGACCAGTGTCTTCGGCGCATACCTCTACGGCTCGGCGGTTATGTACAACTTAACCAACGCATCCCCGCTCTGGAAATCCCGCGTCTCCGGCTTCGTAAACGCAACCGACCGCTTTGCCTCCTACTCCGGCGCCCCAGGCATCCTCAACGAGCCCGCATGCGAACCGAATGGAAAGTGCGACACGGACCAGATCGCTTTCAAGGGCCAGTTCGCGTCCAGCATTTCGCGCGCGACGCTCGCGGCGCCCTTTACGTCCGATAAGCTCTTGAGTATTCTCTCTACCTCTGCGGAAGCGGCGGCGAGTCATTGCGTACAGCGGAGGCAGCTTTTCAACGGAAGTAGCATCGTTTGTAGCGATCAGTGGTATAAGGAGGGTGCCGATGGCGCGGATGAAGGGGGCTTGGGAGAGATTTTGAGTGCTTTGGGGGTTGTGCAGGGGTTGTTGGTGAAAGAGACGAATGGGACTTTGACTGTGGGTGGAAACAACAATAACACGGTAACGCCGTCGGGTACTGTTACTGGGAGCGCGAGTGCGACGGCGGCGCCGAGTGCGACGGGGACGGGTATGGCGGGGCATCTTGCGGCGGGTTGGAGTTTTGTGGGTGCGATGGGATTGGCGGCGACTCTGGTGGGAGCTTTGTAAGGGAAGGCCATGAAGTAGTATATACTAGGCTCTGAAAACTCCGGATACGATTTAAAGATCACCGCGGTTAAATGAGACTACCTTTTAGTTACATGAAGACGTGTTAGCTAAGGTACTCCTTGCGGTCGGGTCGAAAGAGCAAGCGTGGAGCCCGAGTAGCGTTATATCCATGTGCCCAGATTTATGACCAAGCGCTGTAAGCATCTAGAAAAACCCAGCAAATCAACTGACCATGGCGCCTACGAATAAAGCTAGCTACACGAGTGTTGTATGATTGTTGCGTGCCGAATGCTCAGAGTTTGTACACATTGTCTTTTGCAACTTGCATAAATGCCTGCTTCCTTTTTGTATGAAAACAACCACGAGGAATCCTTACGCCTATTAGGTCCACTTCGTGTCATCCTCACTTATTTTTCAGCATCTACCACTCTAGTCATCTAGCGAGCACACTGCCTCCCTATCCGTGTCACATACGCTGTGAACGTTACAATGGACAGAAAGTTGCCTTCCGGCCTCAATACATTTCCTTCATTCAAAACTTAACAATACTAACTTTTTTCTCAGTCTGACCAAACCCCTGTCGGAACCCGCCGCGACCATACAATCTACAAGGGATAGCATGCGCGCGGGAAGAAGCGTGCCCTCAAGCCACGTTCGGAAGAGACGGGAAGGCATAAGAGGCACGCTTCCAGAACCGACCCCAACCAAGCCACCGCGCGCGCTGTTACCCAATACGAGACTTTAAGGCCAGGCGTGCGATTCCAGGAAGAACAGCCTACTCCGCAAGCGGCATCGAACGATGACGAAGCCCTCGCCTCCTATGTGTTTGAGATGGTGGAGGAATCACGACACGATTGAAAAGGCACGTGGAGACCATCCTAGACTCGGCAAACAAAAAGATGGCGTCAATGCTGGATGAGCACGTAGATCAGTTGAATGTAGATTTTGCGGCGTATGAGAATGAGAGGGCGGGCTATAGGAAGGAGATAAGAAAGTTGAACACCGAGATAGAGCGCCTGAAAGCTTCGGTGAACGAACATAGTGCTGGCATGAAGGGGAGATTACAAGAATGAATACCGAGATTGCCGCCCTGAAAGCTTTAGAGAGAGAGCGAATTGGGGATACAGCGTAGACTATGTCAGAGAAGCAGATCGTGACGAAGGCTCGGGGGCGGGACTTGGATTATTTGTGAAGTTCTAGGGTCATGAAGTCAGCCTATGGAGCCGTTTCACTGTGTTTCGGGCTAAATATTGTAGATTAACGAGGAGGTAATCTGGAGCACACGTTTGCCACTAGTTTTTCCCTTCCCGTTAGCTCTTGCAGGTAACGATTCACATATGACAACCGTGAGGCCGATTCATGAATTCAGAGCCCTTGCATCCGTTTCCCTTGCTACAGTACTAGGCCATAAGTCTGGACACACGAATTTATCATTGCTAAGCTTCAATCTTACTCACTCGACACCACTGCAAGGCGCAGCCCAGTTAGGAAACGGCCAATTAGTCAAGAGGCCGTCCAATTTGCAATACATAAAGCTTGACATTGTGCCTAGGCCTTTTAAGACTCCATGGGGGTACCCCAAGCAGTAGTTAACGCGTGTGCACAGCCTAGACTTATGACCCGTTACTGTAAAGTGAGCCGGAGGACCTCACACGGCGTCAAAGAAGTGGACGATCTCTATAAAGTCGAAAAGTATAAGTCCTCATGTCGTAACGTTTTAAGTCAGACTACCTACTTGATTCGTAGAACTTGGGAAACGAAAACCGGATTAACCTCCCCGTGTTGCTGAGATCGGAGGTCCTTCAGATCTAATACGTCACTCCTCGTCCCTCGACGAAGTTCTCAGGTACATTCCCATCGCCAATCCCAAGAATGGCAGTACGTATAGACATCTCACCTATTCCCACACGCACTAGACTAATCTCATCGCCCAGCGCCGTATTCGCCCACCCAAGCACGACCGCAACCGCGTCCCCAAAGCTTCCCACATGGCGGCCGATGCTGCTCTGGCAAGCAAGACTAAAACTACGACACTTGAGGAAGTTCCGGAGAGAAGTGTCGCAAAGAAGGAAACCGAGGAGACGAAGGCGCAGAACATCTCCTGGCGATCGCGCACAAAGAAGGCCCGCAAGCACCATTAGTACCGCCTTTCCGCGTTGAATTCAGATCGCACATCTAATTTGATCTGGGTTTTCATAGTGCGCATTAAGGAGAAGCCACCACTTGATATGCACATTGCTAGACCCGTCGACTTCATAGAATACGTGTCCACACAGTCAATTAGCTAATCTTCGGATTCTTGGGGGAACTCTCCCACTCTCTCCCACAGCAGCTGCACCTCTCCCCGGAGGACTTCGTTGGCTCCGGCCAATATTCTATTCGCCGCCTCTAGTTTCTCGGCTCTCTTTTCCAACTTGCCATACGCCTCCTTTTGCTTACTGAGGATCTTACGCAACGCTTTAAGCTCGGCCTTCATCTCCGCTATACACAATTACACATTAGCATCCATACATTCTAGTTTCACATCCTAAACTACTAATCCCAAAATTCCAGAATTCCTTAAGATGCTAGAGTGTACCCCAGAATATCAGGATATACATCCGAGATATTTAAGGTACACATCTTAGATCCTTAACCAAGGAACTCTAGAATCTAGAACTAGGCAAATTGGGATAGAAAGAGAGAGTAAAGGGAGAACTTACCCTGGAGTGACTCCAGGGTCAACTCCTTCTCCAAGTCCTCCGTCCTCACCGGGGGCTCCGTATCCGTATAGGAACGATCACTACGTGCTACATAACAGCATTAGTACTGTATCCACTATACTACGATCTACCACGAGAAAATCTTTGCAAGACCCGAAAATACAACACTCCGTCATAGATCTGTGTACAACCCTCTGCCACTGTGTGGGATAGCCTAGCCAACTAACCGAATGCGCAGAACACTACACTTTCGATCTCTGGAAGTGTATCAAGCCACTCCAAGCAGTGCTAGACAATCGTACACAGGTCTATAACCAGGCATTATACCACACAGGTCCGCATAGATACAGGATAGTATCTAGGCCTTCTCGAGTAAAATCACGAGGTCACTTACTAACGAAGAGGGAGGGCGACTCCCGGTCCTGCTCCTCCGCCTCCTTCTCCTTCTCCTTCTCCGCCTGGAGGCGGGTGCGGGTGCGGGTGCGGGGCGGCGGCACGGCGGAGGTGAAGGCGCCGGCCTCGGGATTGGGCTGGCGGCGGCGGCGGGGGTCTCGGCCTCCTCTTCCTCCTCTTCCTCCTCGTTTGGCCTACATGATGTTAGCATGCCTCTGGAAATTACGGTAAAACGTCGGATATCTTGATGATAAAGAGCAAAAGATTGATAAGAAAGACACGATAGTAGAAGTGAATAGATGTATGACGCAAAAGTATTCATGAATTGCAAAAAACAGAAAGATTCAGAGTTTGAGCTGGGGCTGGGGCTGGAAAGGCAAACAACAGTAGAAAGGGGCTTTCTAAAGGCGCCCTAGTGGTGGAGGTAGGCAGGATAGACAATGTTGTAGAAGTTGATTAAGAAATAGCAGGAATAACATACGTATTCGATGGTCATGATTTGGGCTATTTAAAGGATCGTCTAGTCGCTATGTGATGCTGATGCTAGGTACCAAGAGAAAAAAAAAGGGCATCGCGGGAAGCTTTATACAACATATTATAGCAGTAACCTTCACTTCACTAACTATAGCACTAACCTTCACTTCAATAGCATGGTATCCCACTTGGTGAAAGTTGTGGGAAAGTGATGTTCAGGATGCGCCATCCGTGGTGAAATCTTGGAGATTTTCACCGGATTCGAGGAAGGGATTTTACAGTCAAAACTTCACTGTGCCCCCAACAAACTCAGACCTCCAATCATCATTCCCTTAGAATCTCGCGCTCACCTTATCTCCTAGATTACCAAAACAGACTCCAAAAACAGCCAGATTATACCAGTGGTAATTTTTAAATAAAGTGCTGGATCCCAAAATATAGATTAGGCGTAGTAAGCAACAAGAAATAGGTCTGCACAATGTGATTCGTCCAAAGCCCCTCGCACATCTTTTCGTACGTATGCTGAGCTCAGGCATGCTAATGCGGCGTTTGAGAGCTCGCGCAGGGCGCAGAGTTAAGATTGTGAGTGCTGTGAAGCTGTACCTCAAACTGCTCAGTTGACTCGCGCACTCGATTCGCTCCTTTCGCCTAGTTGTAGCAATGTCCGGAATACGCGACCATGTTGGGCATTTGAAGGCTGCGACAGCGCCATTCAGTAAGCGCAAAAACAGGCAGACGTAGAGGTGAGCTTCTGAAGGCAGCATCATAGCTTGGCGATCCAGTTGTTTGGAATATTCGATTCACGTCATCCGTGCTTCTGAGGTCAAGGTAGTGTTCGATGCGATACTGAGGCGCAGACATATGTAGATTCCTGGTAGCTGTTGGGCGTACAAGGAGAACCGGTGACGTGAATATCATGTGACGAGTGAATGCCGGTGGAGCGGATTTTGGTGGGGCGACACGTACTGCAAGCAATATTCTACGCGAAGTCGTTTCTAGAGGTATATATTTCAAAATATTTTGGTCAGTTCCCAAGAAAATTGAGACATCCAAGGGCACGTACCGGGCGGTGACATAGCACACTCAACAACGCAAGCAATTGCGCAGTGTGTTAAAGCTCACGCTATTCCAAACCGTACACAGCAAAGTGACCAATTTCTTTTTGCCCCTCGAAGATCCTGGTTCGAATTGTCGAGCGAGTAAATCTTTTTTGCGTTCTTCCTATTTACTTCTCTATCTGCAAACCAGCTTTCACTCTTCTTATTAAGCCGCCCTCTGTGAGTAGGGGTACTGGAAAGCACTTACTTGCGTTTTAGTAAGGCAGCTGCTTATAGCGCGCGACAGTTCTAAGGGTATATATATTAAAAAACTTAAACGCATTTCAGAAATTGAGAATCCAAGGGCACGTACCGGGCGGTGACATAGCACACTCAACAACGCAAGCAATTGCGCAGTGTGTTAAAGCTCACGCTATTCCAAACCGTACACAGCAAAGTGACCAATTTCTTTTTGCCCCTCTGAGGTTTTGGTTCGAGTCGCGGAGTGAATATGAGCTAGTGAATTTTTTTGGCCTTTTTTTCCAACTCACTTATGCCTCGAAATCTCACAGCAACCTTTACTCCTGTCGTTAGGATGCGCTTAAAAGTTGTCATTCACGGCGCACACTCGCTTATCACGGCACGAGCTGACATCAAATCACGACGGTCCTAGTCATAAGAGATCTCCGTCTAGCGTTCGGGGTCCCAAATCCGTAGCAAGTGCTGAAATAGGCTGCGTCTTGTAGCCTCGAGCGCAATCTAAACATAATGTAAAGGAAACAAGGTCGTGAATTTGATAGGGTGTACTTTTGCTACCTGTTACTGCTGAAAACGCTTCTATCTTCATTTTGGGCGCTGTGAATGTGTACTTTACAAGCGCCTAGAGGAGATGGTTAATCCTAGTTAGCGAAATAAGATCGATTTCAAATCCTTGGAGTCGGTTTGGTGTTTGAAGGACAGACTGCCTTTGTTAAGGCCTGAAGTGCATGCGTGATGCCATTGCCACCCCCCTTGACCATAGGATCCACGTGACATTCACGAAGGGAATACTTTTGTCCGCGTAGTCAATCCGTTGAGAGCTCACCGCCATCAATTCTCTCCTCATCACGGTCCTCGTTACCTCACCTTCACCACCATGAATAACCTACTGAGCCATGAAGACTACATGCGGATACACCTAGGGGTACGTCATTCACATGTTCCTTTTCCGCACGAAGCTCCTTCTCTTGAGTCTCACCCGAGATTGTTTGACCGCCTTCATTAACGCAAACTGGCAACACACGCATTGCACGAAGAACAAAAACCCTTGCAAATCCGAACGAGACTGGCATAAGGCGCAGAGGGAAATGGCAGCGGAGGCAGCCAAGACGGAGCATGCGGATGACACCGTGGCGAAGACAGAAGCGGAGACAGGGTTTGTCAAGTTCGAAGCTGATGAAGGCGAGAAGAGCATGTACACACGACATTTACGCCTTTGTCTGGAGAAGCTACTGATATCGTAAGATTCAGGCGGCCACGGACTCGAGCAAGATGTGCGACCTAGGATCGAGAAGGCTGAGGCTGCGGACAGGCGCGGTCAGTACAGCAATTCCTCCCTTCTCGTACCATACTAACGTACTTGCGGATCCTCTAGGCATTCGCAGTACCCATCGCTCCAGGGAATGGCGAGTCAATAAGCCGCAGGACACCAAACACCGCCGAGATATGCGACCTACGGACGTGAGGCTGGACGAACTGTTCAGGATGAAGGAGAACGTCTTTCGTGGCGGAAAAATGGTTCTGGATTTGCGTCAGCAAGTCCGAGAGATAGACCGAGACATTAGGGCTATGATCGGTCGGGAGCTCTCTGAGACTGAGACCAAGATGCTATACACTCTCTACGGCAGAAAAGAAGCGACGGAAGGGCAGATGGATCAGCTTTTGCGTGAGGCTTTCGAGGAGGCCGTGAAGTCTGGTACTAGGAACTAGAGTATGATATGAAGATCCTTTAGGCCAGATTCCGATGTTAGATCTGGATGATGGAAGGCTGCCGATACAATTGAAATCGTAGGATCCCTAAGCTCTTGCCAATCTTCAAGCAACCGCTCTGGCTGATGTATTGCAATATCTGTGCCCTCATTTGCTACAGAACTAGGTCACACGTTTGCGCACACTGATATACCACTGCTCGGGATCTACTCTTGGTGCATTGACACCACTGTAAGGAGTACCCCAGCTAGCAGATATTAGCTTCATCAAAAAGTACTCTAATTTCCACTCCGTTGGCGATTTAATCGTATAGTACTAGGCCATAAGTCTGGACACACAGATACCACCGCTTGAGTGTCACTTTTGGGAGCTGTTTAAAGGCTATTGGGTACCCCAAGCAGTTGCAAGGAGTGTCCAAACTAATGACTTGGTCCTGTAGTGCGTGACATTCTTCGAGAGCACTTTCAGAGTCCAGCCGGGACAGATTGGGCGCCCAACTCACGTGAGACTGGTGGAGCACGTGAGCAAGGAATGGAACAGAAATCACGAGAACGGGAGAAGTTTTGGCCGATGTCACTTTACCTGCCCTTCGAAGCCACCACAGCGACGACCCTGCTACAACCTACCTGACCCTACAGCTTCCATCTCCTCATCGCCAACCTCCTCTCCGTCTCCCTCGTACCAGCGACAGCCACGATGAACTTCGAACCACCACCTACCGGCCAGCTGCCTCTACCAGAGTTTTCTCTCCCCTTCCGCCCTCACCGACCTCCCCCGCGCCCTGTGCAAGCTTCCCCGTCGTTCTCCCTCCCAATTCGTCCCCGCGCGGCCCCTCGCAATCCAGCCCACATTGAGGCCGAGCCCATATCGACCACTCCGGCACACGCAGCTGTAGCTACGGAAAGTAACTCAAAGGACCCCACACAATGGCTCCAGTACGGCGGCCTGTGGCATCAAGTCGGCTCATTCGCGGTGGCTACTAGCATTGCCGATCCTACTCTCCCAGTCACACCGCAGGTAGAAGAGGATGTCTTGAGAGCAGTGGTCCGTAGCGCGGAGAGGAGGGCTGTGGCACAGGCGTTGAAGCCACAGCCACAGCCACCACAGACTCAGGCGGAGAAGAAGAGAAACCGTTGGAAGGGGAGCAAATCCTTCGTGCCCCGCCCAATGGGACAAGAACTGGTGAACTTTACAAGTTCGTTCCCCGCTCTTATCTTTCCGCTTAGATGCTGACTGACTACAGGGACATATAAGCTACGCTTCCGCACCGTCAACCCGGACTACAAGGAGCCTGAGCAGCCTCAGCAGCCTACGAGACTTACGAGACGTGAGAGGAAGGCTGAGAGGCGACGACAAGCCGAGGCCGAGGGAAAGGAAGGGATGAGCGCACCAGGTATGGGTTGTGATCTAAGCCCTCTTGACAGATGCTGACGGGACGTGAGACTATGTCGCCTCCATTCACCGCCGCAATCGAAAACGGGGAGGGAAAATCCAGTATCTTGATTCTGCGCCTAATGAATCGAATGCGCAGATTGGGAGGCGGAAGGAGGAGGCTAGGTTGCGAGATGGTCGTAACAAGACCGCTGAGAAATAGCGGTTGGGGAGGTGGATGGATACTGGGAGGTAAGAATGGGACTTGAGAGTCGACGGTCTCCCGATGGTAGAACATAGGATGAATGGATTTAAGCTCTTACCCAAACTCTAGTATTGGTGAGATCCATGGCTGATTTTTGACACATCAACTTCACCTCCCTAAGTTTAAACCCAGATCACATCTCATTTGACGCCATCCTAAAACGACGCCATGTCAGATGTCTGTGCACACCAGTTTGCCACTGCTTGGGATTCCCCTACACGCTTTAATTATTCTAAAGGCGATGCGAAGTATATCATAGTAGACAATAGTCCACATTTTGACCCAGCGTCTACTTGCCAACCAAACCACCTCTTACAGTAGTGTTGCAGGGCATGAGTGGAGTCCGAGATACACGGTTCAAGGTGTATTGCATGAATTCTCTGATGCATAGTGCATTTTGCCTTAACTCTGAGCACGTGCGCTTGCCACTTCTTCGGGAACCCCCATGGACTTTCGAAGATGCAAGCGGGATGTGACACTGAGAAGCGAAAAATAAACGCTTCGGTCTCCCAGGCCCTACCTAACGAAAGTGCGCCAAGTTGTGTATTCACAAACTCTCAGGGAACACCCCCTTCGTCTTACCGTAAGCTCCCCCCGCTGCTTTTCTCATTTCTAGCGCCCGCTTGTACGGTGGTGCGGTGGGCGGTTGGACGGGATCCAGACTCGTCCTGTCTTTTGGTAGATGATAAGAGGCATCCGCATCATACGCCGATAGATCTCCGCACGAAAGAAAGGGTGCGATCCATCTAATATCGTCCTCGGGTTCCTCATCTTCTGAGCCCAGTTCCAGCTCCGTGATGCCATCCTCTCGAACTCTTCGATAGGGTTTCGTGCGTTCCCCAGACGTCTCTGGATTTGGCGGTAGCTTTGAACCCGCCCCAAGTGGGTTGTCTAGGCTAGCTTTAAATCCCTTCGGTGGACAAAATCCCTCGCATACGACGAAGGCTTCGATGCTGCTTGCGCGACTGCTCCGAGGTTTTGCGACGCGAACCCGTTTGAATACGAGTTTGAGCTGTGCATATAGAAGATCGACGTCTTTGCCTCTGAAAATCTTCGCAACGAATTTCCCGCCTGGCTTGAGAACACAGAGGGCGAGGTTCAGCGCGGCCCAGATTAGCTGGCCTTGGACGTATATGTCGAGATCGTGGAGACCTGTGACATCTGGAGCACCATCGGAGATCACGAGGTCAACCGGGTGGGAGACAGATGTCGCCACAGGATCGAAGCTTTCGGGGTCAAGTGCTTGGAGGAGAAGGGGGATGGTTGAGGGATGGGTGATGTCTGCTCGTAGCGTCGTGATGCCTTCGAGGGGACTCATGGGTTGTAGGTCTATCGCCACAATCTTGACGTCTTTTTTCGGGTTCAGCTGCTCTTTCGTATCTGGCTTCAATGGAGCTCCGATGCCCTCTTTTACTTTGATGGAATCATCTCCGTAGACGTATCGCCGATCCTGCTCTTTCTTCTCTTCCCATCCAGCACGCCCAAATTTCTCCCCTTTGATGAGGATTCTCGACAAAACTTGACTCCAACTTCCAGGTGCGGCGCAGAGATCGACCACTCGAGTGACATCCTCGAACAGATTGAATTCTTCGTCGATCTGGAGCAGCTTGAAGGCGCTGCGGGCTCGCCATCCTTGTTCTTTCGCTAGACGGTAGTAGGCATCACGCTTGTCCTTGGATGATTTCCCCATTCTTTAGGTGGATGTGAGGCCTAAGTATCATGGTGTTGAGGTGGGCATCAATGGGTTGTGGTGAAGAGGTGAGGTTGGGATGAAACCAAGTCCGACAACGGCAAGCCGAGCCGAGCAGAAGTTTTTCGCGACATCGCAACTCCAACATTTTCTTCACCACGACGTCTATCCCCAGCAGCACCCACACGAACCCTATGCGATGGCGCAACCAGACAAGAAACGAGGGCTTCCGCCCAAAATCGCCGCGATGAAAGCACGAAAGCGCCAAAAGGTCGAGAACCCCACCGCCTCTACCTCCCAAACACCCAAAGACGCGAAACAAGGGCAGAAAGTGCGCCTCGACGAGCTACAATGGACGGAAGTGGAGATGCCTGACCGGATGGACGATTTTGAGGGCTTTTTTGGGCTAGAAGAGATTGACGATGTGAAAGTTGTGAGGCAGGACAATGGGAGGATGTATTTTGAGGCGTTGGATGAGAAGATAATCAAGAGCGGAGCGGAGAATGGCAGAGCGAAAGCCAACGGAGCGGAAGCAGGCGATGAGAACGATACTGGGGATGATGGCGCAGACGATACAGAGTGGTCTGGTTTTGGAGACGACGATGCCGAGTCGGTGAAGCTAGTCGAAGCTCCAACGAAGAAGTCAATCCTAAAGGAGAAGAAAGACGCCAAGAAAGGTCAAAATGATGCGAAGAAGAAGGAGCAGAAAGATACCAAGAAATTCGATAGAAAGGATACCAAGAAGAAAGCAAAGGACTCAAAGACATCGGCTCCTTCTCTGAAAAGTGATATCACGGGTTTTGAGGCGCTCGAAGCCCTGCACGAAGACGAAGAGGAGATGGACGTATCTGCGTGGGAAGAACTAGAACTTCTACCCCAGACCTTGTCATCGCTTTCAAAGCTCGGATTCGCCAACCCTACGCCAATTCAATCCTCCGCGATACCGGAAATTCTGGCTGGCAACGATGTGATTGGGAAAGCGTCAACGGGGTCTGGAAAGACTCTAGCATTTGGAATCCCAATTCTTGAGAGCTATCTTGCACGACCAAAGAAGACTGCAAACGACACGAAGACCTCTGAGCAGAAGCCACCGCTTGCCTTGATTCTATCACCAACTCGAGAATTGGCTCACCAAATCACCGACCATCTCAATGCGCTTTTCGAAGGAGGGAATTTTGACGGTCCATTAATCGCAACGTTGACAGGAGGTCTCTCAGAGCAGAAGCAACAGCGTCTGCTAGCCCATGCAGACGTTGTGATTGGTACGCCTGGGCGATTGTGGCAAGCTATGAGAGAAGGACACGGTCTCGTCAAACTATTCAAGCAGACTCGATTCTTAGTCATTGATGAAGCCGATCGTCTTCTCTCTCAAGGCAACTTCAAAGAAGTCGAAGAGATACTCAACGTCCTCGAACGCCAAGATGATGAAGCCGTTTCCGACGCCGAGTCCGAAACCTCAAGTCCAGCTCCCACAGCTGCCGTAACTCCTCCCCGCCAAACTCTCGTCTTCTCCGCAACCTTCAACAAAGATTTGCAACAAAAACTCTCGGGTCGAGCCCGCAAGTCCTCCACCTCAAACCTCGCCACCCCCCAACAGTCTATGGAATACCTTCTCACCCGCCTCCGCTTCCATGCCTCCCCATCTGGGAAACCCAAATTCATCGACGCCGATCCGTCTTCCCAACTCGCTCACAAGATTCGTGAAGGTCTCGTCGAATGTGGTGCGCTAGAAAAGGATCTTTACGCCTACGCACTCCTGCTCCATCACCCGAACGTTCGGACGCTTCTCTTCACGAACTCAATATCCGCTGTCCGCCGCCTAGCACCATTCTTGCAGAACCTGGGCCTTCCGGCGCTGCCGCTGCATAGCCAAATGGCGCAGAAAGCGCGGATGAGATCTATCGAGAAATTCAAGTCCCAAGAAGGCGCAATTCTTGTGGCGACGGATGTTGCAGCGAGAGGGCTCGATATCCCAGCTGTGGCTTTGGTGCTACATTACCATCTACCGCGAGCTGCAAACACGTACATACATCGTGCGGGGCGTACGGCACGTGGAGATGCTAGTGGAAGCAGCATCCTCCTCTGTGCGCCCGATGAGGTAGCAGGCGTGAGACGTTTGATCGCGAATGTACATCAGAGGTCGACGTTCGCGTCTGAGCAACACGACAGCGAGGACTCCGGTGACAGTTCCGACGGAGACGAGGACGACAAAGCGACAGAAAAGAAGGTCACCAAGAAGAAGGATTTCAATAAAAAGAAAGGAAACCACTTTATTCGCACCCTAGATATCGACCGCCGTCTGGTAGCCCGCATCAAACCACGCGCAGATCTCTCCAAGAAAATCACCGATGTCCAAGCCGCTAAAGAAAAAAAATCAAGCGCTGATGACTTCCTCCGCCAAGCCGCTGAAGATCTCGGCGTTGACTATGATTCCGAGGAACTCGATGCCCAAGGCTCTGCTGGAAGGATGAATAGAGGAGCAGGCCGCAAGAGGCGCGAGCGAGAAGCAAGGGGTATGGGCAAGGATGAAATGGGCGCATTAAGGGCCGAATTGAAGGATCTTTTGAGCCGGAGGGTCAACGTGGGTGTGAGCGAGAAGTATCTGACCAGTGGCGGGGTGGATATCAACGCGCTGCTGAAGGGCGATGGCAAAGGTATCTTCTTAGGTCAGGTAAGTGGGGTAGGGTTGTTTGACGACAAATGAACTTTACGGCCAAATAGACGTACAGGACTAAGTTATAAGCTTGGGCACACGCATATATCACAGTTTCAGCTCCACTCTTGCTCGATTGACACCACCGTAAGGAGTACCCCAGCCAAAAGGCAATAGCTTCGTCAACAGGTAGTCTAATATTCACTACGTTGGCCTTGACATCGCATCTAGAGAGATAAAAGCCTATCGGGGTACCTCAAACAGTTGCAAGGGGTCTCAATTAATTCATTTGCTATGCCTATTCTTCGTCTTCCGAGGGATCCTCTTCCACCCTCTTCCTCTCCCGCCTACTCCGCCTCTCCTCCTTCTCCCGCAGCTCCCGAATCTGCTCTTGGAGTGCCTCATTGTCCTTATAGAGCGATTTGAAGCCTACCGACATCACTACCAGAGTGGCATCAGCCCTACTCTTCGCCTCCTCGATTTTCTCGAGCTTCTTCTCCAGCTTGCCATACTGTTTACTAAGCTTATTTGAGTCTTGGCGCAATTTCTTCATCTCCACTATACACAATTACGCATCAGCACACACCCTGTCTGTGTACACTTGCTCGCCACTGTCTGAGGTGCTCCAGAGTGTCATCGGAAACTCAAGTGAGATGTAAAGTCTTCAACAGCATGAACAGGCGTGAATCCGACAGCTTGCCATCGTCTACGCCAATTCACACCATCTCGGACGGTACATCGCATCTAGATCTTTACTGATGCGCCAGGGTACCTCAGACAGCGGGGAGCAAGTATAAAAGCAGTAGTGAAACAGGGGAGGATTAGGACTTACACTGGAGCGACTCTAACTCCAGCCCCGTCTCCACCGTCTCCACCACCGCCTCGTCCATCTCCATGTCTTCGTCGTCTTCGTCGTCGTCGTCGCCTATAAACTTACATTAGTACACTGTTCTACTACGCAATCTGTTCTGGAAAAGCCTATCCGTAAACCTTAGATACTGTGCAGATTCACTACACAGATATCAAAGAGTCTCGAAAGGCCTTATTGGGCAGACAGTATACAAAGGGTACATTTACGGACGGCAAGCGGGGGGGACTCCCGCATCTCCTCCTCGTCCTCTTCCTGCTTCTTCTTCCCCTTCTTCCCCTTCTTGGCCTTGCGGCGGCGGCGGGAGGGCGCCGGAGCGGAGATGAGGGCGGCGGCGGAGGGCTTTGGGAGGTGGCGGCGGCGCGGACGGCGGCCGGCGTCGGCGCGAGTTTTCTACATAAATGTTAGCATTACGTGGACGACGTGATAAAGCTAGTAGAGGAATAACAGGAATAGTACGAATGACTTACGGAGCGGGTCTGCATGGTGGCGATCTGGAGGCTCGTCCAGACGCTGTGTGATGGTGCTGGAGAAAAAAAAAATAAAGGCAATGCGGGAAGCTTTATACCAACTTACGGCACTAACCTTCACGTCACTAGCGTGCTATTATGTTTGGTGAAGGTTGCGGAAAAGTGATTGTCGGGATGCGGCATCCGTAGTGAAGGTAGAGATATTCACCGGATTGGAATTGATGGTTTCACGGCCTAATAGACGTACAGGACTAAGTCGTAAGCTTGTGCACACGCATATATCACAGTTTTGGCTCCACTCTTGCTCAATTGACACCTCCGTAAGGAGTACCCCAGCGAAAATGTAATAGCTTCGTCACAAGGTAGTCTAATCCTTACTATGTTGGCCTTAAAATTGTATGTAGAGGCAGAAAAGCCTATCGGGGTACCTCAAACAGTTGCAAGGAGTGCCCAAACTTAGGTCTTGGTAATGTAGGTACAGGCGTCTTGTAGCCTAGTGGCACGGTTTATCGGACTTTTGATTCTCCTTTCCGATGAATGTATTCATTTATTCCTGTTAACCTGCCACACTACATATCTCGCGCCCGTTAACGCGAATCTTGCACCCAACATCAACAACCTCGACAGACATGGAGAAGACTGCCAAGATGACAGGCACTGTATGTCCCTCCCTCCTTTTTTTCATAATGTCCACTCTTCTGTCCTCCACTGCATTCCGCTTCTGACGTAGTATAGTATAAACGCCTTCCCTCTCCAACCTCTCGCGCCGACGAGGAGCGTCCTCGAAATCGTGCCCGCGTGGAAATGCCAACTCTTCACCAATTCCTATCTGACAGTGGCAACGGACAGCGCACCTACGGTCGCGCTGGAGAGTCCATGACTGATCAGCGCGCCCCATCTCTAGCCCTAGCTCCAGTCCCAACCCCAACTGGCGACGAAGAGTATGCTCGTCGCCTCCAACGTATGGAGAAGTTAGCAATGAATCCCCCGGATGAGCGTCAGAAGGACTTCGGCAGCGGCTTGAGACAGCCCCACTCAGTCCCAGCTCTGAGCGGCGATGAACATCGTCTTCGCCGTCTTGTCCGCAAGGAAAAGTTCAGTCGGCCCGAGCGTCTGAGCTTCTATGGCGAGAGAGAGAAGAAGTCCAGCATAACGGCGCCAGCATCACCTCCCTTCGCCACTCCGGCCGGCACTGCCGAGCTCACTCGCCTTCTCGACCGCGCGAACAAGTACCCTATGGAAGATGTGAAGGCCTACGCACGGGAGAAGACCTTTGGCTCGACGACACCAGCACCAGCCCGACCTCGCGGTAGCGATATCCCGACTCCTCGTCGTTTCGACCGCATGACCCCGATCACCTACGACGAGCAACAGAAGAAGTCCGACCTGCCGATCCCAGCTCGGCCCACAGCCGTTGATGAGGACACCGACGACATGCGAGCGGATTCCATTTCCAGTCCAAGGGCGGCCCCATCCGGTCCTGAGTTCAACTTCGATCTCCCGACTCCCTCTCGTGCCTTTGCCACGAAGCTTCCCATTGAAGGGCAAGGTTAGCCTGGCCCTCTATCACATTTTCCTTATCTTCCCTAACGCTCAACCTTCAGATGCCGCTCCAATCGACTTCCTCTCACCCGGCGAGCAGCAGCTGCATGGCGTCATCTATGAGCAAAACAACCGTATCGCCGAACTCGAGATGCGCCTCAGAGACACAGAGAAGGCCGCTGCAAAGTCAGAGGCCGCTCGGGCGCAGATGGCATGCTACACTGACCAGGTACGCACTGCTCGGGATCGGCTGGCGAAAGAACTGGCGGCCGAAAAGCAGAAAGCAGAGACGAACGAAGGTATTCGGGTGAAGGTGGATCTGATGTGGGTGGAGTATAAGAAGAGACATGGATAGAGTCTCAAGACTTGAGATGGCCATGTCACGTGATCCGGATAGAGTCCAGGTTTCGACAAGACTGTGACCACGTCTCTAAGGGCTCAGAAGTCTATTGAGGGACCTCATACACTGCTAGAACCAATTCAAAGACACTTGAGATGATGATGGGATCAAAATAGTGCAAACAAACCTTTGCCATTGGCCTATGAACTCTGAGTCTGTGAACATCTTCACCTGCACCACCGATCCCGCATTCTGAACATTCCCTAGGCGCAACTTCTACCAAAGTTGGTACCACAGTAATACCGGCATCGCCATCACAAAGCGTCTGGAAGAGCCTCTCGACCGCCGGCATCATCACCGGCTTTGTGAACACCCATAGCCGGTCATGGTGGTGCAGCTCACTGACTTTTGGAAGCTGGATACCACTGCGAGGGGTGGCCTAGTTAGCTGGTAGCCGGGCGGGCAAAAGGCGGCCCAAATCCTATTGCAGTACTTTTGCATGGCGGTCGAGAACATGAAAGCATGTACGGGGCACCCCAGGCGGTGAAGGACTGTGCCTATAGCTTTGTTATACCAGTACGTCTTCCGTAGTTCACAGGGGGCCTTTTGGGCGAAGTTCTCTTCGATCCCTCCTGCTCAAGCTCCAATCCTGTTCGCGGGACACTACTGCATGGGGTGGCCTAATTAGCAGGTTGTCAGTCATTCAAAAGGCAGCCCGATTCCTACAGCGATAATCTTGACATTGCGTTTGATAAAACGAAAGCGTGTAGGGGCACCCCAAGCAGTGGCAAGCAGCGGTGTCCAGGCCTCGAGAATTTCGCTGTGCATTCAAAAACTCCTGAAATTCTAAGACACCTGCATCAATGCGAGAACATACATATCCTCTTCGCCACAAACCACGTCCAATACAGCGCACTGTTGTCCTCGCTTGGGAATCCACCCCAGTTTTCCGCGATCGCGCCGAGCACCAGGTCGCTATACAGCGCTGAGAAGAACCCAAATGCGCCGATGAATGCGAGGAAGAAACTGCCGAAGGTGTCTTTGTACGCGCCTACGAGACCTGTGTACCCGCCCCTGTTCGCTTCCCAGTGTATCTTGTACCAGTAAGCACCGGTCGCCATGGATAGGACAATCACTGCGATGCTGAAGCCGTAGGTCAGGCTGCGTACGTTCTGGTTATGCCGGAAGGAGGTTATGATGAGAGCTATGAGGCCCACCATACCAGTCAACGTTCCAAGTAGGTAGAGAGTCAACCACCAGAGTGGCGCTGTATTATGCTTCGGCTTCGACTTTGGGGTTTCCGGATTTAAGGAGAAGAAGCTTGTTGTCGTATGGTTGGGTTGTTTGTACATGCTCGGATTGGGGGATAGATAGGGCGATGGCTGCGTGAGTGGTGTGCCAGCAAGAGAGGTTGCAGGCTTCTTCTCTCGTGCTAAAATCGCGCGGTGTATGCCCATGGCGCCAACGACGACGGATGTTACGAGTTTCCAGACACCGATGAGGATGAAATGCCAGCTCAGGCGACATCGGTGGATGGAGACGGTGGCGATCGGGATGCAAGTTGCCATACTGACGGCGGCGAGGGCCATGTCGAATTTACTGCTGCTGATGTGATGCTTTGGCCACAAAGGCACTCGGCCGTAGCCTATCCACGCGATGGTCCAGTACGTCAGGAGATGTGAGATGATGCCAATGGCGCCGTATGGGAGTGCATAGCATTGAATTTCGCCGAGCGGTCCACCTGTGGCGTTCTTGTTGGGTAACATTTGATTGAACTGGTCCCCTATGCTTCCTGGGAGAGCGAGTGCTGAGGCTGGTTTCGCATTGAGGAAGAGGACGGATCCCATGACGGATATCGAGATGATGTTTAGGCATGACCTCGACGACAACAGGTTGAGCCGCCAGGCCATGATTATGGCTCCTTGCCGGACGGAGGATGCGAACGTTCTTCAATGGCATTGTTAGCGACCTCAAGCTTGGAAGAGATATACTTTCGCGTACCTCTCAGGCTGTTTATTTCGAGACGGAGATCTCAGCCTTGCCTCCTCAGTCTCGGCAGGAAACTTATCTGTCCTAGATACCAGGCTGGAAAAAAACCATACAATAAAGTCAAATCTTTCTAGGTTCAGCGTCGACAAACATCCGAAAGTGCACTCGAACCGTCGTGTAGTGTGTCGAAAAGAGGGGATCGCGGGGAATCTCTGGCTCAAATAGCGCCAGTGACCCTGAGGCTGAAGTATTGCGTAAACAGACGCCTGGCAGCGGACAGCATAAAATAGATTGCCAGATCATAATTGGTTACTATAGGCGAGCTTCAAGCCTTTTGGCTCGCAACCGTACGCCCCGGTGGCCCTTTAGGTGCTAGAAGTCGCTCGATTTGGGAGGGGGAAAGCCCGTTTCTCAGCCTTGCAGGAACCCAAGCCATGAAGCAGGCTTCGAGGCTGTTACAAGCCAATGGGGGTGAAGCATGGCGGTGGCTGGACCCGGCGGCTGCGCATGGCACCAATATCGGCAGCCCCTGTGGTGGCTTGTGGCCGGCTCGGTCTAGAAAGTCCAGCTGTTCCTGCGTCGGCTTGCACATCGTCTAAGGGGAGCCGCTGGGGCCTTTAAGCTGAATATCTTGAGTAATATAAGAGCATGCAGGAAATGTAATGCCATGATGTCAAAATTGAGTTGATCGAAGACCCTGAAGGTCGATGGTGGGGCACGATTTAGTACGAAGTAGCCGCGCTAGCGTAGGGTGTGCTGCAGGACTCGGAAGCGTCGTCTCTTGCCAATCCGAGTAATATGGATGACGAGAGTAGTGGATTTCTCTGATGGTTAATTGGTATTATCCTATATCCGCTCGGTGTGTGGTATACGTAGCCCCCACGTCTGCGCTGATGGGGGACTTAGTATCTATGAAGCGCCTAGGGAGGCAATCGTATCTTGACCACGCCCTGTGAGTCAACATCCACCCTATAAACCCCGGGTCACCTCGCTCTCCCGAATCTCCTCTCAATTCCATTCAAATCTTCAACCATGGCCACCCATAAGGAATGGCACCGCACCATCGCGGGGACATCCTACCTCATCTCAACTTCGCCCTCCGCCCTATCCCACTCCTTCATCCAAACCGCATTTGACACCGACCTCATGCACTGGGCCAAGTCCATTTCACCCTCAGCTCTTCAGACTATGCTTGATCACTCTTTCAATTTTGGGCTTTACGCGCAAAATGCGCAGATCGGATATGCCCGTTTGATCACCGATCACGTGACCCTCGCATATATCACCGACGTCTACGTGGATCCAGCACACCAAGGGAAGGGGCTAGGGACATGGTTGGTGCAGTGTATAAAGGAGTCAATTGAAAGAATACCAGAGTTGAGGAGGTGTTTGTTGCTGACAGGAGGAGGCAATCACGGGGCACAGGGGCTGTACGAGAAGGTGATGGGAATGAAGGTGATAGACCCAAAGGACGACGGGATGCGAGCGATGCAGGGGACAAAGGTGGACCTGTTGGGTGTTGATGGCGGGAAGCGCTAAGGGGAGACGGGGATGTCAGGCTTTGGAAATTCCCAATACGATGTAAAGATCAGCGCAGTGGATATTACAACACCTTTTTGGCTGAGTAGAGATATGCTGGCTAGGGCACTCCCTACAGTGGTGTCGAGAGTACAGGAGCGGAACCGGAGCAATAGTATATCCATCCGTGTGCCAGGTTTGTGGCCTTGTACTGTACCTTGTGAAACTACTTACTCGAAAACGCAAAAGTATTTGCAGCTGAACAGTGTTCGGTCCCATTAAATCCCATCGAAGACATCCTACGCGGACTAATACCGTCTGAAGCCCTCTAGCATCCTCGGAAAATTCTGATACGGTGCCAACTCTTGGATATGCAAATCTTACATAGCTCAAATCAGGGGCCTCTATCTTCCAGCAAACTCAAGAGATAAAATGTCGCATCCTCGAGAGCTTATACTAGGTCTCGGTTTTCACCTTGAGAGCTAAAAAGGTAGAAGGCGGTCAGCGACGCAAGGGAGATGATTGGAGTTGCAGGTAGGTGGTTGACAGCGGGAAGTATTCGGGAGAGAAGGCTAGGACGAAAAGGGACCCGGAAGGAGCCGACTTCGGTCTCACGGGCTTGAAGAGATACCGACGAAGGTATACAGGCTCTCATTACGTCCGACGACCCAGCGCGGAAGCTGAGTCGACCATGGTCAACCTCCTTTTCTGGGCTAATGCTAAAGTAGCCGGAATACTGATTGGCTATGAGACTGCTATTCCCTCCTAGAGGCGTCCGGAAATGTTACCTTATACGGTAATTTTGTGGCTTGATTCTAGCGCTGGGTCACGGACGTAGGAAGAGCCTGTAGGTAGGGAGATACGTTATAGTATGCCAGTTATGTAATGATTAGAAAAATGTTTAGCCTCGAGAAACAAGGCGTCATGGAACCCTAATGCATCTGAAATTGGACTAGCGTAAATCTATACGCATAGCGGTCTGCAGGTGCGCGACGAGGCAGGCTCCCACGCCCAGCTTCTCCATGCTGCCTATGTATGACGCGCTCTCACATCGTGGGGAAACAATTGGACCGCGATTCGAGTACAATGAGCCCGCAAAGTCATGTCCCGCGCACCCTCTGCACTCGGCCTAGCGCCATGGCGAGATCCAAGGATTTCTTTATCGAGGCCAGGGTCAAACGGCCGACGGGGACCACTCCATGCAGACGGCTCCATATGCCAACCACCAATTCACCACCATACCATGGCGGCCCAAACATTATTAAGCCGCCCTGCCCTCCAAGGTCTCACATACAGGGCCGTCCGCTCCTCCGTCTCAGCTTCCTCAACACCATACTCTGAGCTGCGAGCTCTCCAGCCCCTCCGTCCCTCGGCTCGATCGCGCCATACGCCCTAGGCCTCCTCCGTCGATTCCCGGACCCATATACGTATCCCACTTTGTACGTACAAGGACAAACAGAGGCTCCTTTGAGGCTCAAAATCTCTCAAGGCGCCATGACCGCGCTCCCAACACCACCCACCATGGCCCCCACCACGAGATCTAGCTCCCCGGCAGGAAGTTGCACCCTCAAGCGCAAACGGAGCACTTCTCTCCCCCTCACCCCTCCTCTGTCGCTGGACGACTCTGGTAGCGACAACGATAGTACCCGCTCGCTCGCCCGCGCTGTCGGCGTCCTCTCCACAGCCGCGACCGCTCTCTCCCACGCTACGCGCCTGTACCAGACCCTCCCTTCTGCGCGGGACGGCCTTCTGCGCGCCGTCGACTGCATTACACGCGTGCATGCCGCAGGCGGGCGACTGATAGTGTGCGGCGTTGGCAAGAGCGGGCTGGTGGGGCGCAAGACGGTTGCGACCATGAAAAGTCTTGGGCTGGGCGCGAGCTTCTTGCACGCCGGGGAGGCGATGCATGGGGATTTGGGTGATGTGAGGGAGGTGTGTATACTCGCAAACCCTACCCCGAGAACTCTGCTAATGAATCAGAATGATGCCCTTCTTTTTATAACTTTCTCCGGTCGGACTCCCGAACTGCTCTCGCTCCTCCCGCATCTACCAAAGAATATACCCCTCCTCGCCCTCACCGCGCATACATCGATTGAAGACTGCCCCCTTCTGGCATCCCGCCCGGATTCCATCCTCCTCCCCGCGCCGATCCACGAGCCTGAGGAAGTCTCGTTTGGCGTGTGCGCGCCAACAACCTCCACAACCGTCGCTATTGCGATTGGCGATATGCTCGCTATTACGGCAGCGGACGCAGTACACAGAGAGCGAGCGCGGGACGTATTCCGGCGAAACCACCCCGGTGGCGCCATTGGCGCACGGGTAGAAGAAGTCGTAGCCGCAAAGGAGGTCGAAATCATAGTTGAGTCCGAATCGGACGACGACGTGCAGTTCCGGAAACGGCAGCGCGAGATCTCAACTTCAACAACCGTCGAGACCGGGGAGCATTTGTGCAGGTAACACTGCGGATCATGTTGGTCGATGATGGATCTCGACTCGATATGATCACAGCGCTTGATTGATTTTTCGCGATAGTAGGCACATATAGTCGTATTTGACTAGTGGGACGCTCTGTGTCCTACTCATATGGGATTGAATACGATTCAGCTGCCTATCTTTAAAGGCTGGCATTTCCGTGCAATCCATTATCATCACCAATGCGGATAATCTTACCTCCCTTCCGAACACTTTTCGTTGACCTTGAACTCGTCCGTCCGCCCTCCGTTCACTGCGCCTCCATACAGCAGCTGTAATGAACCATTCACATCTAGACTTTGAGATGCAAGATATTGTAAGTACAACCTATATACCAATTTGCTGGAATGAGGCATTGGATATCAGACATCCATTTGACCGCTCGGCTACATGCTGTCCGAGCCACTCCTGACAGTGCTATTGAACGATCAAGAATGTACGCGACACCTCTGCTAACCTCCCCTAGACCACCGCCTCCCGGAGCGCTCCTGGCTCATCCCTCCCCGCGCCCCCTCAACAGCCACTCTCTCGCACCGCCAAGCGAAATCTAAACCGGAAAAAGCGCCGCTGGGAGAAAGATCGCGAGGACGAGGCATGGTTCGGTAAACCCAACATCGAAGAAAAACAGAAGAAGTATGGCGAGAGTACGTATGCTCCTTCCAGGACATCACGAAAGGCCTACATTATGGGGCCGCAAAGCCTAGGCACACGAATATGCCACCACTTAGGCGTCGCCTTGGACGCTACATACCACCGTCAAAGGTAGCCCCGCTGCCAGGAAGCTGGACAGTCAAGAGGTTGCCTGGATTTTGCTGCGGTTAACTTGACATCCTACCCTGATTTCTAAAAGGGTACTGGTGCATCCCAAGTGGTGGTAAGGAGTGTGCATAGCCTTCTTACCAAGTGCTCGATTTTCAGGCCAGCTCGTAGCTAACGTGTGTGCTTGCAGTCGAGCTTGGCGATAAGGCGGCGCGCGAGGCGTGGAAGCGGGAGAAAATCGATTGGCGGCGATCCAGAAGGCTTCCATGGAAGCGGCATTAGACCTCACGGAGCTCCCCATCTCCGTTGACGCCGAAACGGAGCTCCCGAACAGCTGGATGTATTTGTCTGCGCTCAGGTCGAGGCGGATGGCGCGCCAGAACTTGAATCTCATCGGTTTTGGTATGGCCCTAATGAAGGCTCCCAGGTTGGTCAAGCTTCCTACTACGACCTCTGTCTGGAACATTGAGATTTCCCTAGCCTCCTTCTTGAGCTGTTGGTTTGTTTGCTTCAGAGAGATAACAGCCTTTGATGCAAGGTCTTTGCCTGCCTCGCCCGACATCCATGCATCTACATGCAGTCCCAAAGGCAGTACATACCCCAGAACCTTGTCCCGCAGCTCGCGAGGCAACTCCAGCAGAGGTGAGCGTGTTGGTGTCCACTGCGCGTTCCAGCGCCAAATTATAGACACGGTCTTGGGTCTCGGCCTCAATCGACAGTGACTGCCCTGCCCCGGGCTTGCGGTAGAAAGCTCAAACGCCAAATACCACCACATCGTGGCCTTGCCTCCGCCATGGACACCGCTCTGGAGCGACGCAATCGTCTGGTGCGAGGTGCGAGATCTAACGATGCGGCAATGCTCAAGTTCTTGAAGCGCGTCGACAAAGGCCACGCACAAGGCTGTGAAGCGTACGGACCGGTAAATTCGCACTAGATCGAGACCTGTATATCACACTCGGAGTTTTTTAGTATGGAATTCTAATTCCTAAGCAAAGAGGTGCGCACCACGCAGCGGGCTCGAATTAGCTTCAGAGGCTGTGCTCAAAGCGATACCTCGGAATTTGACAGATGTTCTAGGTACGTGCGACCTTTCTTGGGAAAGGCCTCGCTAGAGATCTGTATGCACGCTCTTGCCACTGTCTATGGTCCCTCGTAGCATTCGAATCAGATTAAAGGTCAGTGTTTTGGAGGACTGGTGAAGCCGCGAGGCCACCTAGCGGTATACATAGATCGATCTATCCTAGGAATCTATATGTTTATGCTACATCCGTTCACTCATACTACGGGCTTCCAGACGCGGCCCGCACATGTATCGAGGCTTCCAAAACACAGATTGCTGCACTCAAATTCGAGGCCGCGGAACAAAAACGCCTGGCCAAGGGTAACCTCACTCAGCATAAGCAGGAATTTGCGGCGCTCCATTTGCAGAAGAAGGAGCAGGAGCGGGAGATTGAGTAATATAAACGGGAAATTGCGCGCCTAAAGATGGAATTTGGGGCCCATACAAGGGAGGATAAACTAGAAGATGAGGCAGAAATGGGGGAAAGCGAGGGTATGGTCGATGAAGCTGAGGGGGCGGTGAGGGCATTCAAGCGAATGAAGATCGACCACGGATCTGAGGATGAGGATGAGGATGATGGTGAGTGGGAGACGGTTTAGGAGGCCAAGTGAAGTTGGCTAGCTCTTGGTTACCGCTGCCTGGGGTGGCCCCATGGGCGTATTGAATGCCGAAGATAATGCAAAGTTTCATGGAATGGATACTGGCCTTCCTCTTGACTCTCTGACTACTTGCTAGCTAGGCTACTCCACACCACACAGTGATATCGAGCGAGCAAAATGGAGCCTGAGCACTGATGAACCCGTATGCCCAAACTTATGACCTAACAGGAGAGGAAAAGGCCTCCGGGAGGGGAGATAGTATTCTCCGTTTTGCTTGGGGTATTCATTTGGAGGATCACCGATGCCAGGACTTGGAAACTGCATCACCGCACCACATACCTTTCCCAGTCAAACGTAAGTACTGCTTCCACGAGTCTTCCTAGAAGCTAAAGCTCAACCTCTTAGCAGAAATCTCACAATGTCTGACTTCACCGACGACACCTTCATGCCCTCCCTTGGCATGACTTTGGGTGAATGGTGTGCATGCTACGAGCACGGCCGAGCCCGCCGGTCGCGGAGAGCGCTGATAGCGGCAGCCTCTATTCCATCGTCGAAGTGTGTTGCTTCGATATAACTAGCGTCATTATAGAGACTTGAGAGAGATACAAAGATGTTGAGACGCTCGCGGCGATGAAATAATAACCACAACTATTTTTGATGGATAGATGCCATCTCTAAAGTTGGCTCCCGTAGCGGATTGCTTGATCACGAGGGTTTAAAACCAGAATACTCCCTGCCTCTTATAAACGTGAGCTTGATGCTTTCATTCTTTCGCGATGTAAAGGTTGCAGAGAAAAGGGGTTACGGAGCGGAGTTCATGGTTGGCTCGGCACAAAGAGGCCCCGGATGGCGCCTTCCTGTTCCAAGTCTGGCCCAAAACCCTATCTTCACGCCCCAACATCGCCCACGAACGGAGAGGGTATCCCCAAGCAAGAACTAGTAAAAGTGGCTTTGTTGTAGACTACGGTCCTACCTTTCATTCTCGTGAAGTCAAAAAAGTAGCCGTAGTCGAGTTTGCTGAGTTGTAGAGCTTGGCGCCTTTGGAGTCGCAAATTGGCATCTAGGGAACCCTCTTCGGCTTCAATATGCCTCACTACCAATCCCCACCCCTCCATCTTCCCAGACGCAATTTTGGGCTCGGATGACCCTCAGCTATTATCACGCGAATTACGCTCGCGTTAGGTACTCGCCGCGGACATGATACGTACAGGATTTTCGAGGAACACGACAGAAGGCGCACGGCTTATAGTAAGCTTTAGTTTCCTGAAATTCACTCCATTCTTCTTTGAAATATCTGTTTCGCGAGAAGCTTCTGAAATAACCGGCCCCTGCTTCTACTTGTATCGGTCGCTCATTTCTCATTCAAACGGTCGTCGAAATGGTCGCTCAATCACGCCCGGATTCTATCACGTGAGCGCCCCCGTCCATATGGGAATCACCGCCGGAATGCGCAGTGAAGCTCGTGGACGCACAATTAGGCTTTCATTGCCGCAGGTCCATTCACATCTACAAGTTTCGCCGTCTGAGGCGGCCGGCCGAGCTGTCTTTTCGCATCGCTGTGTGAGCTCGAGAGGTGAGGGTTTGAGTGTGATCTGGCGGGCACATGTGATGCAACGAGCACAAGTTTGTTAGGGTGGCATGTGCCTTAAGTAAAGTACGCGACTGTTCTAAGTGTATATATTTCATAATATTTTAGGCGTATTTCAGTGGGAATCCATGCTTGATGCCGGGCGATGACATAGCACACTCAACAACGCAAGCAATTGCGCAGTGTGTTAGAGCTCACGCTATTCCAAACCGTATCGCACAGTGACCGATTTCTTTTTGCCTCCTGAAGATCCCGGTTCGAATCACGGAGTGAGTGAATGCTTTTGCACTCACCATTCTTTTTTAGGGCTCACTTACATCTCAACGTATTCCTTTTGATCAAGCACACTAAATTGCCGGGAAAAAGCTTTGAGGCATCCCCAAAGACGCTCCACTCGAACTATATCAGCGTGAACTGCATCGACGCGTCCTCCAGTCACCAACAACGTGACCAGCCTCCCCACTTCATGCCCACCACCGACCGCACCCCACCACCGCTCTACCTGCACAGTCGCGCTCTTCGTCCTCAAAATCAATGGAGCACTTGATCTCCACCATCAAGAAAATATGGACGCCGCTGCCGGATCATTTGATCCCCGTCGACATCTCTCCGCGCGAAGACTACAATCCCCACCAGATCAACCTTTCGCACTGGCCACCCATTGATCTGCTGCAACGCGTCCAGATCATTGCCCAGGTTATTGGAGAGAAGGACTATTCGTATGCGCACGCGCGCATGAGGCGCGCTGTGGATATTCGCGTTCAAGAGACTGAAGAAGATGGGGAGGAATACTGCGGCGAGGGCTCGAGAATATTTGAGGCACAAGATGCATCCGCTTTGATCAAAGAGCTTCGACTTGAGAAGCAGGGCCGCTCGAAGGCACCAGGTAGAGCTGCGTTGCTGGCGGAGTATGGAGCAGCCATCGAGCGATCAGAACACCCGGAGTTTCCGACACCTGCCACTGAAGAGCCTCCAGCTGTTGGAGAGGATGCGGGTAAGCAAAAGGCTACAGGCCATCACGAAGGCGATGATTTCGATCCACATCTGTCGAACTCAACCAGTCACCAAGCAGTTCAGAATCCTACTCCAGAGTCTTCGCCAACGCAAATTCAGGTCCAGGCACAAACCAACATCAACTTGAAAAATTCTCGCGAGTTTACGGACAAATCTAGGTGCATCGACCTTACTACACCACCACACTCGCAGGTAGCTCAGCAATCGGCTCCTGTAAAGCCCGTACAAAAGCGGAAGAGGGATGGAGTGAGCCCACCACCCGAAAGCACTCGAAACGTCAGGCGTGTCCCTCAATCTTGGTTATCGTCGCAACAAACAAACGAGGAAGACCTGCCGAGACTACATAAGCAACTTGACAACGTCGCCCCCTTTGCACCTAAGATTATGCAGGACTACGGAGCAAAGACCCCCGACACAGAAAGTAGTATCATTGGTCAGGAACCTGCTGCACCAGATGCCACTGCGATGCAATCTCCAATCCATTCCGTGTCCCCGCAAATGCCTTCATCAAGTAGCCTGAGCTCTGCGCCGCCTCAAAGTTCTCCCTCGGAAGAAGGCTTGATTCTCGAAAAAGTTGTACCCCTACCAAAGGCTCGATTTGCTTCCTGGCGTCGTAAAGAGCCTATACCACGACAACTTACGCAAGAAGACCTCGACAGCGATGAAGGCGACGACGATCCTTATGACGGAACTTTCCCAGCAAGACACCCAGCTTTCCCTAGCAGGGAGGATAATCTGATGGCGCAAGTTAGTTTCCTCAAGCTCGAAAATGAACGCTTGAAAGCGAGCCAGGCCGGTCTTCACGAGTCCCTTGCAACTTTGGTCAAAGACCTGCATCAACGGCAAACTGAAATCAACGACCTAAAAATCAAAAAGACTAGCAAACCAGAGCATGCTAAACAACTGAAAGCAGCCGAAGACAAGATCAAAGAGCTTGGGAAGGAGATTCGAGATCTCCAGTCGCGCCCTCTCGCAATCACTGAAATCTTTGTGCAGACATTAGACGAATTGCGGGAGCGGATGCTTCTGTCTTTCTCCGATGAGGACGGAATGTTGAATAATGAGGACATTCAGAAGCTGCAGCGCGCTATCCATGCTTCCAACAAAGGAGCATCAGACGCTACGATGTTGCAGGAGAACCTCGCACGCGACAAAGAAGTCAGGGACCAAGCGGAACAGCGGTTGGAGGCGGCGGAGATGGCGCTTCAAGAATATCTCGAGGGACTGAGCCCGACTCTTCACGCTGAACTAATGTCCCTGATTGGCGATCTTGAGAACGCCCGCGACGCGGCTGTTGCTGCGGAACGCGCTGAAGAGCGGTCTCAGGACCGCCTGTCGAGACATAATCTGATGAAGATGCGTGCGGATCAGTACAACTATTTGGCGGAACAGAAAAACGGTGGGCTTAACATCGACCCTCTCATGAGAGACTTGCTGGTTCCGATTGTAAGGCTCAGGGGTGCGGTGGGCCCCTCAACTAGCAGCCAAGCTGGAATGAAGACTAGATCTGGATGCAGCGCAGGCGAAAAGAAGTAATGTTTCGGAAGCTTTGTATTTCTCCATGTGGGTAGTACCGTGTAGAATCGCTTGGTGGGTCTATTCGGCTGTGAGTTAACATGTAAGTTCGTACTATATGCTATGTGCGTTAATGGAGCATCACTTCGTAGTCTTCACGCTAGTGTGAAGTGATCCACTGAGTTCCGTAGGCTAGACTCAAGCACAAGTCAATATAAAAACGAAAGCCTGAGAAATCGACTGGTAGTGCTGTGATATGAATTTGCTTAGACCCTTTCCACCACCGCTGTAATGCTTCAATGATTGACAAAAGCTTAGAGCACCGCCATACTCGATGAAGTTTGTAGTCGGAACTAGATTACCCTTTGATCAAGTCCATATGCCAGCGGAAGTACTCCTCGCAGTGGCATCAAGCGAGCAAGAGTGGAGCGGAAGTAGTGATATGTCCGTGTGCACAAACTTATGACCTGGTACCGTGACTCGCACTAAAGGTATCTTCCTGATGTTGCGGAACTGGTGAATGAAGCCCCTTAGTAGATCTGAAAGCCTGCCCGCTTTCTAGACTAAAACTGTGGCTTTTTGAACTTCAATCTGCTCTCAGCGAGCGCCTCACCTAGTTATCATGGCCACCGAGTTGACTCCGCCTACCGCACGAAACCTAGGAATGAGGATGTTATCAGAGGAGCCACTCACTTCGAGCAAACACACTCCGGAGCGCCCCACCCGCAAGTTGCGCCAGCGAGCCACTCCGCGCACTTCCTAGCGCGCAGCTACCCGGGCCTTTCCAGTCCCTGACGGCGACGAGGAGATGTTGGATTGCATTGTCGTGAGTACCAGCGGATGTAAGAGAGCCGCTCAAATATCACTTCTGCCATCCATGTATTCCGCACGGATGGCCCACAGCTTTTGCATCATAGAAAAAGGCACTGAATATCATAGTCACACATCAGAGACCGCGAATCCTACGCCTGATTTATCACCTGATGCTTCGTGTGAGGCGATGAGTAAAACAGCCCACAGTCAGTGCACTACGCTTTTCCATTTACGTTACTTCTGGGAGTCTCAAGAAGCCCTACTCTGTTTGCCTGTGCAACTATGCTAACTGTCCAAAGTCACAAAATCGAGCTGCAGCGATACGAATGAGCTGACCGAAAGGCCGAGTCAGAATATGCAACCTCTGGCGGAGAATATGGAGCAGGATGACGGTCGAAAGGCTACAATAGAAGAGCTAAGGCAGAAGGTGCAAGCTCTGATGGAGAGCAAAGAATTGGATGACAAGAAGTACAAAGATCAGCACGACCAGATCCGACAGAAGCGATCTGAGAATGAGATACTAGCCAAGAATGTCGCGGGCCTCGCTGAGACGGTCATGAGGCTCTCTAGAACAGTCTTGAACCTTTACAAGAGGATCGACGAGTCTTCACAAGAGTAGTGTGGGTCTTTTGAAGGCCGACGGAGAGGCCGAGGAGTTAGAAAAGGTATGGTCATTGAGGCCACTCGCTCGTATACATTAGTAGGAAATAAGCTTAGAAACTGTTGCTGCTACCGCCTGCGGTGCCTCTATGGACTTTTTAAACTTCAGACACGATGTGAAAGTCGATGCAGCGGAGAGTAGGCTGGCGTTTCACTGACCAGTTACGTGCTAGCCAGGCTTATATCGAGTGAGCAAGATCGTAGCCCAAGCCGTGGTATATCCGTGTGCCCAGCCTCATTACCTAGTGCTGTAGGCTCTACGGCTGAATCTCCTCTTAAGTTCATACTGCCCCGTTATGGATCTGTGTACGCTTATCTGCCCTCGCTTGAGCTCTCAGTCTCCGAATTCATCATTTCATTCTATGTTTGCTTGTACACGTGCCTAGCGCCGTCAGAAGCCCTCCTATACTTTGAGGGAAATCGCAGAACGACAGTTTTGACAAGGTTGATAGCTCTCTGGGCCACCTCATACTGTGTGATCCCGTCACTTCACACGGTCGTGTATCACAAGCAGTAAGAGATTCATGCGAGCAGATCAGTCACGAAGCACTTTTCTAACTTGTAAATCTGAATTTCGAATAATGTGTTGAAGATTTCCGTCACGACTCACAATTTGTTAGCCAGCATTACTTCACGAACATTTTACACATCATCCACGCTTTTTAAGATGTGTTGGAGCAGTCCAAGCAGTACCATTAGAGTGTCAGGAAGCTAGCATCCTAGCGCTATAGCCTTCTCCATATTGTCCCGCGCTCTGATCTAGTGAAACCTTGACATGTGCAGGATTTGCTCAGGTTAGGCGACTAACAATAGTTTCTCTACCATAGGCCCTAAGGAACGGCGGCAGATACATCGGTGGTGTTGCCAACGGGCCGGATTGGGAGGTTAAAGGTGGAAGCATATCATGCCATCTCGCCATCCTTGTCTTCTCCCTCCTCCTCCGTCTTTATTCCTTGCATGTTGCCGCCCTCCTCTCGATTTCCTAGTTGCCGCCGTCCTCTGTCCTGAGCTTCTGCTGGCCGTCGTACTCCTTCTTGACCTGGCGTTCGACCCTGCGATGCTGTACCGCTGCTGCCCTTGAGAGAGCAACCTTCGTTTTCATTATCTTCACATCACCGAGGAGACGTTCTGCACCAACTTTGGCAGTCTTGAGTCTTTGTTCCAACGCGGCCCCACGCATTGCTCCTTTATTCTCCCATCTGATGAGCTCCAAATCGATGGAAGCGATCAGATCTTTGGCTTTGTTGAGTCGCTTCTTGTAGCTGGCTTGCTTTGAGTAGAGCGGGTGCGCCTGAGAGGTGGTGAGTTAGCATGGCAATAAAGTAGACCATAAGAAAGCATAAAAGGATTTGAATAGGCTTACCGTCTTCTTTGTCCTCGCCATGGTTCGATAGGCCAGACGTGAAGTGAGATGTGGTCTCTGGGTGCACCTCATGGCTGGATGTGGAGGTGAGGTGGGAAATAGGATTGAGGACGAGCACAACAGACGGCGCGTGACGCGTTCACGAATCGGATGAAGGTAAGTTCCGTGGAAAAGTCTGGTAAGCAGCCAGTTAGCAAGAGGCAGGCTAATTTGCACTACTTGAAACTTGACATTGCTCCTGTGTTTTTGAAGTCCCATGGGGGTACTCCAAACAGTGGTGAACGCGTGTGCACAGACTTATGACCTGTTCACTGTGCAGGCCTACGATAGAGGACTTGGGGAAGTGATGGGCCTTGCTCTGCGGTAATTTCATTGCCCCGCGTACGCTGCGTAGTTACTTTTCCACGTGACCAAAGGGTCCCTAAGTCAGTGTGTTCAGACTGATATGTCGTCCAGTCAAGCTCTAGGCTGAAGACTGAACTCAAATGTCCCGCTAGGAAAAGGATTCCTTATGGCTGGTCCGTCCAGATCAAAATCTAATCAAACGGAGTGAACGACCATCACCGAGACCGTAAGGTTATAGCTTGCCAAGGGAAGCGCACAATAAGTAGGATAGAGTAAGAATTAACATCACTTGGGATAATTTGAAATGGTTGAACGTCAATGGCATTTTGAAAATGGACACTGGATGGTTCACTACAGGTGCTTTCTACTTTTGCGAGATAAAGACGTACGTGAATTGAAAAAGGGCAAAAATGATATTCACTACACATTCACCACTCCGCGATTCGAACCAGGACCTCCGAGGAAGTATGGAAACAAAAAGAAATTGGTCACTTTGCTGTGTACGGTTTGGAATAGCGTGAGCTTTAACACACTGCGCCAATGCGATTGTTGAGTGTGCTATGTCACCGCCCGGTACGTGCCCTTGGATTTCTCAATTTCTTGAAAACCATCCAAAATAACTCGATCTATATACCCTTAGAATATGCGCACGTGTCACCCTACCAAAATTCATTCCACCAATATTCAATCTACACTCGTCACATCGTCTTCAAATCGCCGGTATCCCAGCAGCAACGAGGAATATGCATAACCCTACTCCTCAGCATCAAGCTGAAGAATCTCTTGACCGCAGCATCGCGAACGAAGTTAATCCGGTATCCTTTCGCCAACTTGAATTGCCAAAAAATCCCATTACCAATCGTGACGCTGCTCTCTCCCCCCCCTCTCCTCTTTCTTCCCTCATCTTTGTTTATCGGTTGGCACAGTCCAGCGTCGAAATCCCCAATATATATGGACAGATCATCCGGTATACCTAAGGCGAGCTGGATGGATTAAGTCAAGCGCGTAGCAGTTTAAAATAAATCGATACAGCCTTTACATTAGTTCCGCCCGCCCTCGAAAGCCGCATCTACACCCTCAAAAGACCATCCGTAGGCCCCAATCTAACCCGTGCAGTACGAGACAAGCAGCTGGACCCGGAGGATGAAGTCATTAATCACAATGTATTATATGCTCATGCCTCACCAAATACCGTGATGACGAAAGCCCCTCTCAGAAAGCGAGAGTTTCGCATCCCACACACATACCGCTACCCCAACACCTCCCGCCATCAACCCTACAACCCGACCACATCTGAGCCTACCTAACCCTCCTCATCGCTATGACTCTCACTGTCCGTCTCAGACTCACTCTCAAACCCACCCTCCTCCCCAGCCTCCCTCTCCATCAACTCCTGTACCACCCTCTCCAGTATCCTCTCCAGCCTCCGCGTCTCCTCTTCCACCCGTCCGACCCTACTCCTCACATTTCCCACATTCTCCGAGATTCCATTCCCAATAAGCTCCATCTCCTCGCGCATCCTACCCTCCACATCTCGGCGCAGGACCCCCATATCGTCGTATATCCCCATGTTCTGCGCTAACACTTGCATATTGAGAAGGTGGATCCTTGCGTTGGCGTCGGCGAACTTGGCGTCGAAGGATGATTGGAGCTCGGCGAGCTTGGTCTCGAAGTTGAACTCTAGTGCGGCGAGTTTGGAGTCGAAGTGGGCGGTTAGCATTGAGATGGTGTCCTGGGTGGGGGTGGAGGTGGTGAAAGGAGAGTGATCTGTGAGGGGATTAGCTCGGATCAGAAATGTGTGATATTGTAGATTGGATAGCTTCTAGAGGTTTCTGATGCTGGGGTGCGCGCGTAAAACCGTAGTAAGTGTGCGCGAAAAGATGAGGGTATGAGAAACTAGACGTACCGAAAGGCATTGAGTGGGAACCTTCGTCGCTCTCTGGCATTACAGGCCCATCCTCCTCGCGAAGTTCTTCTAGAGCCCGGGAGCGTACTACGCTAGACTTCTGTCTGTGACGGCCGCGTGTAGTGCGAGAATCTGGAGACTGAGATCTAGAAGTGGGAGTCGGCATCGTGAAGCCTTTGGAGATTAGAAGAGACATCTCCGCGGCAGCGGCAGATCGCCTGACAATCTTTCTCCTGATATTTTGTGTTTCGCTCGACTTCAAGTTTTTGATCCATCTCGCGGCCTCTGCTTTCTCCTCCTTGGTCTTCAGTCCCTTCAATAGTTCAATATCCTCAAAAAGCTTTGCATTGAACGCCCTCACCCGGGGCGCGTAGTCCTTGTGATTGCCAGATACGCCAAGAATTCCCTCGTCTCGCATTCGCTGGAGGACGACGTTCTTGATCGACTCAAATTTTCTATTGGCCGCCGAGGGATAAAACATGTTGAGGTTGGTGCCGTGACGACTTTGTTCGCGGTAGAGGAGGGAGGAATCTTCACAGGTGATAACGCCCCTGAGAGTAGCTAGAGGATGTGAGTCGCATCCGGCGCTTGCGAGTGAAGTGAATCATAGGGGAGCCGGTCCGGTGTTTTGATGACGACGTCAGACCTAAGTCCTCCGATCACATGTAAAGCAACCACGCAGCGTGCGCGGGGCAGTAAAGTTCCCCAAATCCATCTGTTCGCCGTCTCTTCATGGCGGAACCAAGGTTCATTCGATCCGTTGTTGTGACATAGCCCTTCACTCATCGTCGCCCTAAACCTCAAACTCAATCCAACACACCCTACACCTTCAGCATCACACCACCACATCCAGCCTGTCATCAAGCATGTCAAAGAGAGTAAGCGTATCTAACGTCCTGTCCCCTTGCCCCATTGTCGAAACGTCATCGCACGTCTCTTCCATCCCTTTCGTCGCATCACAGCAAACAACACCCACCCAGCCAAGACCTACTACTACCCGCCCACATAGGAAGCCGACGTCGACGCGCTGGTGCGTTCCAAACGCCAGAAGGGTGGCGATCCCCGTGAAGGCACTGGCAGATCATGCATCTGCAAGACCCCAGATCAGCATGACGACTGCGAAGATTCCGACAACGAGCCGGGAGGAGTGGAACCCACCTCCGAGCTGCCTGCCGATACCGACAACGAGATAAAAGAAGACGATGACCTCACCTCCGAGCTGCCTGTGGCTACCGACAATGAGATGGAAGAAGACGAAGACCTCACTTCCACGCTCCAAGAGGTTACGGGCTTCTCCAGCTTCGGTCACCGTCAGACCAAGCCCAGGCGCAAGAAGGTCAAAGGCAACCACACATCCCCACTGCCCAACGACACCGACCACGAGATAGAAGAAGACGAGGACCTCACCTCCACGCTCCAAGGGCTTATGGGCTTCTCCAGCTTCAGCACCACCAAGGACAGCAAGGTCAAAGGCAACTACACGGCGGTCTGCGCGCGGATCGACGACCCAGCCGACTGGCATCAAACGCTCGAGGTTCGCGAGAAAGTGAGTAGGCTCATCACAGACGAGAAGGCGGGAAGGATTGAGCGCCGGAGAGGGCGGGCGAACCTGATTGCGATGGAGTGGGAGAAGGATATGGTGAGGGGCTTTGGACAGATGAGGCTGGACCAGAAAGGCAAGGAGAAGCATCGCGAGGAGAAGAGCAAGCTTGCGAACAACAGCGCGGTTCGGATCGAAGACTTGAAGGCAGTCTGGGGTCTCCCAGGCGGTGGCAGCCACGATGAGAAGAAGAAGTGAGAGGAGCGAAGAGTTCGGATGTGATAGCCGAACATTCTGGGGCAGTTGATAGACCAAAGAGGACTTTCTCGAGGGTTCAAATGCTAAAATCCAAGATGTAAACATTCAAACACCATGAATCAGATCCTTTTACGTGACAACATATGCTGCCCACAATCTCCATGAAGTGACAATCCAGCACTGTTTGGGGTGGCCCGTTACGTTATCAAAAACTGTGAAACGACAGATTTGGCAGCTCTCATAGCTCACCAGGCCACCCCAGACACTGCTAGGCAAGTATACACAGTTGCAGAGTGGGTATCTTTCTAAAACGTGAAGTAGCAGCCCAGCACCGTCTGAGGTGGCCTGATACATTCTCAAAGGCCCTGAAACAACAGTTTTGGCAAATCTGATAGCTTACCAGGCCACCCCAAACGCTGCTGGGCAAGTGTACACAGTTACAGAATGGGTGTGTTTCGAAAACATGAAGTAGCAGTTCAGCACCGTCTAAGGTGGCCTGATAAGTTATCAAGATCTGTGGAACGACAAATTCAGCAGGCCTGATAGCTCACCAGGCCACCTCAGACACTGCTAGGCAAGTGTCCACAACTCTGGAGTGAGTATGTTATTGACACGTGCTTACCTGTAATTTTATAGCTCTAGAAGTGACCTTAATTCTCGAGCTCTCTGGGGCAGCTAACAGGGTATCAAGGGCCCACTTAGGGACTTGAATTTGAAAAGCTGAGATGTACCAATCGGTACGCTCTAGATTAGACTTCAGGCTATAATAATCTCAAAGCCTGCCTCTGCTACCTTACTTCGAGGACTGGGCTTAGTGCTCGAGTGTTTTGGGGTAGCTGGTGAAGAACCGAGGGCCCACGTGAGAGTGGAATTTTCGAAAGGTAGGATGTAACGACCCACACGCCGCGAATAGGACTTGAGGCTATGAGAACTTAAAAGACCGCCTCTAATGCTATACTTCGAGAACTAGAGCTAGTGCTCGGCTGGTTTGAAGTAGCTGATACAGAACCAAATACCTACACGAGGGTCCAATTTTCACAAAGGTGAGATATAATAACTGAAACGCCGCGAATGAGATGATAGATAGCAACGAATTTAAAAAAGACGATAGGAACGGTCCATGAAGTCTAAGTAGAATGATAGTGGTATAGAACTGCTTGCCCTGCATACTCCCCTTTCTCGCTTATCCAAAGCCTCACTTCCCTACCTGATCCAATGCTTCGCTAGCAGTAACAAACCTCTCTACGCCCGGCCTCGCCGTCTTCCCATCCGCCGCCTCCTTCACATCACTCTCCTCCCCCTCTTCCGCAATCGTATCATCAGCACTAACACTATGCAACGTCAAAGTGCTAGCATTAACCTCCTTCCCTACTCCCCCCACCGACAACTTGAACGGATACGCGACCCCAGCTCGCGTCGGCCGCGTACTCAGCGTATCGCTCTCCGGCACGATCGTAGGCGGCAACATGGGTTCATCTTCTTCCGGCGCGCTGATCAGGAACTCTGGTGCCGCTTGTGTCGCTTCCGCATAGGGGGTTGAAGGGGCTATAGCCTCTAATGCGGCGTCGGCTTGGCCGCGGTCGGTGACTGTGCTGACGCGGGACCGCGAACGGGAGCGGGAATGGTCTGCGGAGGTTGTGCTGGGGAGTCTGAGGCGGAAAGACCCACGGCCAGAGGTAGAACGGTTGCGAGGTCTAGGCAGTGGTTTGAGGGGGGAATCTCCAGTAGCCGTGGTTTCGTTAGGCGCTGCTGTGTTTTCGGCATCGGCGGCTGTGGTAGAGGGCTGATCGGCTTCCTTTTCGGCTTTTTGTTCGCGTTCGATCTGTGAGGTGTTAGCATAGCACACGCAAAATCTAGTGCTGGGGTATTCGTGTGTGTAGTACACCACCTATGATGCTTCGATACATCATCGGAGATCTCGGTTGGTGTAAGATGATCTGAATAGCAACCTCCTAATTGTAACCTAATAAGGTAACATCCGGTCGCGATGATCCACTTACGGCTTAGCCAGTTGTTGATCGTGCATCACAGCATAGAAGATAATGAGCGCACCCAGAACTTCCTGGTACTGCATACCGAAGGAATGGCCCAACGGGAATGAAAAAAAAGGGGTATACTTACGGTCATCTCGTCATGCTTGCTCCCCCAAACACTCCACATGCTCATTCCCCAACTCTTCTTGTTCGCTTTCTGCATCTCCATACCCTTGACCCTTCTCCCTGCTAATGCAGTTGGAGGAGGGACCTCGCCATCGAAACCCTCATATCCGCGTTCCATGTGCTTTATTCTCTTTTTTTGGACAGCCCTCTTTTGTTTAGCGAAATTTTCATTCCACTTGCTTTGCGCCGCCATCCACTTTCGTACTGGGCCAGGCTTGATCGTTCCAATCTCAGAGGACTCCAATTGCAACGCCTCGAGTTCCGAGGGTGGCACAAGAGAGTGGATTACACCATTTCGATCAATCCGTTGACGAATCATGTGCTTGTCGAAAGGTGGGAGCGGATCCCCGGCCTTGCCCACTTCGGGTCCTTTAACACTAGTAGCTTCGCGGCTAATCCGATCGAAGCCTACCTTCTGGGCGCTATGGGGCATGGAAAGTTTAATGTCCTCTGGTGCCAAGTTGCTGCCAGAGCTCGTTGATGAGCTAGAGCTAATGACCGAGACATCATCGTCGTCGAGAATATCGATAGCAGTCTTCTGCGCGTGTGCAAGAGCCCATGCGCCGAATTGAGCAATGCTGCGGTACATGTACTTCGCGGGACGAGTGAAGCTAAGCGTCGGGGCAACATGGCAAAGGTCATCCCAGACCTGCAGTTGGACATATGTGGGGCGATGCCGTGAGACTTGGGACTGAATGAGTTCTGCTGACTGATGTATGGAGGGACTTGGAACGTAGGAGAGAGGCGAAGCCGCTTTGTGTGCAATGTAGATTTGTTCATCTCGTAGGAGTTCGCCACCCCCGACTTGGATCAAGAGAGGTGGGAGGCCACCGAGAGATGGCGTTAGCGCTGGAGAAACCAACGGGTGGTTGATGAGATGGTTCGCAGCATATATTTGGATCTGGTCTTTGATCTCGATCATCTCTCCATCAATGTTGATGGATAGAAGAGCATGCTGGGATATCGCAGGATTTGTCGTTTCGGTCGAACTCTTCACGCCGTCCGTACTTTCGTTGATAGGCTTGAGGTCTGGCCGCTCGGCGTCTCGGACGGAGAATCCGCGGACTCGCTCTTTGTGTGCTTCTTTTTTTGCCTCCTTTTCTTCTCTGCTAGTTCTCGCCTTGGGAAGATAGGGTGTTAGTTTGTCTTTCGAGTCTGCGTTGCGAGTGCCCTTGTGGAGCTCGAGCATATCGTCTACGCTGGGTGGTGCTTCAAAAGTTAGCTTAATATTCGATTAAAACGCAATGCCAAAACTTACGCCAACTCATGCATGGCTTGTGGACAAACCCATGCGCTGGAATGTAATCCAAGCGACCATCACCTCCTAGACTAGGGAAGGAGTGGGTCAAGTCAACCCAAGGCGATATCAGGATTGCCCCAGCCGGTAACGGGACACCCTGGTCTCGCAAAATGACCAACATACTCAGGACCATGCCACCACCAGCAGAGTCACCAGCCAATATGATTGTAGTGGGATCGTGATTCTCCAGTAAGTAGAGGTAAGCCGCCAAGCAGTCATAGAGACCGCAAGGGAATGGGAACTGAGGCGCAAGACGATATCTCGGCGCTAGGACTCTCGCTTTCAGCTTTCGCGCATGTCGCTGCATTTGATACCGATGCTCGTCAACGCTGCCGAAGTAGTATGCGCCGCCGTGCACGTAAAGCATTATCCGCTGTCCTTCTCCGCCCCCAACCTTCTTGCGCTCATTGTAGTCTTTGCGCATCTCAATCCACTCGGCCTTCAATACGCCATTGTCGCGTCGCCATTGCCACCATTTCTTCCCTCCGACTTGTTGTATTCCTTCTGGACCTAGCTGCGCCTCGAGATACTCGGCTGACTTGGCGAGCTTGGCTTGTGGTATCTCGATGACTTCTTGCTTGACCCAGGCGGGCACTGGCACCCACTGGGCCGTAAAGGCTTGGATGTCTTCGACGGTGTGAAACGAAGCATAATGTAGGAACTGGCGCACAAGCTGGAGGCCTTCGTGATAGGATATGTGCGCGGTGGGTTTTTGGCGGAGTGGTTTGCGATTGAGGTACTGTCATGGTGAGCGCGCGTCGCAAGCGGTTGTTTCGCGGCCTTACGTGTGATATGTAGGTTTCGATGACTGTAGGAGTCACGGCAGCACCGACAGATAGGGTGCTAATAGGCATCTTAGAGGTTGATATGTAGATATTCGAAGTTGAATGGGAGGTTCGCGGGATGAAGGAGCTGAGGCCGCTGTACCTTCCACAAGAGACGAGACACTCAGACGATCAGGGTATTAGACATTGAAGGAAAGGCATTCACTGCACGGTGAGAGAGGATTGGGTATGCAAGGACAATAGTTAACGCAGGTCGTTAAGTTGTGAGCAGATGCAGCTAGACGTCATCGTCCCGGGGTTCTTGGCGGGGATCGTCGCTTCCGAGAGCAGCCAGCCGTCACGTGCTATCAAGTTTCAGATGAATGAAAACAGCCAGCAACGCTGAAGGAATGTGTATTGATTCTCAATCTAGGAAACGAAGCCCCAGTGCCAACCGTCCTGCCAGAGTGAGAAATGCTCTCGCTAAATTACGAAACCGTGCGCCACCTCCCCTTCCATGTGTCGTTATCCAAGTGTCATTCTGGTGAAACATACGTATCTAAGCCAGCTCCTGGGCGTCGATTTCTTCAACGTGGTCCAAGTGCTTGGCGGGTGTAACGGACTCGACGGCCTTCCCTAGCTCAAGAGGCTCAAGAGGCTTGACAGGCTTGAGAGGTTTGACTGGTTTGACTGGCTTGGCTGGCTTGACTGGCTTGACTGGCTTAACTGGCTTCACGTACGACGGAACCTTGCGCCAGGGGTTCGTTGGCACATCCGGCTGCTCGGAGGAGCTAGGCTTAGTCTTCTTGCAAGGCTTCTTGCCAGAGACGTCTTTGCCATCATCCTTCCAGTCCGGCGGGAGCAGGCCGGCGCTCTTATACTTGTGAATCGCCTGGCCGTAGATCCTGTTCCAGTCGTTCGATTGGCAGCGTTGACCAACATGCCTGATCCGTCGCAGATAATCCGGGAGGGCGACAACGGTCCCATTCTTGGGGTCCACCACCTTGTCTTCTTCCCATGACTGCAGCTTGCGGTCGAACCAGTCAATCGTGCACCAACTGCAAGAAGTCTGGTTTTCACCAGGGCCGAAGGAGCGCTCCTGACGGTAGCCGGACCAAGGCGTCCACGTGTCGTCGCACTGGTCGTTCGCGGCCCTATACTTGTACCCAGGACGCTCAGTCCTTGCCATGCGAGTAGCGCTCTCAATGAGGTCAAGGCCCTCGAGGTTCGCGGTGTTCATGCCATCGACAACGAACCAGTCATTGTACAGGTCGTTGACACAATAGTCCGAGGTGTAGTATGAGAGAGGGTTCTTGCGACAGGTGTGCTGAAGACGACGCTGGATGGTTGAAATCACAGCAACGGGGCTGTCTTCAAGCTCTGGGTCGGCCGTGAAAGGGCCGACGTAGTTTTCCATGTCGAACTTGTCCTCGGGCGTGCATTGAGACACAATGAGCTGGTAGGCTCGGTTCATAGCGTCCGTGCAGGATCTCTGGCATATTGGCCCTGAGTACGAAGTGGGATCAAGCTCGAACAGTGTTTCATGCTTCCCGTTATCCCACGAACGGTTCCAGATCTTCTCATGGCATGGGATGTAGTTGAGCGAGCTCCAGGCAGTCTGGCAAGCGGGGTTGGGGCCGTATACAAGCGGAGGGTACACGTTAGGGAAATTGAGCCTGTTGTTGGAAGATCGCCATGGCTGGTTGAGAGGGATATGAGTTCTCTGTTGATACGACCGATAGTTCTGCGGGCAGTGGTCAGGACGTCGAGCGAGGATCCCGGTTGAGATACTGAGCGCCACAACGGTCGTGATCAGAAGAGCGATGAAGCCCATGATGGAGATGCTGGCCCAGCTTCGCTTCGAGCGCTTCCCGTTCGTCCAAGCCGGACGACGGAACAGGCTCGCAAACCTCTGAAATGGTCCTCGACGGTGCGGGCAAGGCGTGTCGTTTCCACGAGTCCTGTTTGACAAAAGAGGTGCGCTGGTGCTGTAGAGACCTTCATCGTCACTGACTTCGGCCTCATCCCGAGTTGCTTCAACTCCGTCATCAATTCTCTCCTCGACCGGCTGCGCCGGTACAGGAGTATAGTCCTGAGACGATGGTACACCCATCGCAGTGGTATTGCGGGGTGACTAAATTAAGGAAATGTTCAAGTGATTGATTATAGCGTAGTGAAGGTCGATAGTCGTACGAGGTGTATTAACCACGGTAAATCTGGTAGCAAGAAGAAACAACAGAGGGAGGTATAGAAGAAGTAGTTCCGTGTTGCCTAGGTGGTTGTTTGAGGGGCAACGACAAAGATAGATAGCCTGACGGCCGCGTGTAAGGCTGTTTTTCACTGGCTGTGTATGCCTCGCAAGGCTTGGCTGAAACCGATTTGGGACTACGGCGGGGAACGGGCAGTGCTGATTGGCATAGATGAACCCACAGTGCCTCTTGAGGATTCCCATCCTTGTAGTATACAGCAATACGAAGTCCGCCCAAGTTCCTTCGGATGTGTTTGCGGGGCGGCGCAGCAGCTGCTCCAAACAGGGATAAATAGGTGCGAAATAGGGTAGCGGCCTTACAAAGCACTGCGACACTTACTCGTTGCTGCGGGCCTCCGAGCTTTTGTATACAAAACATGTCGATCTCAGGCGTATTTTGACCACTCAAGGGCTCTGGGGTGTGGTGTTGGGGTGTGGTGTTGGAGTGTCTGCGCCAGCTCACCAGAATCCATCGCCTTCAAGCAAGTGAGACATTGACGATGTGTCGCCAGCAAGGCTCACTTCTCATCATCAGGCATTTACCGATGGCGTTCCCCTTCGACCATGAGCAGTAGAATGTCGTCTTGATGATCGACAGAGCCATTTGAGAGCTAGAGCTTCTGGGACAAGAAGAGGGAGAATATCATTGCGAGAGATGAATACAGATGAATGACCGCCATTACCTACCGTCTCTTGCCAAGCTGCAGCAAGTAGAAGAGTGATGCTAAACGACGAAGAATAAATGAGCGCAACGGGATTGCGGTACGGCTCTTGGCCATTTCGATATCAATGTCTTATCTGCATTGTCTGTCCTCGGAAATCTCTTGGAAGGGGTTATCACGCTTGTCTACCACTGCTCGAAGTCATTCGGTACATCTTGGGCCTGTACAGAACCTAGACTACCATCTTAAACAATATGTGAGCTCCCTGGGTTACCTTAGGCGGTCATCTGCAAATTTCTGAACGAGCCTGTGCATGCCAAGCATCATCATGTGCCAGAGTTGTGATACCCAACCTTTGAGCATCATACCTAGAGTCAAAAACCTCATCTTCATCTCGGGTAATTACAAGCCCTCGTCGTGTGTCGCGACATTCAGCCGAATATAGTTGTGACCTCATTCTACCTCGCGCTCTGGTCGCAAGCATCGTAGCAAATCCCGCTAGTCCCGCTCCTCCGCATCCAGGCGGCGAGTTCACTGTTGAAGCTTCACACTTCACACTTCACACCACCATCCGCCCTCACGACGCCGCGCCCGCTATATCTCTAGGCCTACTACACCTTCCACCGTTGCTGCCCCTCATCGCGCACAGCAATGGACAGCGCGTACGACCACATCCAGGAAGAAAGCTACCCGGACGACGAGCCCCGCGCCCAGGACAGCTCCCAACGCCAGAGCGCCGACTTCAATTCGGAGATTCAGGAGGCTTACAAGGCTATATCCGCCAGCCCGTGGGCCGCACGCTTGGGTGGCTTCCTAGGGACTGTCAAGAAGCAGGTGGGCAGCTCCGGCTGCACTTTCAAGTGCCGGACTGACATAGTGGCATAGGGCGAGCAATACTACGATGGCGCCCGCAAGGAAGCTGCTGCTGCCAGTGAGCAGGCCAGCAAGGGCTTGACCTCCATCATAAGCCGAACTCGCGCGGTTTCTATTCAACAGCCCGAATCAGAGGCCAGCTCTTCAAAGGATGCGTCGACCGCAGAACCCTCATCCCCGCCACACCCCGACCGCCCTGAATCACTACCGGCAGACATTGTCAAGGAAGCCGAGGGCATCCTCGCGCGCTTCAAATCCGAGGCTGCTAAGCGGTTGAAGGACATCGAGAAGGCAGAAGACGCAGCGGACGAAGCCCTGCTGAAATTCGGCACCAACATCCGGAGTTTCCTGCGCGAGGCCGTCACAATTGCGCCGCCGGACGCCCAATCCTCGTCCGATGACCCTACCAAGGTGCTCTTCGAGAGCAAAGACTCGGAGGGCAAGCGTGTGATCCATACGACCCGCTTCGATGCCCAGCTACACGTCATCCACTCCTCCCTCGACAGCTTCCTCAAGGACCCGGTGAGCCCGGAATGGGCGGGTTGGGCCGACAAGTTCGACATCGACGGCAAGACCGACGCGATTTCCAAAGACCTAGAGAAGCACGAGGAGTTAAGGCGAGCAATGGAGAAGCTCGTACCAGAAAAAGTCGAGTACGCCCAGTTCTGGAAACGGTACTATTTCCTCCGCCACGTAATCGAGAGCGAGGAGCAGAGGCGGCGAGAGATGCTGAAAGGTAATCCCCCTAACCCACGCCATCCCCAACCGTCAATTACAAAACACAATGCTAACATGACATTGTAGCTTCCGCAGCCGCCCCCTCCGACGAAGAAATCGGCTGGGACGAAGACTCCGACGACGACTCCCCCACCCCGCACCCTCACCCCCTCGCCGCGTCCAAAGAAACCCTCAAGCCCGGCGAGAACCCACACTCGGACCTCCTCAAGCCCGAGGCCGCGCCCCGCCACTCCAACGATGGCCACTCCCAGGCCGACAGCGACGCGAGCTACGACCTCGTGAGCGGTGCGACGAGCCGCGCGCCGGGGAGTCCAAAAGACGCGAAAAAGGAGACTGTGAACGAGGAAAGCGATGAGGAGGATTGGGAATGAAGAGTTAGCGGCTTTGCTAGGTTTGTGGGCGGCTCTGTAAGGTGTAGCTGCTGTGGTTGTGGTAATCTTCGATTGATTGCGGTTTGGGCGCGCCCTATGCGCGGTGTTTCTGGCGTTGTAGCTTGCTAGGATTTCTTCGGCGAGGATTCCGTTGCTTTGGGATTGTCTTGCGCCACCTATACCTCCTAGTGCCTTGCGTTAAGAAATGCATAATCAGGTCCTCTTCAAGAAATCAGACATAAGACGTAATGTTGTGAAGAACAGAAGCAAGTGGTATCTTATTGGGACTCCGTATCTCATGAACACATAGCATCTAACCCAGTACCGTGGCAATGCAGAACAAACATAACAGCCTTTAGCTTACTCTAGCAAGCAAGCTTGACCTCAGAACATGCTCTCGTCCTTTATAGGTCCAGCGCCCTACTTCATCGCCGCCCCTTTCCACCGCCGCCCTTTTCTCTACCACGCTTGCCGCTCCCCCAACCTTCAACTCATCCCCATCCCCACTAGCTATTCCTTCTTCCCACTACTCGGCGGCGTCTCCACCCCTAAACCTACCACATTCTCCTTCCCCTGTCCTCCTCCGCCAACCCTCGGGCTACTCGACGTCGCCGGTGCCGTCAGTGGCCCTCCACGAAACGGAATCGGCCCCGTATTCCCCGTCGCGCGCCTCAGCAACGGACTAGGGCTCGACATCGCATGCCTCGGCATTGGGCGCTGCTCGCGTGACGGTAGCAGGATATCCTGCGCCGAGTAACCCGGCGAGCTGGGTGAGTATCCAGTGGTGCCCGGGGAGTACCTCGAACTCGGCGGGAACTGGCCCCTGGACGGCGTGTCGATGCGCGACGGGGTTTGCGAGCGCGAGCGACTACTGATAGAAAGAGTGGGACGAGGATAGCCATTGTAGTCAAAGGTGTCGGGGGCGTTGGCGAAGCCCCCGTAATGCGGATCGCCGAAACCGTTGTTGTAGCTGCTGTAGTCGTCGCCGTATGGGGTTCGTTGGCCTTCGCCGTCCAGCCACTCGCCACTACCCTCCGCATCCTGGTTGTGTGAGAGATATTCCTCGCCCCTTCGCTTTATGGGGCTCTCGTTGTACGGATCGAAGCCTACGCGCCTCATAGCGTCGCGGCGGACGCGCCGCCGCAGTTCTGCGTCTCCACCGGCACCGACGGTAGCATTCTCGTCGAGGAAGAAGTTAAGGTGCTCGTCGGGGATGGCCAGGTGGGAGGATTGCTGGAATTGCTGAAGGGAAGTGAGTCGGATGAGCATTTCGAGGAGGGAGAGGGAAGTTTTGATTGCCGGAAAGGGGCTAGGCTTTGGGGTGTGTTGGGGGAGTGGGGTGGCGTGTTTGGTCGGAGAGGGAATGAGCTGTGTGTTGGGTGGTTGGGGGGTTCCTGCCGGTGAGGGAGTGGGAGTGCGGAGATTGAGATTAGAGAATTTGGAGGCTAGGGGAGATGGATCCGCAGAGGAGGCGGTGGGGGTTGCTGGTCGTGGAGAGGCCTTGTAGCCGGCGGATGAGGGTGTATCGGCTTCGAGTTCGCTCTCAGTATCAGAGTCCAAGGGGAATTCGGTATAGACTTCGAACGCCATCCATTCCGGATCCAGACCAGGAGGCAGTCGCCACGGGTTATGGGGCTGCTTAGGCGCCTCAAGAGGCTCTTCTGAGAGATTGACGGAAGACTCACGTCGGAGTTGGGCGTCGAGTTCTAATTGCTCGTCATTGGGATCAATGGGTGACTCGCCTTCATCCCATTCTTCTTCCCGACGACGCATCATACGGCGTGGAGGCTGTGCGTTGATATCGCGCTTAACAAGTAGGATCGGATTATTGGTCTCGCCTTCAGTGCCGATGTTGAGAATCTTGCCAGTATCCGCGTAGAATATCTTAGAAATCTGATGAATAGGTATTATCTCGCGGATTCCTGCGCTCTCCACGTCATCATAGGGACCTGGTTGCGGCTCACCCTCTTCAATGCTATGCATTCTGTCGTCGTCCAAATCTTCGATAATCTGGAACTGGTACGCAAACTCGTGGGTCTTGCCCTCGGAAGGAATTTGATCGGGAAACCATCCATTACGCGGAGCTCCGTTCAAAGGGGCAAGACCTTCCAACATATCTAGGGGAACACGCAAAAGCTTCATGCGCGTCTTGTGAATGACCTCTTTCCAGGTGGTTTCTCGAATGCTTTGTTCGTCTTGGGGCCTCCGTGAATGGCCAGCGAAGAGCATATACATGGACAGGGTGAATGTTGGACCAATCTGCTGGGTACGGGACGGGGTTGACATGTATTGTCTATCACCGTCCGTGAGAAACGTGCTAGCTTGGAGGAGCCGAGACGGAGATACAGTCTGCGGGAGAGTTGTCGACATGCTGGCTCCAGAGGTTGTGATGGCCAGATTGATGAGAGGGAGCGCATCTTCGATCCGCTCGAGCAGCTTCTTGATATCGGAGGCAATTAGTTTGAGCTCGAGCGCATTCTGCTCTCGAGACCTAGCACTGGCACCGCCTTTTCGCGCTAGCTCCTGCTCTCCCACGGCTTTCCCAAGTCGTGTTCCCAGCTTTTGAATGTCCCACCGAAGTTGGTTCGTTAGCCCTACTGCGGACTCCAGGGACGTGTTGCCGCGGGCTGCGATGAGCTCGATCATGTCAATGGCAGGAGCAATAATCTATGCCAGTTAAAGCCTGATACTGATGCGGACGTTGTTCCACTCACCCTGATCTTGCTCTCAAGCCGTGTCTGCAAGGTTTTGATCTCGTCACGCTCCTCGCCTTTCGCAGCGGCCTACACAAGGATTAAATCATTTGGGTGTTATTTTGGAGGGGGCAACGTCTTACCATCACCAACTGGGTACATTGCTTGATTGCATATCCACCCGTAAGACTAATACCAGTCCGGATGGCATAGTTCATTGCCTGCTGGGTCACCTAGAGAAATCGTAAGAAGCATGCAACGGAAGATATATGAAGACTTCTTCGGGAACGAAATGGGGACTCTTCAAGTCAGCCCTATCGAAAAGAAGCAACTCACGTTTTTCAAAATGTAGTCCATCTTGACGTGCTGGTGTCGGAGCAAGCGATGGTGGACTAAAGACTGCAGAGCACACGCGAATGAAAGAAGTTGAGTATTATTTATTGAATCGCCACGGTGAAAGAGCCTAAGCGGAAGCACTCAGACATGTTGCAGTAGCTCTAGGGTGTCAGAAGGTGAATCAAAGCCGACTTTGGGCGCGTGTGGTTTGGTGGTGGTGTTGTTGTATGGGCCCGCTGGTGGTGTTGGCTTTCTGCAAGGCTGCCGTGCATAAATATGGGTCGAGTATTTCGCGCCCGCTTGGCTCGCACTAGTGCTTTCACAACACGGTACAACGCCGTCTGAGGCGGCCTCGAAAAACTTGAATACAGTTGCAAAGCCTTTCTTTCCAGTTTCTAAAACTAAGTAGGATACATGATACATGAGACCGTAACCCCAATATATACATAGAACTACAACCAGGCGGCCGTGTTGCCGTTGCACAAGTGGCATGGAAATTTATGCATTTGATGCCAAGAGCGGGCAGTTTACGTGGCTCCGACCGCAAGGCTGCTGGCCACATGCGAGCCTCGAAATTGGGCAGTCTTTCCAAGGTTTGCCCCGCCACAGGGCCCGTCGCGCATCAGAGGAAAAGGTTGCTGCAGCCCTTTGCAGCCCTTCAACGAACAACATCAACCTCCCCGTGCCCCCCCGGTGCGGCGTCCAGCACGACCATCTTTATCGCACCACCTCCACCACGCCGTCCGCTCCCTTCTTCACCGCTGCCTCGCAGCTTCATCGCACACGACTACCCCGCCGTTGCCCGCACAATGGCCGAGTCTTGGGAGCAAGAAGAGGAGGAGCTCTCCCGCCAGACGCAGCAAAACCTCAACCTCAACAACCCGCAAGCAGGCACCTTCCGACCCGGCGCCTCGAGCTTCCAGCCCGGCGTGCCGTCCTTCCAGCCCGGCCAGTTCCAGCAATACGCAGGCGGCTACGGCCAGCAGGGCTACGGACAGCAGCAGCAATACTATACCCCACAGCAGCAACAGCAAGGATACGGATATCCTCAGTACGGCCAGCAAGGCTACGGAGCCCAAGGCCAGTACCCCCAGTACGCACAGCAGGGCGCACAGCAGGGCTACAGCCAGCAATATGGTGCCTTCAACCAGCAGCCCGGCGGATTCCAACAGCCTCAAGGTCAGGCCCAGCAGAGGCAGGTCCCCGTAATTGCAAAGAGGCCACAGGCAGGAGACAGTGCTGCGCCCGCGCAGAGTGCGCCCTCGCCTGCTCCAGCTGCGAAGCCTGTCACAACGACCAGCGCCGGACCGAAGGTACTAAGCATCACCGGAGACGCGCCCAAAGCCAAAGTCCTGTCCATTAGCGCAGATACCACAACCAAAGTCGAGACCGCCGGCAAGACAAAGGTTCTCAGCATCGGCTCGACCGCACCACCAGCGTCAGCAGCAAAGGAGAACGTGGACAAGGAAGCTCCCGAGGCTGGAGCGAAGGTAGCGGCCGCCAAGGCCATCGAGAAGACTGGTGAACCAGCAGCAACAAAAGCCGCGTCCGGGAAGTCATCGCCAACGCCCTCCAGTGGCCGTAACAGTCCCTCTCGTGGAGAAGTAAGGGCAGCCCGGGAAGCAGACGCAGTTGCCAAGGAACAAGCCGCCGAGGTCGATGAAGAAGTTCTGGCAGAGATCTACGGAAAAGAGCACGTTAATGTGATCTTCCTGGGTAGGATGTCCACCATTATTTCTATCATCATTTAACTAACACAATATTGTAGGTCATGTCGATGCTGGTAAATCTACTCTCGGGGGATCCATATTGTATGCCACTGGTATGGTTGATGAGCGAACGATGGACAAGTATAAGCGAGAAGCGAAAGAGCAAGGCCGAGAAACATGGTACCTATCATGGGCCCTAGATCTGACCAAAGAAGAAAGATCTAAAGGCAAGACCGTCGAAGTGGGAAAGGGCTTCTTCGAGACCGAGAAGCGTCGCTATAGCATTCTCGATGCACCAGGTTGGCTCCATTCATCCTACAGTGTCTAAAGCGGACTAACGGTACTATAGGCCATAAGACGTACGTCCCAAATATGATCGGAGGTGCATCACAGGCCGATGTTGGTGTTCTCGTTATTTCCGCGCGAAAGGGAGAATACGAGACTGGTTTCGAGAAGGGTGGCCAGACTCGAGAGCACGCTATGCTTGCGAAGACTCAGGTTAGCATCAAAGACATACCCTTTTTAATCGCTCCACTAATAATAATATAGGGTGTGAACAAGCTTGTCGTGGCTGTCAACAAAATGGACGACATTACAGTGTACGATACCATGTCCAGTGTTCTCATTTATCAACTTAATACTAATCTCTCATAGAGAATGGAGCGAAGCGCGATTCAAGGAGTGCACATCAAAGCTAGCGCTATTCTTGAAAGGTAAATCTCATAGCAACTCAAACTCGATTACCTGCTGACGAAGAACTTAGGTGTTGGATACAACCCAAAGACAGACCTTGCGTTTATGCCTATTAGCGCCCAGACCACGCTTGGAATCAAAGACCGAGTACCAAAGAGCATTGCGCCTTGGTATGACGGCCCCTCGCTTCTAGAATATCTCGACAACATGCAAACTCTGGAGCGTAAAGTCAACGCCCCGTTCATGATGCCCATTGCGGCAAAGTATCGGGATATGGGTTCGTAATCACACTGCACGCATCAAAGTCATTGCTAACTGTCCTAGGCACCATGATAGAAGGAAAGATCGAGGCTGGAGTCATCAAGAAAGATACCAAGTACATGATGATGCCCAACCGCGAATTGATCAGCATATCCGCGCTGTACGGCGAACAAGAAGACGAGATTTCCGCCGCAACCTGCGGAGACCAAGTTCGCATGCGAATCCGAGGCGTCGAAGAAGAAGATATTCTTCCTGGTTTCGTGCTTTGCTCAGAGAAACGTCCAGTCCATTGTGTCTCGGTATTCGAAGCACAGGTAGTCCTACTGCCTGAGCTGAAGAGTATCCTCAGTGCTGGATTCAATTGCGTCATGCATGTGCACGCCGCTCAAGAAGAAGTTACGTTTGTTGCATTACTACACAAGCTCGAGAAAGGCACAGGTCGACGGTCAAAGAAGGCGCCTGGTTTTGCCACGAAGGGCATGTCTATCATTGCGCGAATCGAGGTCACAGGTGGAGCTGGCTCGATTTGTGTCGAGCGATTCGAGGACTACCCACAACTGGGTCGCTTTACCCTCCGAGATCAGGTACATTTCCCCTACTTCATTGATATACATATTCTAACTTTAAGCAGGGCCAAACCATCGCCATTGGGAAGATCACGAAGCTCATCACGGACCCGGCCGCGCCAGAAGCTTCTTAAATTGCGAAATAATAAGGTTTTTGGCAGACTCCGGCCATAGAACCTGAACTCGGAGTGTCAATAGCATTGGAGGACCGATGACCTAGGGCGGAGGTATAGGACGGCTGGTTGGGATGCAATAGGTAGCGCTTCCATATAGAGTCAAAAGCACATGCATTCGTTAGAGCCGGGGTTGGGATCTACTTGGTCATTTCAATATATGGCCGTATCGCCGAGTCATCCCTTTTCACTGTACTATGGTGCTGGGTCGCAAGTCTCTGTATCCCGATTTGCTACTGCTTGGTACTATCTGTGAATCTTGGACACCGCTGTCTGGAGTGGTCCACGTAAGAAGCCGGTTATCGAGTGAATTAGAACGGTGAGCGTCTGATTCCTGGTGTAGCAGACCTTATATCTTGTCCGGAACTCGGAAGCCATATTAGAGCACCCCAAGCCGTGGTAACTGAGAGTGCAGATAAAAAGTGTACCACATAACTTATCTGAGACTTCTTAGAATTCAAACATTGACATCCCGTTGCGGTCAATGAAGCATTCATTCAATGCTCAAATGTGGTATATTTGATGTGCTCTAATACAGCTTCCAATAATTCTCTATGGGTATAGAACGCCGTTAAATGCTTGAAATTCAATATGCCGTGATCATGATATTCCCATTTCCCTTGCCTCAATCGGAATCGTATGCTACAAGAAGCGGAGGAGGCTTCAAGACATCTTGCCGACAGCTCGTGACTTCTACTCTGTCGAGTCTAGGGGTCGTAATTTGATCTGCCTTGCTCGTGCCTGACTTTTCAGACTCTCCCGTGCGTTTTCGTTTGATGCCTGCAATGACTTTTAGGGTGGTGTCGTTGTTAGAGGACCTCGGGGAAGCCGTGAGGAATGGGTCCATAACAGCCCGTGTATTCCCACGAAGTTCGTGCTGTAGAAGCTCCCTTCTCTTCTCAGCCTCGCGTGCCGCCCGAGTCTTCTTATCACCTTTCCCACTCTTCTTCACATCCGCTGCCTTGATTGCTGACGCCTCGGAGGCAAAGAGGGGTTTCCGCACAGCCTTCCCAACATCCCCAACCCCAAGCTCCCCAAACTCAACCACCCCAGCACGAATCCTATCTCCCTCCACTTCATCCACAATCTCAAACCCAATCCCGAACCTCTCCTGCATGCCCTCCGTATGCGCCTGCCTCTTCTCCAACACCTTCCTCTCCGCCCTAAACCCCCTCCTCAACCGCCTATTAACAGCATCCGGATCCTGCCAGGCCCTCTCCTGCGCCTCCACCAACTCCTCAATTCTTTCTTTACTCTTCTTCTCCACCTGCTTCTCACCCACGTTCCCCTCCAATGCCGCGAACGCATCCGTCCTCCTCCTCTCCCTCTCCTCCTCCGTCAACATCGCCCCCTCCCCATCCGCAAGCTCATCCCCAAATATCAGCGCCCCAAACTCCTCCTCCTCCCGCCCATCCCTCCGTCTCGCCCCCTCAATAACCTCATACTTCCCCTCCTTCGGATTCGTGCGTATCTCAATCCACCCGCCACAAATCGTATGCTTCATGCGGAAACTCCATACAGGCGTAGAATAATAGTTTCCGACCTTCTTCTTCTCGGCGTTGAAGCGCACGCCCTGTCCAATGACGACTTCGGGCTTGCAGTGCTCGCAGAAGAGGGCGAAGGGCATCTCGAAGCGCACGGTCAGGATGCCTTGCGGGAGTTTGCGCGCGCGGGCGCCGAGGGGGTGGGATTTGTTGAAAGAGGGCGCGGAGGAGGCGGAGGGGGGGTAGTAGCGGCCCATGTTGAAGCCCTGCATCTTAGTACGTTAGGGCGCGGAGGCGCGGTGGTGTGGGTGTGATTTTAGAGGGAGTTGAGAGGTTGTGGATGCGTAGGTGCTTGTTCAGGAGCGCTACTGCTTGTGGGACTAGTTCGGAAAAGGGTCGATCTGATGTTTTGGCGTTGTGAAAGTTTGGTTGGAGGTTGTGGAATCGATGATGGAGGGACGAATGGTGAGATAGTATGGTCCCTCAGCGCCAAGGCTCGCACGTGACAAAATATGTAATCTCATCCGACCGCACCTCATCCTCCATCCATCTTTTAGATCTCCCGAAGACCAACTAACCTTGCTCTACTCTCCTGTCCACAATTCATAGATATGAGGCCGATCAGCTTGTAGGTATTGCCACGCCCAGCCCGTGCCCAAATGATGTTTACAGCATCTTTTTGTCAAATCCTTGGGAATGGAGGCCCTCCAATGTGGCATCAATATTTTTCTTTTTTTCTGAAGCTTCATCAAAATACCGTCCTAATAGCCTCGCGTTTTATTTCATCGTACTTGAGTTGCAACTCCTTTTCAAGGTCAGATTTGTGCACTGCTTTCTTTATCTTGGGGAAAACCTTGAAATGATAGACTGGAAAGATCAGTCTACGTAGCAGCACAGGTACGGTAGTGCTATGCATTATACAGGGACGACTCCAAGATCCGGATTGATTGACTGGATAGTTGTATGCACGCGAGCAAACAGCAGTCAGCAGCAGCACGCGATATTGCACGAGCACTTTCTAGCAACGTGGTGTGCACGTGGGGTGTGATCGGTGAATGGTTCATCATACCGGGAAATGAAAAATCCAAAAAGAAGAACGCATACACGCGCTCAGTGCGACTCGATCACCCGCGACCTATCGTAGCTGAAACGGAGAAATATTCCTGCCGATCACTACGCTTCAGAAGCATTACAGTTCGAGTCGCTGAGCACAAACGTTCTCTTTGGATTCGCCGCCTAGAGAATCAAGATTGACGGGCCAAGAAATAAGATCATATATAACCACTCAGCCTCGAATTCCCTCATTTCGCAATCATTCACTCTCTTCCAGCATTAAAGTGAGTACCCAACAATCCAATTACTACAACTTCGTGTCTCAGCTATATTTGCTACATCTACTTTAATGTAAGCTCTCACCTCAAATCAAGACATGAAGCTTCCTGGTCGCTGATTTATATCGAAGTTTAGTAAATACAGTGACAGGTCCTCAGTCTGTGCACACGCATTTACCACTGTTTGGGGTACGCCTATAGAATTTCGAAAAGCCAGACACGATGTCAAGTTTCAAGCGATGCAAATTAGACGGCCTCTTAACTTACTGGATACTTACCAGCTAGGCCCCTCCTCACCGTGATGTCGAGTGAGCAAGATTGGAGCCAAGCAGGAATAAATCCGTGTGCCCAGACTTATGGCCCAGTACTGTATAGCTGCCAATTGTTCAAGGCATCATGGGCATCTTGAAATAGTCCGTACGAGTCATCCTGCACCTTTCCTTTCACCGTGCCCCGAACGAAATCATCCGTGTCCAGAGAAATACCATCCACTATTAACAAAGTCCAAGAATGGACCAACCATGCGCAGCCGTTCCTTTACGCGCTCTTAGTCTATTATTAATACCCAAATCCATGCCAGTCTATATCGCGTGTTCTAGTCTTTCGGATCATAACGTGGTGCTCATGACATCGTAGAACATACCCTTCAGTAAAGCCTGGGGGGTCTTGAAGCTGTTCCAGTATGCGCAGCTGTCTTATCTCATAGGCACAGTCGTAGAGTAGCTTGTGAGCTTTAACACAAAAGCCCCGATACACGATCGTAGACAAACGCTACCTCAAGGGTGAATGTGCTAGTATAATTTCGCCTATCTCTAATTATCATTCACCAAATGTGCAGCTGACTTAAGCGTGCACTACAATCGAAACACTTTTGCCTTGCCAGTCGGACTCGTTTGCCTAAACACCACCCACACCATCTTCAAAACAACCACCATCTTCCACCGGACCCATACACGAACCCCACATAGGAGCACAGGCTTTCGAACGGGTAAAGCTACGGCTTCCAATCCTCCGCCGCCGCCGCCGCCGCCTACGAACGCGAAGAACCCCTCGAATGGTCCCTCGCTGGGCCTATACCCCTTCCAAGGGGGTTTTCCAAAGCGAGCTTCGGTCGTCCACAAAACGCAGGGCTATGGAGAACTACATCAGGAACATCCAGAACAAATGGGGAGTCCATATCGAGGCCTGCTTGCCCAAGGAGTTGCGTCCTTACGCGAAGGCGCAGGGCGCCTCAGAAGATGGCTCCAATGTTACCCTCGAGGTCCGAGATTGGCCATTGCAGCTGTTGCGGTTCTTGTCGAAAGTTGCAACTCTGACCGAGGACGAAATGGAAATGGCGCATGAGCGCATCAAGGCAGCTGTGAAGGAGAGGGTACAATATGAGAAAGATCGAGTACAAGCAGCAATGAATGCGGGCGGCGACACCTCAACCCAGCCGCAAGTGGTTCTTCATATCACTACGCGCGACGCCATAGCGGTTGCAAATCGACTCGCCTCTGAACAGCAGCGCCACGATATCCCCACAGCCGCCCCAGCAAAAATCTCGACACCGAAGAAAGAGGAAGTCTTTCAGGCAAAAGTTCGCATTGAAGGTCTAGATTCGGTTGAATCCACGAGTGATTACGATAGCGATGGCTTAATTCCAGCCAGGCTGCACGGCGAGTAAGTCGACCTCCATGACTATATACTGCTTTGACGTAGAAATAGCACTCATTGACACGATATAGGGCTGTACGCCGAGCACCACGTGAAGATGACCCTAGTGTGATGACTCTGTTGAAAGCCATGCAGCAAATGATGATTGCGCAAAACGAGACTAAAGTTGCTCAAAGCGAGACTAAAGCGGCGAAAGTCGAAGGATCGTCTGCGAAGGCCATGGCCAAGTATTGGAAACAAGAGTACACAATATTGAAGGCCGAGTACGACAAGCTGCAACAGACAGATATAGGCAAGCTGAACAACAGCTATAAAAAGGCCAACGCCGAGGCGCAGCGTCTGAAAGAGCAGGTCAAAAACATGGAAGACAAGGTCAAGAATGCGGAAATCGCCCAAGAGTTCTTCGTTCAGACGATCAAAGAGCTACGGGAACGCGTGCTTGGTTCCATCACCGCCAAAACCCCCGCACTCGACGTAGAAGACCCTAGACGTATTGTGATTGATGCAGTCGCATCATTCGGGCCCTATGGATATAGCAGCTATTGGGAGGTCTTGCTGATGCTTCAGAGAAAGCACAAGAGAAAGGGGCAAGGAAGGCCCAGAAGTTCCGAGCGCTTCGAGAACGTCTTATCTCTGAGCTAAAAATGGAGAGTGACGAGCGTAAGCGTCTCATCTTGTTCAACGATACGATCGAGGCACAAGCGTTGTCTACCGGGTGGCAGACGGAGGATATCAAGAAAGCCTCGGACGTTTTGGCACGGAGGGAAATCTGTATACGCCAACACAAGCAGTAGTATGTTCCCATCTCACGGTTATAGTTCTTCCAAATAACGGACCACAGCAAACAACTCTTCGAGACCAAAGGTCTGGAGATCGCGGAGCCGTTCCGGTCGCTTTTTCTACCCGCTATCGAGTTTGCAGGGCCCCCACCGCCCGCCAATACTCCTAGAGGCCAAGAGAACAAGGAGAAGGAGCTTCGTGATGCAGTGGTAGAGGCATTGCGCCCAGAACCAAAAGGGCGCACCAAAGCCCAGCCCCCTCGTCTTATAGCCAGACCCCCAGGCAACATCAAGGCCGCCCTGAGCGAAGCTAGCACCAAGACTTTTCGAAACGAAGCCAATATCAAGACTGCCCGACAAGGTCGCTCAACACGTCAGGACACCTCCCAGCGGAAACGAACTGCCAGCCGTTCCAATGTTCGCGGTGTTAAAACTCGTGTTGCAAAGAAGATACGAGGAATCAAGTCCGCCGCGAATGCTGATACGACCGATGAGTACAAGGGCGCCTCTAAAGCGGGGCCACGCGAAGAAGATACTGGTGAATGGGTATATGAGTCGGATGACTCCTGGCATGGCGAGTAGTCGGCGGGCATGTGCGAACGATTGCAATGTCACATAAGATTGGGACTATTTTGCGCTGTCCTAAAGAAGTACAGCTGTATGGGTTTGGATTCGGCTGCACTGATGAGGGTATTTGTCTTGTGGCAGAGGCTACAGGGGAGGTCTTGATTTACTTTGACTTTGTCACTAGCGTGCTGATATACACCTGATTATCGTTTTCCTAGTTCAAAACCCAATTTGAAGACTCTAAGTCAGACCTTGAAAACTGTGACGCCATTATAGATTGAGTCGAGAGATAGCTTTACCGCTGCCTGATAATGTCAAGGGTGGCCCATCACGATGCTCGCAAATCATACGAGACATGAATTGCGGACGCTTTGATTTGGTCATGTAATTCTATGACGCTTCAAATCAGATTTGCTCAACTGAGGGCAACATACCCTACAACTTGGTCAAATAAAAGTACATATTGCCTTCCCCAGGAAACAAATGAGTATCCATAACACCCGCGACCATGTCATCGTTAACGAGGCGGAAGTGGTCAGTAATAGGCATCTTGTCGTAAATCATTGCGGTCGACAACACACCCTTGTACTTGACCTCCCTGAACTAAACGAAACATCAGCCAACCCCCTTACTGCGAGAGCTCTTTACATACCCGGGCCTTTCCAATCTGTTCCATCCACACCCTTTCGCCTGCCTCGTTGTACTGAACCATGGGCTCCACATCGTCTACCCCCCAGAAGTTCTTGCCGGCCCATCTCACCTCGTCGTTCTTCTTGGGGCCGGGGTGTCCGGTGTTAACGGAAAAGCCTTTCCATGATCCCTTGAAGGTCTCGATGGGCGCAGGCGGAAGGGTCTCGAAAATCTTTTCTGCTTCGCGCTCTTCGACTTTCCCGGTCTTTTTGGTGAGGGCGATCCAGTTGGTGCCGGCACTAGGACGGTTGGTAAGTAACAAGGAATAAAGTGATCTAAGTTTCTTGAAGGGAACTCACGACTCTATTGCTGAAGGCATGTTCACGTATGTAGATTTAGTTGACTGTTGAATGCTTTCGTTCCAAACGTGTGAAGTGAGATGCGCGGGATTTACAGTAGTATGTATGCACAATCTTCTCATGAACGCTAGCATCTGGAGATTTTTTTGCTGATTCGAAAGGGTCTGACGCATTTCCGGAATCACGATGCCCTAATTCCGGGTCGAATCTGATTGGTTACATGCATAGAATGCTAATTAGCTTCAGGTTGCGGGTAGGATTAGCCGAATTGAGAGCAGATGGCTTGTATTCGTCGGTTGTCAGATTATACACATGTACGCTGTTTCGATCGCTCGGGAAGTTGATGGTGCGATTGCATAAAACATTGCATTGGCATTCAACGAAGTAATGATTGACTTGACGGCATCCGAATGTTTGCTACCCATTGCTGATCGGAAATCCTCTGCTTGCGCTTAATTAGTTGAACCTAATGGTAGCATAGCAGGTGACTTGCGGAAGGACTCCATGATCTCTTCGAAGGGCAACATGCTTTTCGGTGTCGTACAATTATCTTTGGAATCAATCACGCCGTTTTTCAGTGAAACAAGTCCCAGTCGAGTTTCCTTCTTATCAGCAGTTCTCTTGCTGAGATCGGATATATCCTCAGTGCCGTAACCGTGTCAATACGGCGATAAGAAGTAGTGTACTGCTCGCAATTGACTCTTTCATGTACCAAATCGCTAGACCTTGTACCCAAAAGGCTTCGGTCCGTTGCTTTAGGATTTCCGGAAGCGCCCCTGTCTAGAGTCACCTGCACTGTGTTTCTCGTCATGAGCGGTTTCTCATTCGAGCAATTACGATGACCGCGAATGGCTTTCATCAAGTTTGGAGCTGAACATCAATGCCTAGGTGTTGCTATAGGATTAGTAAGGACGTTCAGGAGTATGGGCGGATCGATTTGTACCGTCATTCACACCACTATTCTAGAGAACGATCTCACAAGAAATTTCGGAAAAAGTTCGCGATTGCATTAGCCAAACGTTGGAAAGCCCGCCGCTTCGGCTCTTGAATATTTGCGTGTCGTTTACCATGAACGGAAACCACGTTATGACGATTGAGGTAGATAGCGGACGGGAGGAGACTCGCTTGATGATGAAAATACGGCTCATATCATCCGCCACAATGAAATAGAGGTCAGAATAGAGGCGTTGGATGACGATGTGGGGTAGAATTGGTCATGTGATATGTAGAATTGGTCTTCGACGTGACAGGGAAGATTTGATCTTTCATTACAGCTACCCAAGAATAGTAACTGAAGAAGAGCGGTTGGAAGATAAAAGCATACGTTTTTTGTATGGTGATCTTTGCAAAGGGACCATTGAAACATCCTGTGAGAAGTAGCTTGGTAGTTTGGGGAAGTGAATTGCTCCGGATGTCAAGATCTAGGAACAGGACGCAGTAGAACCAGCAAGCAGGAGGATGGGCGCTTGCAAGAAGGACTCGGACTAGACATAATCGCTGATTTCGGAAATACTTCACCGTGAAACGTGCTGTCGATGACGGATGTAGAAGTTCGCATAGAACAGGTGAAGAATGCCATTTGAGTTCTGCCACCGCCCGCCGCATCGGGTAAGTCGCCCATCGATGCACTGCAGCTGCTGGCTTGCAGGTACATGTACAACACCTCAATTGAACCCCTCTAAAAGCCCCCCAGCTGCGGCAGACGCCCAGAAAATCGCCAGACAGCCTATTCGCGGTGCCCTCTCACCCAACCCTTTGCGCCGCACCGATCGCAGGCGCGCCTTTGTCCCTCACCCCCTCCCCCAAGCCCGACGTATACATCCAGCGAACTGCAGACGGGCAGACGTGCAGAAAAGTAAGCATGGCGCCCTCCTCCCAGGACGCCCAGTCGCAGCCGAGACGGCCACCGGCCGTCAGGCAGTCGTCCTCGTCTTCCTTCATGACCTCGCAGTCGCCCTCCGACGGCATCTCGTCGTCCCAAAAGGCCGCTCCTCACAAACACCAGAGACACGTCGTCGGCCAGAGTCGCATGGGCCCGCGCAACACCTCATTCGGCAAGAATCTCAACAAGCTGAACAAGCTCGCCCAGGCTCAGGGAGGCGATGCGGCTGCAGGTGCCAAACACCATCGCCGCTCGCACTCGGGAACTTCAACCTCCACACCCAGCAGCCCTGCGCGTCCGGCCTTCAAGCGCAATGCGTCCACAGTCGGCATAGTGAGGCACAATACGCACACCCATACCCACGCCGCGCTCAAGAAGAACCTCTCAAGCGGCCACCTCTCGCGGCAGGGCTCGTCTAAGAACATGCTGAAGTCCACCAAAAACGAGATCGCACCATCAAAGCGCTCCCTTACCCATCCCGGGAAGACACGCCACTCGCCAGAAGATCACCCCACGGTGCACTTCGATGTAGGGAACGAAGAGGCGCAGGACGACGCATGGACGGAGGAAAGCGCATCGCAATCGCCAACCACGACCCGTTCCAATACTCGGCAGAACTCCGTCATACTAGATTCCAGCAAGGCTCCATCGGCAGAAGAGTCGGAGACGGAAGCGTCTGAGCCTGCCAGGCCTGTATCAAAGATTCCAGATTACCAGACGCCTCCCTCGCCAATGACTCGATATCAGCCTGACCAGATCCTACTCAAGCAGCCCAACGGCAGCAGCTCACACCACTCAAGGCCTCCAGACGCAGACATGATCACTTCACGACTTCTCCAGCGCAGCGCATCGCATCACATCCCTCCACAAATGTCGTCGATATCAGCAACAGTGGTGCCGGACTCGCATGAGCGGTCGGTGGGTCATAGTCAAGGCTCGACACTGGCAGATACACCTGGAAGAGATCTGGTATCAAGGTTCATGGACGGCGATAGCTCCGGTGGCACACCGAACAGTAACTTCCTACCTCCGCGCAATTCACCCAAAGCGCAACCAGCAGACCTCGGCGCCCAACAACGCAACAAGTCTACCCCAAATATGGCAGCCACCGCAACACATTCAAGAGCGCAGTCGCGTCGCTCGGGCACAAGCACTCCCACAGACCTGCCGCCATCAAGAACCCAACAGAAGCTGTTGCTTCAACGCGCGTCGTCAAACATCGAGCCGCAGAAGCTTGTCCCCGTAATCCTTCCCCGGACCGGCGGCCCAACCCTGCTGAATTCTGGAATGCCATATGCGGCCAGCAGCGAAGGGCGTCTGGATCCCCGCTTAAAGCACCAATTCGAGCACATATCACAGGAATACAACGTCATTCGCAGGTACCGCAATCCTCTCGTGGATGCAATCAATCGACTGGATCAGATGCCAAGCCGGCCGCGTAAAACGGCAACAATGCCATCCTCCATCGCCAATGGGTTCGTCGCGATTGGCAGCACGTTGGATGGGATTGGGGAGAGTCCAAGCACAAGCTTTCGCGATTCCGGCAGTGCGGGAGACGGTGCAGATCGGCGCAGATCACGTGTCAGTTTCGATGGGGCACGTGACGATGTGGAGGGCCGGCAGAGTTTCGACAGCGACAACGGACGAGTGCGCAATGAAGTTGATGAGATATGTCGGAGGCTGTGGGAGAGCACCGAGATCGTCGACAGTGAATGAGGCGTCGACTCAGTTACCGACTCAGTCACCGACTATGGATGGATGCGAAACACATGTAGTCCCTCGGGGCTTTCAACCCACTGCACATACGGCAGTACTCTAATAAATTAGGTGCGTGAGAATTGGGCGAATGTGGCGAGTGTTTTTGGATATTCCAAAATCATGGGCGATTTTATGGCCGTCGGTTTATCAGTATTCGGCGTAAAGACTGCAGATTCAGCCAGAGCGGGCGGTCTACGACTCTACCAACCTGTACTTGTACCAGCTTTGATCTTCCCATTCTGATATGCGATATGATTTATCGGGGTTGGACTTTCTCGCAAGATATGTACAGGGGAAGGGGAGGGGAGATTCGCTGGGGATGGCATTACTGGTCCTGGACGGCCTAGCCTAACCATAGGGCGGCTAATGAACTCTTCAAATTACTACCATGGAAGCAAATAGTTCCATTTGCGCCCCCTTTTGGTCTCTCCCACGTCTGATTTGCGCGCCCGTCTACACCTATCTGTCACTGCTTGGGATGATTCAGCGAGTTTCCACAAAGTCCAAAGGCAAGGGCTTCGATCTCGTTCAGATTCCTGAAAATGCATTGAAGCATCTCAAGCAGTGGCAGACAGAAGTACACACGAGACAGAGTGCTTGATGAGGGTGCCACTTTTCTCACGTCCAGCGTGGTTGCCTCCATTTGCGGAGTCGTACATCACGCTCGGATGCAGGGCAGAGTTCATTCCTTCAAGGCAGCTAACAATGTCGCACTTTGCCTCTCGAATAAAACCAGCTTTTGGGTGCTGGGTCGGTGTTTCTAGCCTAGTTCATTCGCCGGCGGGTCTCTCCACTGCGCCGTCGGGATGGCCACGTTGTGAGTAGCACAAGGCGCAAATGGAGAGGTCATCTGACTGGAAATGCTACCATACAACGAAAAGAGCTGGGCATGGGCACGGCTTCGAGGAGCTGGAGGCACAGCAGGACGAACGATCCGAATTCCGAGGTGCGTTTACCCACCGTTAGCTCTCCTTTTGTACGCGCTGGGGGTACTTCAACGAATTTCGCTTCTTTGAGCATCGTGAGAGAAAACTCTTGGCAGGCTTCGGAGCCACTCAGTCATGAATGCGCCGATTCTTCAAAGGGTCTCGAAGCCAGTGGCGCAACGCGAGTGCGTAACGGCGATTCGCCATGGCAGGGGCCCAGCTGGAGTCGAGTCGGTGACAGCAGCGGCGTGGCACAAGATGCAACGCGGAGGGTGCTCGTTGGGCAGACAGGCTCTACGACAGCTGCGGTTTCCGGCGTGCCACGTCCATGGCGGCAGTGTCACAGCCACGAGCGAGAAAAGCCCGCCGCACTGCACCGGCGACTAAGGCTGGGCGGGCATGCATTGCTCGGGCCTGTCTATGGTGTGCCTGGGCGACGAAAATAACGCGCCCGTTTCATGTAGCGGGCGCAGCAGGCAGCGCTGAGGCACGATGGAAAGCGTCATGGTCAAGAGGACGGAGGATGAGGAGGATATGGGGGAGAGGGAGAGAGCCTCGGATGAGGAAGGTCGGCGCATGTGCGGTTGGGCGAGGAAATTGCGCGATGGTGGTGGTTAAAGGAGCGTGGAGGGCGAGGCGAATGGAGACGATCGTGATCAGGAGCCGTTAGGGGACCAAAAAGTGCCTCATCTCCGTCTGGCCAGTCAGGAATCGCTGCATCACGAGCTGCCGCCGGCGGAGGGGGTCCTTAAATTCTCCACAGCTTGGCGTGCACAAGTCTCACAACTCTGCGCACAACTCTGCATTTTAACGACTGGAACGTTTGACTCGGGCAAGGGAGGAGAGATATTCAAGGTAAAAGTACTCTGGACTATTGTATTTCCTTCCGAGCAGCAGAAGAAGGTGTCTCCCATTGCGCCGTTCAGGGGCTCCAGTAAGGGCTCCAAGAATGTTCCTGTGTCGACATCTCTGTTCTCTGCAAAGGTAACCTTTGTACGGAGTATGTCGCCTTCAAGATGCAAAACATGTCCCTGCGTCATAGCAGCCTGGCTATAATGACCCCACCAGCCGTGCACAAATCATTCCTCGGTCGTGTCAGTTTACCGCCTTCCCCAGGCGCCGGGACGAGTGAGACAAATCTGGGTGCCCCAAGCGATCGCCTTGTGGCTAAGCCGCAGTCGGCCTGGCGCCACTGTGAAATTTTAGCCCTTGTCGGCCTGCCAGCCAGCGTGGGTGGCCCGAGCGTATGCAATCTTAGCTGCAGGGCGCCCATAACCCGCGCTTCTCCCGGCCAGCCTCTTCTTCCTCACCCGGTGCTCCTCGTCCAGCTCTCCCTTCAGCTTCTCTCCCAGTCACTCCTTTGACCTACTCAGGCCGTGCCTAGCACTCACACTCATTATCTGCGATTCATACCGTCTCCGAAACTCTCAACCGTCAACCCTGCCCAGTCGCATCAACAAACAGTCGCACGCACACACCACGCACACGACCCACGGCTCCAGTCGCATGCAATCGCCAGAAACGCCAATTCAGCTTCAGAAACACTCTTTCATCAACCTGTCTCAACCTCTGTCCGCTTCATAAGCACCAGTCTGCTCCGTCGCATTGCGCATTCGCATCCCTATCAAACAGCTTTACAGCATATTGATATAGCATACCACCACCACGATGAAAATCACCTCGGTCCTCGTCGCCCTTGCGGCCTTCGCTCCCTTCGCCATCGCTGGTGACTACGAGGGAACCACCGTGTCCACCTTCTACTCCACCAAGACCGTCTACCTCGTCCACACCGAGACCAAGACCGGCACTCCCCCCGCCTACACCAGCAGCAGCACCTCTAGCTCCTCCAGCTCCAGCTCCACCCCAACCCCGGTCTACTACCCGACTTCCTACGGCACCTCAGTCCCGAGTTTCTCGTCCGTCTCCAACTACACCGTGAGCAGCACCGGCGCGTACTACCCCACTGGCAGCGGCACTGGATCTCTGCCCAACCCAACCACCACCGGCGCTATACCCACTTTCACTGGCGCTGCGTCGCATCTCAGCTCGAATGCCCTCGTGGCTGCGATAGCCGCTGGCGTGGGCTACCTCGCTCTGTAACCCTTCGAGTTCCAACGGATCTTCGAGTGCATCTACCTCTTCTTCTATCACGCATGAACGACGTGTCGGGCATGCGCCATTTTTTCTCCCGGAGCTGGAGTGCTTGATGCAGTTTTTACTTTAGCGAGGGGCCTTGCGAGCGAGTAAAGGTCGACACGATGATTGATGCTTCATGCCCTAAACCCGAACTTTATTCCCCACCTCACACTGCTACCCCTTACCCCGATTCGTGGATGCTATGGTCTTCCCGAATCCTGCGATCTGTTTTGTTGTTTACAGCAACCACTTTCTTGCACATGCGCATTCCGAACGCGTTCGCAAAGCACGAACCGACATCGCGGGAGGATTCACTTATCGAACCCCGTGAGCTACATATATGTTTCCGTTCTACCTGCGCGACACGCACCAACTCAAACCCCAAGATGCTAGCATTTTGCCCCCTTTCACTTCGTCGTCCCAGCGACGCACTCGAGAGAACTTCCAAATGGTGGAGCCTGTATTTTGATACCCCATTTCGGCCTTTTCCTCTGCTTCACCCCAGGGATCATGGCTTTGTTTTCTCTTCTAACCTGTGGACTACCTTTTTGGTTTTGTTTTTAGCTTGCTTGCGGAGGAATTATTGAGGGCTTAGGAAGGCTGGGATGGATCACCACACATACACAACACTCAATTGTACGTAAGGCGTGCTGGCTACTTGGTAGCGCATTGCCGATAGATGTTGCTGTTGTATATCCAGCTGCTGGAACTGTAGGATAAAACCTTTAACTATTTTGTCCTCGTATAAATTTCCTATGCCGCTTTCGTGTGACCTTGAATCTCGATGTTTGTGCGGCTTCTGGCCCCCATCCTACGGATACGAAAAACATTTCCAACATCCACTCAGCCACTCAGCCACACCCTGCTTACATCCAGCCGCTCCACTCCTGCGACTATAATTCCTCGCCTTACTGAAAATTTCCTACCATTCCTCCATCCTGCCATCGCACCCGTGCCACCAACCTAGCCTCTTAGTACTCCCTAGTCAGCAGTCGCTAGCGCCAGCGTTGACACACCCTACCGATTCCACTACGCCGCTCGATATGAGGCGATGTTTCAGACACGTAAACCCTAACTTCTACCGTACTCCGTGTCGTACTTTACGGAAGTCGGGCCGAGTGATGTTATTTCGGGAAGCACTTTATTGTAGCGACTTAGCTATATATAATCCAAACAGCTTTGTGAGGCGGTGCGCGTCCAGGAATCTAGACGCGGGATTTAGGCTCAGGATACCTAGCCCATGGCGCGGGCGATGCGTGTGGTTGCACGTGGTGGCTTGCGTGTGAGGCGCGTAGAGTTGATGAGTCTGAGGCTTGATTGATGCGAAGAGTGTAGAATGTGGTACGGAGGGGTTTGTCTTGGATAGAGCGTTGAGGGTATTGAGTCGGGGGTGTCCGGTTTCAGAGATAAGAATGCAATAGAAATGAAACACGATCTGAGGGGTTGGCTTGTTGGGTTGGATTGAAACATGCACAGTACGTTTCTTACGGTGTTTATACACATTCTTGATGGTACCCTCGATACTACGACGTTGCCAGCTGACGTACACTCGTCGTCGACCATGCTCACTCTTTTACAGTTCTACAAGCTCTCCCGCCGTCTTTGCAATGTTTTCGAAAGCCTTCGCTCGCAGGCTATCTGGTTCCGCGACTACAGTCGGCTTTCCGCGATCTGCGTCCTCACATATACTGGGGTGTAGAGGGATCTCCCCTAGCAGACGCAGCTTCTGATCCTCACACATCTTCGCAATATGCGCCGGCGAGCCGAATATAGGATGTGATGTCGAGCAGGTAGGGCATATAAAGGCGGACATGTTCGAGACGAGTCCAAGGAGCGGGACTGATACTTTATTAAAGAGGGCCACGCCTTTGATGGCGTCTTTGAGGGCGAGGTCTTGAGGGGTAGAGATAATAATTGCACCTGGAATGTCGTTAGTCCGATGCCAATAGAAAAACTGGCTATGAAAACTTACCATCTAACTTAACTTGTTGCGTGATTGTCAATTGGACGTCTCCTGTCCCGGGAGGTAGGTCCATTACCAGTACATCCAATCCGCCCCAATCGACTTCATGAAGGAGCTGTTGTAGAGCTTTCATGACCATCAGACCTCGCCATGCAACTGGCGAGGCCTCAGGGATCAGATATCCCATGGACATAGATTTAACCCCATAATTTGATAGCGGGATAAGTTGGCTGTCTGAAAAGAGACTTGATAAATGCTGGTGCGAAGACAAGGACGTGGGTACGGACTAACTCGAGGATAGCCTGGGCTCGCCAGAGAGGTTCAAAAGGGTCGGTATTGAGGGACCAAAGATATCGGTGTCGAGAATGCCCGTCCTGTGGCCGGAACGTGCGAAGGAGAGTGCCAAGTTGACTAGCAATTGGACGTAAGAACAGATGCTCAAGTTTATATAGTAGTCATAATGCTAACCAGCTATTGTCGACTTTCCCACCCCTCCTTTTGCCGATGAGACGGCAATAACCTTCCTAACATCTCGAATGCTGCGCTGTTGCGGGAGTCCGCGTTGCATACGGGGGACCGTTGGAGGCGCGCCGGAACGGGGGAGGCCCTGACACCGTCAATGGCAATTCTGTTGATAGACACTCAGGGTATACCAATGGATTCTCATGCTGGAGACTTCGCAGAGTTGAGAATAACCTTTGTTTCATCTCTGTGTATAAGCGATGGGGAATGTGTCTGGAACTCGTGACGTCGGTTTGGGAAAATCGTTGGCGCGAAAAAGCTTCGACCTCCGAATAAAAATTTTGAACATCGACATCTCTTCGAAGCTCCACCATTCACAAACGCAATCATGGCTCTGAAGATGTCAAAGTCCAGAGGTAAGGAGTTCATTCGTGTTATATTCTTATGTGCGATCTAACTTGTATATCTAGATTTTGACCCTGAAGAAATCCCAAATTTCCCACCGAGCGACAGCGATGCGCCTTCAGACGACGAAAGCTTAGACGAAGAAGAGGGAGGGCGAGAGCACTATGTGGATGTTGGGTATGTTGGATAATATGTATTCCAACGACAACGTTAACAGTTGGTAGCAAGAGCAAACTTCGCAAGAAACCCGAAGGCGTCCCACTAGGACCGCAGTATAAAGGCTCAAAAGTCAGTCGAGATATTGCGCTAGATGAGGACAGCGACGATCCTTTTTCAAAAGAAGTTGGTTGGGAAAGCAGTGAAGATGAAGAAGAGAAGGAGGAGGGAGAGGGGGGTATCGCTGTTCCTACAAATGGTGTAACGCATCACTCAAGTGGCAGCGACGGAAGTGAGAATGCCGACGAAGAGGGCGAATTCTCTGACGAAGATGAAGATGAAGGCCCCGAGCAAGAGAAGGTCCGTTTTGGTGGTGATGACTTCGAAGGCTTTGAGAGCGAGGATGACGACGAGGACGATGCGGATGGCTCAGACGAGCAAGACGACGCTATCAGTCGTGCTGAACTACGGAAGATCATGAGCGAGGAGCAGAAGAGCATCACGGCAACCGTTTCTCAAGCTGCGAAGACGGATGCTGAAAAAGGAGAAGCTGTCAAAGCCCAACGGAAGACTTTCGATTCTATCTTGAACACCCGAATACGACTACAGAAGGCTCTAATATCCTCAAACTCGCTTCCTTCCGCCATAGACACCGAAGATCTCAACAAAGGAGAAGACGCCGTACAAGCTGCAGAGAATGCTGCACTAGCTTTGCTCAACACCCTCTCCGGGCTGCGGTCCAGTCTCAATGCTGCCCAGGCTGGGACAAAACGCAAACGAGCCGATTCCTTTATCCTCGAAACCTCGTCTTTCGAGATATGGAAGTCCATCAAGGCCTCCGAGTCTAGCAACATGCAAAATCGTCGCACTGTTCTAGAGAAATGGTCCGCAAAGTCTCGCCCAGCCCCCATTGTACCTCAAACTCGCCGCCTCAACAGCAGCGCCGTATCAGAACAGACCATTACCGACGTCCTAAATACGCATATGTCAGATTCGGCTCGTCTAGTCAAACGAACACGCATTCCAAGGTCTTGTGCGCCCGTTCAGGTTGCGGCTGGTGTCGCCGAATCAGCTGAGATTTACGACGATGCGGATTTCTACGGCCTCCTCTTGAAAGAACTGCTCGAGCAACGCTCGGAAGATGTCTCGATGCAGATCAATGGAACTGGCTATGTGGCTCAAGCTCCTTGGCAGGCGGTGCGTGATGCAAAGACGAAGCGTATCGTGGACACCAAAGCTAGCAAGGGAAGGAAATTGCGGTACACAGTTCATGAGAAGTTACAGAATTACATGGCACCAGAGGATCGCAATACATGGGGCGAAAGGCAGACCGACGAGCTGTTTGGTAGTCTCTTCGGAAGGAAGACAGAATTGGCCGAAGATGCGGAGCAAAAGGATGAAGAGATGAGTGACGATGAAGATGCCGCCGAACAAGGCCTGTTACTGTTTAGAAGTTGATGGTTTAAAACGAAATGAAATAGGAGTATAGGATGGCAAGTTCCTCCATTTGGCTACAGCACTATGCCATCAGTCTGGACACACGGATACCACTGCTTCTAGGTTGAGTGCCACTCTCGGGAGCTAGTCACCACTGTCAGGAGCAGCTCCGTTGCCATGAAGTCCACTTTTCGAAAGTGCACAGACTTATGGCCTGTCACTGTACATCGGGAAGTTGTGACCCAATGGCCGCGCTTATCACCCTAGAAGGCACACGGAACATGGAAGAGGTGGCACTCTGATTCTACAACACGCCATCTCGTGTGTCAACCTCTCTGCCGCTGCTTGGGGTGCTTCAGTGCATCTGACAGATGGAAGCTCTTCACCTTGAGTTACGTGGCAACTCGTTGAAGCACCCCAAGCAGTCGCAGACAGGTCACGAATTTGTGGTTCTGATTCTAAACTTTCTATCCTTAAGCTATGTACATACGCACTATTTCTGTGCTTGTGTACGCTTGTTTAGCACCGCTTAAGGTCCTCCGGTATGTTATTGTTATTCATGAAATACTAGCTTTAGCAAGCCTGATAGGTCTTCGGGCCACGTCGCGGTTTTGAACTGCTGAGTATGCAACCTTTTTCACGCCCATCGTGGAAGGCTCTTTCGTGAGCCTTTCTCTTTTGGAAAGCCCCAAATAGGCCTCTGCGTGAGTTCTCTATACGAACGTACCCTTCTTCGCTCTTCAAACACTCAACATCAACCTCACTCTACCAATCATCACCGCGACTCCTATAATTCTGTCTTTCTCTGAACACTCGGAGCACTTGGACTTATTCTTACTACCCCCCCTCAGCTGCAACCATGTCGTACTTATTGATCGTCGGCAAAGACGACACCATGTTCTCCATTGCCAAAACCTTCAAAATCAGCATCCTATCTCTCAAGTCCGCCAATCCAGGTGTCAGCCTCGACCAACTCAAGGCCGGCCAGGTCCTATCTATCCCTATCCAGACTCTCGATGGCACTGGAGTGAGCCCCGTACGAACCACTCTCAGCAACCCCAAGTCCCCAACTAACGTCAACGAGTCCAACGCCTCTAAAATCCCTACCCTCGTCAATAAATCCGCCAGCACCGATCCATCCAGCCTGAATGCCGACCAAAAGGAAGCACTCGATATCCATAACAAAGGTACGCTACACCACGATTGTGCTGAAACCTCTTTCACTAACACTTTTAGCCCGCGCCCGCATTTCCAAAGCCTGCAACACTCCCCGCCCCGCTCTCAAATGGAACAGCACCCTCGCCGCCGAAGCGGATGCTTACGCGAAGCGTCTCATGCAGTCCGGCAGCTTCCTCCACTCCGGTACGAAAGGCGAAGGCGAGAACCTTGCCAAATTCATGCCTGCTACCAACGGCTCGATGGCTAAAGGCGTCGAGATGTGGCTCGGCGAAGAGAAGGACTACCACGGCGAGCCAATTGACGCGAATTACGGGATGTACGGTCACTGGACGCAGGTTATCTGGCCGACGACTACGGAGGTGGGGTTGGGCGTTGCGAGGGGCAGTGGCGTTTGTGTGGTTGTGGGGAGGTATAAGGAGCCAGGGAATTTGAGGGGCAGTAGTGCTTGGTATGGGAAGGTTAAGATTTGACAGTCTCGTTCAGGCGGAGCTGTTGGGATTGAAATGCTGAAGGGCGCAATGCTAAGAGGGAAAACTCATGGATGGAAAGGGCAGACAATGTGGTGTGGACAATGGAGCCGTACGGTGTACCTCCCTTACTGGCCGACCGCTGGAACCGCCGGAGATTATCAAATATGTGAACACTTGGTTGTTGCTAGAAGGCATTAGGATCAAGTCACTAGTCTGACAGGGTCTGAGTTGAAGCCCCTGGGTAATGACATCTCTACTTGAAGCATTCGCAGATTATGCATCATGATGGTCCGCCCTAGCGTTATCGGGGAGTGGTGAAACTGAGCTCTCATTCAATTTCGAATAAGACCATTTGCCTAAGCTAGTGCTAAGCGTACGATCCTTTTTACTTCCTGGCCAATGCGCTTTTGCTACGTGTACGACCTCTGCACCCCTTTCACCACATTCTAACTCGCAGGAGCATGTGACTCAATGCCCTGTGTTTTGATTACATCTAATGTGATGCGAGTGATGCGAGTGATCTGTTTATTAGTATTACCGTGCCAACACGCCGAATAGAAATGACTAAACCATCACATCTGCACCTTATAGAGCCCCCCATTGCAACTAGCACGTGCAGCTCTCTTATCTATAAGCTCTTCCACATACTCATAGCCACCTCACAAGCTCTAAAATTCCAAGCTAGCCAGAATCTAAGTGGCTCGTGGCACGTAAGAAGCCATGACTAGATTTCGAGCGAGTTGCTATTAAGTGAAGGAAATTATGGCAAAAGGGGTGGAGAGGTGGAGGGGTGGAGGGAAGGGGGTTATACAAGAAGCAAAATGATATTGGCCAGGAAGTAGGAAGAAATTATACTTAAAAATTAACTATTAATTTAGGGAGTAGCTAGTTTATTGGCATGTTAAGAAAGTCTCTCCATCTAACTTAGCTACATGCACCTATTTAAGATAATGCCTCCTAGCAATATAAGAGTCTTATCTTTCCTTATTATTATTATCTAATTCTTCTTATACTATATATTATGGCGTTATAACTAAGACTTACCACTTTTATAACTAATATATATATGTCTATATGCTACCTTTAATATAAATAGACTATTTATAAGGTGTAAAGTTAATTGTTTAGGCACCTACTAAAGCGCAATAGTAATAGTTAAGTAAAATACCAAAGTAGTAATTTTAGTATGTCTTAGTAGTAGCTCCCTAAATAAATAGGTAATAAGAGGTTAGTAAATAAGTAAATAGATAGATAGATAGATAGATAGATAGATAGATAGATAGATAGATAGATGCATTAATATAAATACTAAATAACGTACTCCACAAGCGAGCGGTCCACCCAAGCAAGCGGTCCAGCACCAAAAAATCAATATTTTATAGCAAAATATCTCAACAACCACCAGATAATAACTTATAAAAACTTAAGTATAAGATATGTTATATATAATCTATATTATATTAAGATTTTAAAGCTATTTATTTAGTAGTTATAAAGATCTAGTAGTTTTGCTTAGCTTTAGCCCAATATCTTAGTAATTACTGAATAAATTGCTTTAATATTCTGACATGTTATAGATTATATATAGAATAGCCTATATTTAAATTTTTACAAGTTATTATTTAGTAGTTGTTAAGATATTCTGCTATAAAATATTGATATTATGGTGTATATTGGGCTGGACCGCTCGTTTAGGTGGACCGCTCGCTTGTGGAGTACGTTAGCTAAGAAGATATAAACCTACACAGAAGCTATAATAGTATAACAGAATATATCTATCTATCTATCTATCTATTAATCTATATATTAACTTTATACTTTTATTAAGGAATAATATAATAGAGCTTAGGGAGCTATATAGTTTTTTAGGCACAGGGTGGAGATTCTGGTAATAAGGCTTATAAATTTATTAAAGATAGAACACTTGTTTTTTGCCGCAATGTTCAGCATATCCTTTTATAAGAAGAGTACTTTATTAGAACAAGAATAAGCGATATATTTCTTTGTTCTATTATCTATGTATATATATAGATGCAAATCTATTTATAGATCCTTTGTTCCTTTGTTCTAACAAAGAACTCTTTGTCCTAATAAAGGACTCTTTGTCCTAATAAAGGACTCTTTGTGTATAAAGAGGCTTTGTCTTAATAAAGAGACGTTAACTCTTTATTACAACAAAGACTACGTTCTAATAAAGAACGACTGAGGTATATTAAGACCGCTGCCTCGTTCCGTAAACTCAATAATCTTAACCAGTTTATATACTGATCAGTAATACAACACCTATTTAAACCTTCACCATTTCACCACGTGCCTCATATACCTTTACAGCTTGCAGGTGAGGACTGACACTGCAGTGGGGCTATGGGAACCCTGAGAGGGATGTTCCCTTAAATCACCATTCCTATAACGAGTTGTAAAAGAGATTGAGTCAGCCCAGTATACCCAGTGGTACACAAATTATTCACACCTTTCGATGACCCTGTGCTTTCGCTACGCCGTTGATTGGCTACTTCCTGTTCTGATGTTGTTACGGCTACAATGGTACGTTTGTTCAAATCGACAGGCACAAACTGCATGGAGCTGTTGACGATGGCCTTATTACGAACATATAGAGTTGCCGGGGGGAAGACTGCCGTAAACGGTAAAGTCCACGAGAGCACAAGCGCAGGATGTCGCCAAACACGAGGAGATATGAAGAACTCCTGAAGCGCACTCGTCGAAGACGCCAGAGAGTCGATAGTTGAGACTGGCAGTGGTTCCGAGCGTAAGTTCCACCATAGCATCTGAACGAATGCTGTACGAACAGATGAAGATACAACCGCTCCCACTGCCTGATACACCACAACGTTCCTGCACCAGAAGGATGACACGAATTTCGGTGGTACAATGCCTCTTATGACTAAAATGATGCTTCAGCCTATCAGCTCAGTGATTTACACTTTTGTGGCTGTATTTGAGCCCCTACCGAAGCTCGTATCGTCCTTCCCAAGCTTCGATGCAGTGATGCAATGCAGTGTACAATAGGTCATTAGTGCCTTGGCACTGCGGTGTGCGATAGCTAAGAAGTTTAGCCTATTTCGTTAGTATGAATGCTGCGGCTTGTCTAGTAACCATGGCTTGAGCTTGATCCAGCAATCTGTCAGATGAAAGTTCAGCCTCGTTGTCTGTACAGCCCGCCTCATTAGGGCCAGTTCGGTTGGATGGATTCACCGTACGACCGCTCCGTAAATATCCACTGTGACTTTCTACGGTCTGTCTGTAGCGTATTTCGTCCCGTACTTTCGTCCGGTCCACTAACGTCCCCCCCTGGGTGCCGCACAACCCTCCGTGCCGCACGAAATATATTTTTTAGGCATCTCACTCTCCCCTCCGCCATTTTATTGAGTTATAATCAGTGTATTATAATTCTTTCGCCATTTCTGCCTAGGAAGTTAGTATGCAGCCAAAAAAAATACATTGCTTTGATTATACTGTTGATCGTTCCTTTCAGAGCATCTAGAACTACATCAGCGCTGCATCCCTACTGCACCACGACTGTCTACAGAATTTCAAAATTCGGAGCACTAAATTGATAGTTTCAGGACGAAAGAAAATATATCTGAATTTTAAGAGCACTAAGCCCTTGGAAGGATGTATTCCGTATTTATCCGCGCGAAGGGGTCCGCAATGTATCTTGGCATGAGCGTTTAGCGCGGTATTAGATATCCAGCTAGCTGTATTATATTCTACGCTATGCCTAACTAACTTAGCATGTGGCGCTCTTCTAGAAACATCTATGGACAGTCACGTGCTGGCTATTTTTGGCCATTTATTGTTGCCACCTGTCTATTGTGCCTCTCCTATTCGTGCCTCTATCACCATAATATAGACCGAGCCAGCCAGGTACTGGCGCAAGGTCTCCCTCTAGATGTACCTAGAACATACGCTGCCCTATTAGAACATGCAGGTGGCGATGTCCCTCCCAGTACGCTCCGTTATCGCGCACACGGACGACCCTCGAAAGAGGAAAAGGCCTAAGGCCAGCAGTACCTTACCAGAGAGGAAAAGAAAGCTCTTATCGCGTTTTTATTACTAATATCTAATCTTGGCCACCCTGTCTAAATAAAGTATATACCTTTACTAGCCTTTAGCCTCGCCCGCCTATAATCTATAACAGATAGCCCTATTAAGCCTTTAGGCAAGAACTAGCCTTAAGCCTTTAAAAAACGCAATCCTAAATTTAAAGTAAGGAAAGTTAAGTTAATAAACTAGAAATACTATAAAAATAATATATACTTTAAGATTATTGTCACGATAGCGCTACACGCGAGAGGTCGAGGGCTCAAAGAGGAGCGTTGATTAGGTGCTATGTACAATGCTACGTGGAGAATCAAGACGTTGTGTAAGGGACAGGAAGACGGGAGACGGGCCACCGGATATAAGGGCGTGGCCGAGCGCGTGGCGTACGGCCTCTATGCCGTTTCGGCGCGTGGCACGCGTGTACGCGAGGTCCTTACCAGATCAGGTGATAGGAAAAGGGGGCAGCCGGTAGGTGGCTGGAGCGGGACAGGATAGGAAGCGGAAGCGAGACGGGAGCGGAGCAGGGCAGGCAGGGCAGGAGGCCGGCCAGCGGTAGTAGGCCGGTGCAGATTGCTGGAGTTGTAGCAATCTGCGGCAGAATTTCGGTAGGTAGGGTGTCGCGGTCGATACCGTGACAATTATAAACTAGTTTAAGGTGGTGGAAAGAATAATATAGAATCCGGCTATTCTGCCGGAAAATATATATAATATAGATAAAACGGGGGTTATATTAAGTATACTTAGCTCTATTAAAGTTTTTATAGGTAAGGATAACCTATAAAACTATAAAGGCGCGGGTATTATTATTATTATTAAATTCTATTACGCTGGTGTAGCTCCCGTTAGGGTCCATGCAGCTGTTCTATCTAGGCTAGTTTACAAGGAGAAACCGTTTGCTGCCATGCAGCGTTCGGATGAAAACCCCGTCCTCTGCGGTGTATAGCGCTGAGCGCTCTTCTCGTTGTTGTATAGCTATTGGGGACACGTGGTAGATCTATCAAGTCCACCACGGAATAAGCCATCGTGATGCGTCTTCCTAAATCTGTCCGGGTTTTGCAGTCCAGGCATATTATATCTAGCTAGCTAAATATATAGCAAGTTGCAAACATAAAGCTACCTGCCTAGCTTCCTTGCCACAGTTTTCCACACGGAGTGCTTCCACAGTGTCCGGCCCAGATTAAACCATCTCCCGCCTGCATATACCTGATTTGCTCCTTAAGCCTATCTTGCAGCTTGCCTCTGCCTCTTAATAGACCGACATGCGCATCCGTCCTTTCGGGCTATATAGACAGTGTCACCAGCGAGGTGTTAATCCTCCTCCCTATGCGATGGCCGCTAGTAAAACGGGAAGGCCGCAAAGAATATGCATACTTCCCGTTCTGCAGAGGTGCCGTATAGGCCTAGCCCGCGCAGCCGTGTAAAACGGGAAGTATGCACGCATACTCCCTACCACGTCCTCGCCATGTAGAGGCACTGTACAAGCCGGAACTTGTACAGCCGTGCACGAGAGGACCAAAATAGGAAGAATGCATGCATACTCTGCATACTTCCCATTCCACCAGCGCCCATCACGAGTCCACCAGGCATCCGTGAAGGCCTGGAGCTGACTGTCGCTGCCATTATATACCACGCCCCACGGCCGCCAGCCCGGGCACTGGCAGCCCCTTCGCGTTACCTGTGACGTTCTCACAACAACAGGCCGACCGTGTCTTGCAGACAAAAGGTCACTACAATAACTCGACGCCGCGCAGCTATTGCCCCTTGTTGTCCACTAACCAAACCGCCACTGTCCTTGCTCTTACTTCCCTGGTCCTCCTGGTTCCGGTATTATCGGGTTGCAGACACAAGGGCTTCCAATGTGGCCGTTACAGAGGTGTCCTATTATTCTATTAGAATAAAGACCTATCGCTTTGCCAGCAGATGCAGGCACTGGGTGTGGCCCTAGGTTGGTATCCTAGGTAATAGGATGTCGGATGGTTATGGACGACAACCCTCTGTTTGTCTTCCTGTTGTCTGTGGGTATTGAGTTTGGTGGTGGCAAGCCGCTAAGACCCGTGAAAACTCTGCCATTCTGGCGGCGTTGAGGACGACGTTTCCAAAGACGACCTCTAGCCACGACGCAACGCCGCTGCACCAGTAATGAACGTGATTCTCACTCTCGTACGGGCTTTGCGGTTCGAACGAGACGGAAAGGAACGCCCGTACGACAATACGGGTCGAATCACGATTTTAGTGTTCCTTTTAAGCAGGTATATTTATCCGGATTAAAATCCTTAAGCTATATATTCTATATATTATTTATTCTAGCTTAATAGATAAGTATTAGAAAAAGTGCTGTATTATCTGCATAAATGGCTGCTACTATAGTAATCCACTCTCTATTACTATTTTGCATAATATAGCGCATTCTTCCTAACTTATAGGCAAGCTTGCTGAAGATTCTCTTCTTCTTAACTAATTTTCTAATAAGAAATCCTTTCTTATCTATATTATATGTATTTCCTAGCTAGATATTATATTAATCTCTTTTGCGACTAAGAAGCTTAAAGTAGAGGCTGTAGTAAAGGGCAGAATTAGCCCTTTTCCGTTCCTTATTAATAGGAAGAAGGTAGGCTGATTTGAGGCGTTTGGAATTCGAATGGACCCAGCGTGAAACCCAGTGGATTCCTGGCATTCTCCCAGCTAAATCCTGGGCGAGATTTCGTATCATTTGATGCGTAGGAGGCAAGCCTCTTTCGGAGAGGTTGTTGATGTATTTGATGAGAGCCTTAGTCTTGCCAGGAGAGAGGAGCTTTTGAGAATTGTAGGCCTCAGCCTTTGACTTCGTGATTCCTCGGTACCTCCGTGAGAGCGTGGTTCTGTCAATCCCATGCTTCTTTGCGACCTCAGTATACATCTTTTTCTCCATCAAATCAAGCTCCGCGAACGCAGCTTCCATTGCATCCATTTTCGAAGGAAATCTGTGTATTTTTGGTGGAGTTGTGCGGTGTTGAAGCTTGAGAGAAAAAGCGGTGAGGGGCCTCCGAGACCGTGCATGAGGTGGTAGCGTGCACGAGCCGGTCGCCACTTCTAAGGGCAAAGCACTAGCTCTTCTCTAGATAAAGCTCAGCTTTAATATAAATAAGCACAACGCAATTAAACTGCTTAAAGCCCTCGACTTTATGCCCCTTGCTATTACGCAGGCGGCGGCTTATATTAAACAGAGAGCGCCGCGTATAACTATCTTGCGATATATAGACAAAGTTCGCAGAAACGACCATAACTAAGCGCGTCTACTTACAAAGGACATGGGAGACAATTGCAGGGACGGCAGAGCGTCCAACTCCATTATTGCCACCTGGCAGATCTCGTTCGCACACATCCGGAAGGCGATGCCCACGGCGGCTCGGCTGCTGTCGCTGATAAGCCTTTTCGACAGGCAGGGGATTCCGGAGTCGCTTCTCCATAATCGATATTGGCGAGATAATGGTAAAGAGGCCAACTTTAAAGACGATATCCATATATTAACTAGCTTTTCGCTAGTTAAGATAAGTGCAGATAGGCACGAATTTGAGATGCACCGGCTGGTGCAGTTTTTAACAAAGAAATGGCTAGAACTGTATAATGAACTAGAGGAGTGGAAGGAGGCGTACGTAGCACTTATGGACGACAGCTACCCGGTGGAACGGCACAAGAACTGGGCGGTGTGTTAAGGGCTGTTTCCGCACGCGCAAGCAGTGGTAGCGTGTCGGCCAGCGGGTGGACAGACAGTTGAGGCGTGGGCGTCGGTTCTGTTTAAGGCGGGGTGGTATGCAAGGGAAATAGGAAAATATAAGGAAGCAGAGGAGATGTCCCGAGATGCATTAGAGGCACAGGATGCTGCTTTAGGAGCAGAGCATCCCGTCACACTAGCGAGCGTGAGCAACCTAGCGTTGGTGCTGCGATACCAGGGGAAGTACGAGCAGGCTGAAGACATGAACCGACGAGCGCTGGAGGGGAGGGAGAAGGCGCTGGGGAAAGAGCATCCCGACACGCTGACGAGCGTGAGCAACCTAGCGTCAGTGCTGCAAGACCAGGGGAAGTACGAGCAGGCTGAAGACATGAACCGACGAGCGCTGGAGGGATGCGAGAAGGCGCTGGGGAAAGAGCATCCCGACACGCTGACGAGCGTCTATTGCCTGGCGTACTTACTACCACAGCGGCAGCGGTATAAAGATGCATCACCACTCTACCAGAGAGCCTGCGCTGGCTATTAAGAGAAGCTTGGACTAGATCATCCAACTACTTAAGCGTGTATAAAGCATTACTCTTCACTTTAACAGCTATTAAAGTTACAGGCTTCAGGAAGCAAGAGCAATGCACCCGTAGCCGGAAGAGGTAATAGCATACACTCGCTATCTACATCTTAAGACACAGCGCAATCTATTGCTCTAGAGCCCACAAAGATTTCAAAACGGCATAGAATATTTCAAAAGCTGGGCTGGAGATAAGGGTACTACGTCGAGGCGGAAGGGGGCATGGCTAATATCTAGATTACTTGCTGCGGTAGTAGGAGAGTCCTATGCACTTAGGTAGCGGAGATACGTTTAGCGAAGGTCCGCAGTACATTTTTTTTGGTTTAGATGCGCAGCTTTGCCTAATGCATTCCTGCAGTTTGCCTGCGCTGGCAGGGAGGCGGCCGACCCACTCTAACCACACCCTTGTCAGCTCAAGCTGTGGTAGAGAAGTACCTTCTGGTACCGTGCTAAATCACGTGCCTAGACTAACAGGGCCTAACTGGATGCAATGGTGGGTACTAAGGCCCCAATTAGCCACATATTCACAGCCACAAGCTTGGCTTGCTGGATGACATAAGTAAATTACACCACGATGCTTATGTCAGACTTACGGGGTCGTTTTGTCTTAGCTGGATTGGTAATTGCTTCCGACCGGAAGTACCAACCAGGGTGGCGACCTTGCATGAATTTGCGTGCGACAGCAGCCACAAGGCTGATGACGACTTCCCAGTATGGTAGCAAGGTTCTAAGGCTCGGATAAGGCTCTTCTATGAGCATCAGGAGTGATGGGAGATCGATAGAGATGCTGTGGCGACGAAATTCGGTTACGCTATGAAAGAAGGCTCTCCGCAAATTAGGCGCGAAGTCGACAATAGGAACGTAATTTTTCCGTAGGAGAGGTTCCAAGGGCTCTAAGATGGCCACAGCAAACGACTTATACAAAGTTATGGGAAACATCGATGTGTGCAGAGAGCTTGAGTTGTTTGAAGTCAATGTACCCCTTATATTGTGCGGCACGGTGGGTGTTGCGCCACCCAGGGACGGACGTTACTTGGTATCGTAGTTCAACACCACAATATTTCGCATTTGCACTTGGCAGTTGTGGTTGCGTCGGAAATACAGTGGTGTCTGACTTCTCGAGGAGGTTCAGATTTGAGCTTGTCCATATTAGGCAATCTGAATAAATGAGACGTTGGTCTGTTTACTAAAGCAGGTTGAATTGCGGGTGAGGCTCGTCAGAGCATGAGGACGATGGAGTCACCTAGAGCTCAACATCAATTTAGCACCAAGCAAGAAGATCTCCGGAATGGTGTATCTGACATAGCTAAGCTATCTACGATGACCTATTTCACAATGGCAGATAGAGTACCTGCAGAACTCGGGCAAGTGTCATACCAAAGCCTGTACATCGTGCCTAAAAACCCACTATGGTAGCCAAATGAAGAGCTACGGAGTCATCCCCGCCTCCACATACTCTTCATCGCCATTGAAGAAAGCTCCGCCGACTTCGCCAGTCTCATCAAACCCATTCTCCTCATCTCCGAAATCCGCATCATGGTCTTCCTCGGCGTCGAAGAACTCATCGTCTAGATAGTCATCAGCGTCCTCGCTATCGTAGCCATTCATCCTGTCCTTTCCAGTCCCTCGGACGTGCTTCGAATTTGAAGGCACTGGCTTTTGGCCCCTGGAAGCATCCGTAGCAACTTGGAAAAAGGAGTGAGTGGGTGTCAACCTCTTTCCTTGGACGATGTGACCGAGCGGAGTGTGCTCGAAATCCTGCCCCTTTCTGCGAACCGTTAACCACTCGTGCAAGAATGCTAGCGGGTTCGTTGAAAAACACTTTTGCCCCTCCTGCTGCTCATTTGGTCCAAGGTCTTGGTCTTCAGTGTCTCCGTCGGGTATTTCCAATGAAGTCAGATGCGTGTAACTGTTTTCAGGCTTCTCATCCTCCTCGTCCACTGCAACACCAAGGGGTTGGAGTACACTGCTGTGCTCATCCCATTCGAAGTAGAGACGTCCAGCGAAAATTCCAAGCTCCATTTTCAACCAGATCGGTGCATTCCATCCGCGAGGCAGTTCTGGAATCGCATAGTAGCGTAAGTCGTTGAAACGCAGCATCTTCCGAGTAACCGGCGCGGCATAGGTCAGGAGATGGGTGGGCGATTCAGCCATATCTCGAATCAACGCGATACAAATCTCGCACTCCTCCGGACTGATGATCATGTAATCCTCCGTGACAGAGCTCCACAGGATAAAGTTGACCGGTCTCTGTTTCCACAGGTTAGCTGCTTCCAGTAAACCAAACCGAGTAGACTTACCTGAAAGGTATCATCGGATCGGTAGAGAGACACCGTCCGCGTGAACTCCACCGAAACATAAAGCTTCGACGACATTCGTTCTGCATCTATGCCATATTTTGCACCCGCTACAGTTCTCCTCAAGGCAGCAAATGCATTTTGGAAAGCTGCAGATCCTGCAGACAAGCGTCCAGTCTGAACAAACCGAGTGAGATCTCGGTGCAAGCCTCCAAAAGAAAGCGGCATAAGTTGGGTTGGTCTCTGCACCTCCCTGACGTCCTCGACTTCATATGCGACTTCTACCTCTCTCTCTACCTCCACTTCTTCTAAGGCTGAACCATGTACTGCATGGCCGGTGTCTTTGAAGCTCCGTCTCTGGGCATCCAAGCGCTCTTTGAAGGCCGCAAGAGAGGGGCAATACGTAGTCACATCTAAAGCTGCCTTCGAGCTTTTGGGCTCGTAGAGAGTTTTCAGTGTTTGTCGTTCCTTTTGTTGAAGGACAGCCAGATAGGCGTCGCGCTCACAGGTATCTTCCATGAAATCTGGGTTGTCTAGAGCTGCTTGGGTACGCCGGCAGAAATCAATTCCTTGGGCAAAATACAGAGGCTGTAACTGCTCTATTCCTGTGACTGTTTGTTCCAGGACCCATCGGACAACATCATAAGAGTCTACGGGATCGTTGTGCTTCTTCTTCACAAGATCCAAGATAGACTGATGCACTTCCGGGGGAGCAAAGAAGACAACTGATTGTGTGGTTCCTAGTTGTCTCAGCCTCATGGCCGCTTGCGAGAGCGTATCTTTGGTTACGTTGAGGCCGAGCGTAAGCGCACCAATTGCATCCGTAGGTAGCTTAAGATCTGTTCCTCGAGTATGAGCCTCATCCAGGTACACAAGGCATTCTTCGAGATTGTCTGCAAACGGGGATGCGAGCAAAGGTACCCGGTAGCCGTGCCTGTACAAGACCCATGCCTTGTTATCCGTATCAAAGTAAACAGCGGCGGTTGATTCATGATCTTCCACAAGCCAGGCTTTCACAAGACTGAGATTGTCGTGCTCCAAGATCTGTGCTCCTGCGTCTATGAGCACGCGAATCTTCGTTTTAGCGAGCCTTCTTAATATCTCCACCTCTGACAGCCTCCGCCCTCGATGATCGGCTGTTAAAACGAATGTTCTGCTGCGAGGGGCGAGCATGAATGTGAGAACTTCCGCATTTGTGTGCCAGAGCCCAGACAGATCCTCCTGCTTAATGTTCAGTGGAAGCATGTTTCTTGAGTCGTTTGTGCCAGAAAACCCTGTAGTAAGTGCTTTTCTAACTTCCTTGGAGCTTGATTTTGCAAGATTTACATTGTTTTGAGGCGAAAAGAGAGGAATGTCCCATGCTGATGCAGAGAGCTTGATCTTGAACTGCTTCGCGTGCTTTGGGAAGACGAAGTTATTGAGGTAGTGATCAATGACATTCACATTATAGCGAACGTGGCGATGAATCTCAGCTAGTTGAGCCTCGTCGTCTACATTGATCGCGTTCCAATCCCTCAAGGACCCAGGAAGATTCTCAGTCGCCCAGCGTTCGTATTCTGTAGCGGGATCATCTCCTTTGAGAACGTGCTCGAGGCTTTGATGTATTTGTGGTAGAGTAAGGCCGTCGTAATAGAAAGAGAGACAGGTAAACAAGATCGATACGTCAGGATGACCCCACTCGCTTTGAGCTGACGGGACTCCCTTTGCATGATACGGGACAGCAATCGGATCTCTCAGAGGGTTCAAGCCATATTGAACGTTCCACCGCTTTTTCAGAGTGAGGAGGAGAATCCTATGGACGAACAAGCCCCGTAAGAGACGAAGGATTTGGAGACATGCTGGTTTACCGGGGAACATTCCGTGTACTCGTTTGATGATATCGTCGCATACCTTGGCTTCGGAAATGAAGTGTTTGATTGCACTTCGATCGTCTTTCGAGCACTCGTTTGCTGCTGGGAGTACGGATGTTCTACCACTGCATATCTCTTTGACCAACTGTTCAATAAGCGCATCCTCAACATCTCTTCGAAGAAGGTAGATGAATGGGTAGCCACCTGAGGGCCTCCGAACCACCTCAATGCTTTGAGGAAAACGGTATCGAAGGGCTGTCAAATTTGAATCAACTAGACGAAGTATAGCCTCAGCCGTCTGCCATCGATATGGGTTGCCGTCGACTGCACTCTGAGATCCGGAAGGATAGATCAATTGTGTACGAACAGCAAGCGTAATATCGCACTCATCAAGAACATCCCTGGATACCTTGGAAAGCCACCGCTGGATATTCACCATCCAGCCAGCTTCTGCGAGTCTGTCGTCCGAAACTCTCTGCAGACCACTTAACCGGAACGACATAAGGTGTTCAGGAAGCCCCAGTATAATGGAGCATTTCTTCAAAGCTTCCTGATGAATGCTGTAATACTTCTTCAGTGTGTCTGAGTTTGCCTGAGTTTTACGAGAGAAAGGAATATGACAGATCTTCCGGCCAAGCAAGCCGCCTAATCGAGCTTGAAAGATCTGAGCCGTTTGCAGCAGCAGTGAACGAGGCACAATTATTCTCGAAAGCTGAGTCGCATCCGCAAGGACGGCCGCCACCATTGGCAAAATTACGCTAGTCTTTCCCTGTCCCATCTGGTACTGCAAGATGGAATTGCTCCCAGAAGCTGGTGAAATAGTCGCGAGAGCAACGTCCACTTGTCGTGGCCGTATCAGAATATCCGACTCGATTTCGAGGAGAAGCCAGTCCGTGCGCTCAAGCGGCTGCCAATTGGCATGGCCCCCGTTATTTCTCTCCTCTGTAAAACGCTGTTTGTGGCCCTTGGACAGGGCATCTTGTAGTCTCAAGAGTCGCTGTAGTCTCGTGAGCGAGACAGCATAGCGAACCAAGGCCTCCTTCATCCCCTTTCCAAACTCCGCGTGGGCCGTGGATCTCAAGAGTTCGAGAAGAGAAATTCGTGTGTCACAAGGCGCTAGTCCTCCCACTCGAAGCCATTTTGCGCGGGAGTCGTGCGCTTCAAGAGCTTGGCGAATCTCCGCGATCAACCCTTGAGCTATCTTGTCCGCATTTGTGATGTCTGAGGATAGCTGAGCAGGGTTGAGGATTGTTTGGTTGCTCATTGCAGGAGAGAGTCCCTTCAAGGCCACTAGACTGGCCTCAAGATCCCGACCATATTGCTGGCGTACCAGCGACTGAGAACCTGTCATAGTAGAGATGACGCGGTCTAGTTCCTTCGTCGACATCAGGGCTGGTGTAGCCGCAACTGCAAGACTCGGCTTTTCGGACTCCTTGCTAAGCGATCTGCGAGCCCCATTGGGTAGTTCATTCAAAGTGCCACCGACGTGCGTCTTCCCAATGGCACTGGGAATAACGCCAGCGAGAATTCGCGGACCGCGCTTACTGATGAGATCCAAAAGGGTCGGGACTTCACCACCTCGATTTCTTGTGGGAAGCACAGCTTGAGTCTTAGATGATCCACGTGGAAGTTCGACTTCGATGTCAACTTGCATACGATCAAGGATAGCTTGCGCTTGGAAAACATGAGCTGAAAGTTGAATGTTCTGAAACCATCGAAACCACTCAGGCTTGATTGCCGCCATCGCCATTTCGCAATCGAGGAGAATGTCCAAGGAAAATCCTGTCAAACTTGGCTCAACGCATGGCCATTGGGCGAGCAAAAAGTCTGCGAAGGATTCGCATTGTTTTCGGACTAGAGTCTCATGCTGCATCTCTTCTAGTTCGTACTTTTTCCGTTGTTTGTAGCTCAACGTAGACCCAAGCGCATCCTTTACCTCGTTGGTATATGCCTCACGGCAGGGTTTCATCAGCTGGATAAGATGGTCGGAACGTGGATGTTGGTCCTTTCGGAAATGGTTGTACGACGGCCACTGTGGAGGTGTAAGAGATTTCAGGTCATTTGATACGGCGAATGCGATGAGTGTTCGGACAGCGTCCATGTTCACGTCTTTGCCAAACCCAAGAAGTGAGAAGAGAAACATGAGGGAGTACCGGTCTTTGGCCTCGGATCCTTGACATAGTTTGACTAACCTGCCCCATTCGCGTGACATGTCGAGCGAAAGGAGGTCTGAGATCACTACTTTGTCAAAGTTACCGTTGTATCCCCCGATGATAGGCCATTGCTGAAGAATTCCTGCAAGGTCTTTCGTTGTTCGTATGGTGTTCGGCCAGGACCGAACGATGGAGGCGCATCTAAAAACCTTCGATCGGCCATGACTCCTTGGGCAAGAATCTCGGGCGGTATACTCGACATCTGCAACGGTGGCTTGCGGCTTTTCCTCCAGAAAGGAACGGCAATAGCGATGATGCCGAATATAGCTACGTTGGGCTAGGCCAGGATCTCCCGATGGTTCAAGCCCCGGAAGTGAGGCATGTTGGGGCGCAAAGGTCCTCAACTCTTCCGATCTCTTGATTATGGATTCCACAAGATGTCGAAACTCCGGACGCTCAATGTTGATACTTGAGCTAGGATTACTAACGACGGTCTGCATATAGCGGAGGTCCTCAGGATAATACTCCCTCCGAGGGCTGAGCTTTGCAATGTCTTTCAGTATATTGTATGAGTGGATTGACAACGGCTCCCATGGCTGGAATGAACCAGATTTGAGATATTTGATGGATTCCTCTGTTCCGATCCGACCAGTCAGCGGATCTGGCAAGACGAATGAGGTATACGCATGAAACAGGGCTTTCGAATACAATAAAGTCGGTTCTGCAGCGCAATCGAGACGGCCCAGAACACTGTTGATGGTAAAGGTTCCGTATTGGCCAACAACGTTCGCGACATCAACAGCAACGTGTGCGTTGCTCTTGCGACAAGTCAATGTGCCTTTTGGGACGATGATGCTTCGTTGGCGGGGATTCAAAGTCGACCTCAGTACAATTTTGCTGTTTAAACCGTACCAAGTGCCGGCGTCCTGATTTGGATCGATCTCGGACTGCAACTGCGAGCACTCCAACAAGTTCCGCCTGTTGACTGTGAATGAGAGCTCCATTCTTCGTAGATCGACTGTCAGGTTTCTCCACAACGGTTGGAATACCGTAAGATGGTGGCGATATTCAAAATACGTGAATTGGCGCGCAATGCTCTGAAAAAGCGGGCTATGCGGGTCGACTAGTGTTACATTGCGGCGGCGTGCCTGGCGGGTATTCAAATTCAGTACCCAGTCGCTCTCTCTTGACTTCCAAGGTTCCGGGCCTTGCCTAATTTCTAGGAGACCGCTGCGTGGATTGAGCCAGTGAAAGCGGTCGATTACCAGTGAGGAGGGTAGATCAAAATTGGCCGGATTTCCAAATACCTCGCGAGGAACATATTCCAGAATTGCCCCATTTACACAGGCCCTGACGACTAACTGGTTGTCTCGAAGCCCAATATGGGCTTGGTGGTTGTAAGGTAGATGCAGCACAATACCGTGTGACATACCAACCAATGGACTATTGAAAACCAGCAGGTTTTGTGTCCCGAAGAGCAGCTTAAGCAATGGATGTGTCCTATACTGAATTGGTAGTTTGCCCAGAGGAAAACCATTCACTCCTAGAGTCCCATACAAGAGTGCATAGTGTACAACTTGTTGTGACATCTGATGGGTGGCACTCATGACCAGCTCAAGGACCCATTCGTATGGTGGCTGTAGAAAGGCGCATGCAACTGGAGGCTGTGAAACTCCTGCATCTAATACTGGCCAAAACGTATGGATTGCCATCCGCAGCGATCCTTGATTATGCTCGATGGACTGCCGAAGAATATGGCGCATCTTGTATGTCATAATCAAATCGCTGACGAGTCTGTGTCTTTGAGTGCTTGCTAATGTGCCTAGGCCACCAACGAGATTGTCCTGGATGGTAATAGAACTCTCGATGAAGCAGCGAGTCGACATAGGGTCCAGTAGCATACTCTGATCGGCAAACACGATGAAAGTTCTCTTGCAGAGAAGGGCAGCCCACATGGCATACGAAGTTATTCTCTGGGATGTTTCTGCATCCACTGCAATACTGGCCTCCTTCCTTAGGGCTGAAATCCACTCGGAGGTGATTATTCGAGCGTGAGCCAGAAGATCCAGAGCCTTAGCCGAGAAGTGATGATTGACCGATAGTGTCCAGAGCCTCAACATGAGAGTGATGAGCATGTCCATCAGAAACACCTCCCTCCAATTGGCTTTAAGGCCGCTTAACCGGCTCGAGAGCTGTGTTACTAGCTCTTCACAAAACGAGTCGTCTCGAAATACACGATGAGCAGCGCGAAGTACATCGTTTCCGGCTTCTGGTCCAGCCTGCAAAGCAACCGCCGATACCATGCATGAGCTGGCTTCAGTAGAGAAGTTGAGATTGGTCGACCCAAGCTCCATTAGTAACACTAGCCACCGACGATTGTAGCCTGAGGAGAGGCTCTGGAAGGCCATGTACTCATGACTATTGGCTCCAGGAGGGCACATTGACTGGCTTGCAATAATCTGGTTTGACGTCGGTCCATAGTGGTCTGCGGCGAAATCGGGCGACGACTGTAAATGCGCAAATGGGGATCCAGTAGGGAGCTTCAGCTCGAAGTGATGGCATAAGGTTGGTCTCTGGTATTGTTTATCGGGCCAGATACCATGCCGAGAATCGTACATTCGAAACTTCAACCCGCTAGGTAGACAAACATTGTCTAAAGACACAGGAAATCTCACATGTGAATAGTGCGTGTCAAGAAATGCTTTCGCTGATGATGCAAGAGTGGTACCCCAGGCTGATGATGTGTGAGGGACCCCCATACCGTAAGCGGCTGTAGCTTTATCTGCAAGAGTACCCCCGGCTGATGATGCACGAGGGACTCCCGTACCGTGAACGGCCGTAGTTTTATATGTTTTGAGAGGAGCGTAGTCGCAAAGTAAGACACGCGGTGGTTGTATCTTTTCAGTAGTTTCGGATCGAGTGAGTTTTGCGATTATCGTGAAAGTTGAATTGCGGTATCGCGCAAATGCTTCGGGGATTCCAAGCTCAAAAACCACAGCCTTGGTCGCGTTGAGGTCTGCCGGCAGCGGATGTTCGTATATCTTGATGCGGTGGCGCCACGCCTTACGTTCCAAAAAGCATTTCGTACAATTACGAGTGTCGTGATACCGCTCTGAAGTCTCTTCACTGATCTTAAAGATGCAAGAAGCTTCTGAGATCTGCCTGACCATGCTTTCATACTCGGCACTCAAGGCATTCCACTCAACTTCTTTCTGCTCTCGGGCTTTCTGCGCGTCTTCCTCAATATAATCATGCAACCGATGAAGCATTGGGCAGTCTTTGTAGTATCGGACTCCAAAACACTCCTCTGACGGATCGCCGAATATGGTGGCGTGACTATCTCCACTTCGTAACTTCCTTACTTCGAGATAGGCCTGCACATCCTTCAAACGCTTGAGCTGTGAGAGGTGAGGAAGATGCAGTACATCCATCATTGCGGAGGGGAACCCAGGGTGGTATTCGGTCATAAGGGGGTACGTCTTCGTCGCGCATTTGTCCATGGCTACCCAAAGTTCCATTATGGTCAAAAGCATCTCTCCCTTCTGGTCTGCATACTCGTCGTACGCAGCCCCTACTGCAGCGATGTACTTTTCGATGAGGTTTGCGAGCTTGATACATTGCATTTCGCCCAGATCCAATGAGTCATTTTGTAAAGTCGTTAAACCTGCTGAGCCACCTCTGGCGGCGCTGTCGCAGTCTACCGTTCCTGTGGCACACAATGACTCGGAGGCCTGGCCAATGCTCGTCCGGATTTCGACCTCTAGATCGACCAGATCAAAATATCGCTCTGAAAAGGCTTTGAAATGACCCTTAGATGCCAACATAGCCTGGAAATCATTCCGGGACTGATCGTGATCATAGCTCTGTGTATGTGTTGGTCGTGAAGCCTCTTTCATAACTCGGTCGAGATAGGCTCTGGAGTTTGGAAGCTTGAGAACCAGATCTCGTGGATCTGCTTTCTTTGGCAGTGGATACACGGGCCTCCGTGTTGATTTCTTCATTTCCTCCCAGCGAATTTCGATATATCGCGTCGCATCCTGTACAGATTTTTCGAACCGAGTCGTAAGGCTTTCGAATAGACTCTGGTATACAGGACGAAGATCTAGGGAGGCTTGATCTTTATTGACTTCGAGTTTAACTAAGCGACGGCACAGCTTAGCCTTGATCAGGTGTACCGATGCCGGATCCAGTGTAGTCAACGTGTCATCCAGTAGGCCTGCGAGGAGCACACACATCACGAATTTGTAATGTGTCCGTCCGACCTCTCCCCCGAGCAGCACGGAGAGCTCTCGTTGTATCGCAACACGGAGAACAAGCCAGAATTCGGACCTTCTCCACGGCCGGTCGGCGCCATCAGCCCAGCACACATCATCATGTATTCGCTTTTGGAGTAAAGGCGGGTATACTCGACGGCCATTGGCTTCAAGCAACGTCATGAGCATGCTGGTAATTAAGGCTGGGTCTGCCGTGTCTCTGCTTTCGAACGCTAAAGATCCGGCCTTGTGGGTCTTGGCGGCGAAACGCTTGATTGATTCGATGCTGGCTTGCTGTAGAAACGTAGAAAGCTGTTCTTGGAAAGAATCATCGCAGAATATGGACCGTTCTAAGATGACGGTGGTCCCAGGGAACGTCCGAAGCAGTGCATTTTGTGAGGCGAGAACGTCGGCCGACAGCGGGGAGACTTCAAAAGCCTCGAAAATAATATTCCTAAGCAGGCACGAATGAGTTAGTTCTGCTAATCATATGTCGAATACCGTGATACTCACTCGCCGCACCTCCGAAGTAAAAGCCCACAGTTCTGTTCCGATAGATGCAGAATGAGTGTCTCTCGGTCGGTCAGATTTCGAAACTCGCGACACAACGAAGTCTTGTCCAGCTTGCCGCCGGGGTTGCAGGTTCTGCTTGTGTGGAGTGAACGGCATATCGAATCCCAGGCTGCTCGATGCGGTCCGTCGGCGGCAACTGATCGCATGGCCCGACTAGCATTAATGAAGCGATCGATGAACGCGTGCTCGATATTCGTACGATTGCTGTCGTGCCTCCCGGGGAGTCTCGGAGGGAGAACAATGTGGTTGAAGAGGGATTCAAGCAGCTCTGGACGAGCTGAGGTGGTGTGGTCCATCCGGGCAAGGAAGCTGCGGTGTCAACCGCCTCGGAGCGGTTGACGTCGTGAAGGTAGTCTCGGCGGCCAACTGAAATACAATGTAATGATTCGAATGACGAAGGAGCCCCATAGGCTACTATGTGAGGCTAATGGGAGGAGAAGAGGAGAAAAAGAGAGAGTGATTGAGAAAAGTGTGAGGAGTGAGGCAGAAGTTGACCTCACTTTTCCAATGCGGCTAGTGGCATAGGGCCCGTGCGTGTGGGCAGCTGTGATTGGTCGCAGAAGACCGACTCTGGGCGCCGTTTACCCAGGTACTAGGTACCACGCGAGGCACGAAAAAAGTGGCACACTCATCAATTACTCTGCCCGTGTGTACACCTTATTACCACTGCAGGAAGTGCTTCAACACGTTTCCACATAGTCCAAGGCAAAAGGGTCCTATCTTGTTCAGATTCCTGAAAATGCATTGAAGCACCTCAAGCAGTGGCAGACAGGTGTATGCACGAGGCAGCTTGCTGTGAAATTGGAGTGCCACCTTTTCTATGCCCCATGTGGGTGCTCACCTGCCTTCAAACACAAGATTCCGTGAGGCCAAGTTTTCATCCAGTGTTGAGATTGTCGCGCTACAATGCCTAGCACTAGGGGGAAAAGGCTGTCCTCACAACAATCACGACTCAAAGCTCCCCAGAAGGTATACTGATTGGGGGACATCACCCATGCACTCCCAAGCGTCCCACTACTTTTGCTCTTTTTAGGCCCTTCCCCCTGGGGTCCTTCACCATGAGATCGAGTCTTGCTTACATTGATAGGGGAGTAAATGTTGGGAGAGGTTAGTTGCTACAGAGTCTCATCGTTGGGCTGTGTACGTCTTTTCTGGCTTCATCCCTTGAGAAGATATCAAATATCAACCTAAGGCACAGGAAAATCATACTGATAACTTACTGGACCACACTCAACGGCATCATTACCACTGTTAGCTTTTGTAGCAGTTCCAGCTCCGGTCACAGTGGGTTCGAAGATTTGAGTTCATGTCAACTCATAAACATGCTAAATCAACGAAAGGTTTTGCAAATACCGTGTGGCTCCTTGTCTCGGTGTTGCGAATGGTCATTTTTCCGATTCGATTCGGTTACAGCTCCGTCTCACGTCCGATGGCCTAGTGCGCAAGTCAGGTTACAAATGCATCGTAGAAGAGGGGTAATCATCTTGAAAGTAACGCCTTGAAGTATCGTGAGACATAAAGTAGCGGTTTTTTCTAACGCCGTCTGAGGTGGCCCAGAGAGCTATTAAGCTCGTCGAAACTGTTGTTTTCTAGTTCTTCATTACGTACTGGGACCTTAGGCGGTGCTAGGCAAGTGTACGCAAGCTTAGAGTGGTGTACGGTAATCTTCAGTCCAGAAATGGGCCACCTTCAAAATTTTGAGACCAATTCCACCAGGTGTATTGAGCGTTTTCACGCTAGGTCATCGGACGTGAGAAGATGGTGTACAACTCATAATTTGCTTTGAATGGCTGCCCAGGCATCGTACGAAGTAGGGTTGTTTCCTCCAAGAGAAGGTCAAACGATGGTGTCGCAGATGCGAGAAGGTAAAGTGAGGTTCGTGCAACCCATTTGATGGACAACTCGAGTTCGAAAGCGCGTCTACCGCCTCGCTTTATGCAGACAGCTTCGCTATGATGCATGCAAGTGGAGAGAAGGAATGTTGGGTAGAATTGTAAGAAGACGCGGGGTTTAAGGGGCTTGGCTGACTCCTCCGAATCTAGAACAAGCAAGGGCGGACGCTATGGCCGGTATAGAATATGCCCCCAGGAGATATGTCCTGAAACTCGAAAGCCTGGCACCCACAACCACAACCAGAACCTTGCTGAATACTTTCATTTGATCTTGCGTAGAACATGAAGGAACACAGCCAAGCTGGCGTAACCGCTCAAGTACCTTGAAGCATCTCAATCTGCAATAAGTCGGCACCGATCTCGTCTGCCGCTGCTTAAAACTCCCTAATGCTTTTTTGAAATTCTGATTTTTGTTGCTTGGAACAGCCAGTAAGCCTGCCGGGGCAGTGGCCGATGGAAATGCACACTCAGCTGTGCTGTTCATTGCTCCAGATTTCTAGAATCATGTTAGAGTACTATAAGCAGTGGCAGAGCAGTGTACATGTATTAATGATGAGGCACTGTGTATACGGAATCTGCAGTGCACCTCATTCGGCTTCGGTGTTGAATGAGGCAAATGAAGGCAGCCGGCAAGGGCTTCAAGGAGAAGAGTTTCTGTAACGTCAGATGTGAGTTAGACAGTATTTATGGTAAGGCGCGTGCTGTTACATTTATTCTGAGTAGGAAAGGCGGCATTTTGCGGCATTTAAAAGAACTGGATCAGATGACATTTGGCTGCGCTGTTGTTCTACAACTTACTTGCTGCGTTGCTCCAAGGCGGCATTGATGCTAGTTATGGAGTGCTAAAGGTACTTACTTACACGCTGCTGGCCCAAAGCCTTTTAGAGCTCTAAACTTGGGAGAAAACAAAAAGTGTATTGCTAGGTATAGGGGTGATTGTTCCTATTGCAGCATCTAATTTATGCGGTTCATGTTGTATAATAAATAATACACAAGTTATTTACTAATACAGCAAGGGCATAGGAGGATTGAAAGTTTAGTAGACTGTTAAAAGGCAATAACTTATACCTATTATAATGGCCAGTGCTACGTGTACGACCCCTTTTTGCTGCTTGCACGATGTCCTTTTGCTGCATGCACGAACCCCCCCCCCCCCTGCAACCCCTTCACCGCGCTCATGTCTAACTACAGCAGGACCGCCTCCCTGCGCCACACTGTGGGCTTAGTAATCTGCCGCACCCTCCAAGCTGAGCTTGCTTTCCCCTCACAAAGTTGAAACTACCACACTCGACTTACAATACACTTATACTGTCTCGCACTTAGATACGTTTCTTGGGTATAGCATCGTAACCTTTCTATCTGTATACTCGCTAACCTCAATAGCTAGGACTGATATGCTGGATAAACGAGCGAGTTGCCCGGCTCGTGTCTTGAGTTAGGCTGCTGCGGTTTGAACCCAGCCAAACCCATTCCTACCGCTCACCCTGTGCCCAACCCTATGCGAAATAATGCGTCTTTTGCGATGGAGCAATAATACCGAGTTCGGCCTTACCGACGATCTGGCGGATGACGAGGCAATCCCTCCTTATGCGATCCTTTCGCATACATGGCTCGAAGATACGCAGGAACCCACCTTTGAAGACCTTACGAATGGTACTGGCAGGGAAAAGCTTGGATATGAGAAGATCCAGTTCTGCGGAGGACAAGCTAAACAAGATAACCTACAATATTTCTGGGTGGATACCTGTTGCATTAATAAGTCAAACCCTGCCGAACTCTCACACTCTATCAATTCTATGTTTCGCTGGTACCGCAACGCGACTCGATGCTACGTCTATTTGTCGGATGTCTCCAGCCCCCGCACCAACGATGTGTTTCATTCGCAGTCATGGGACTTGGATCTGGCGAGAAGCAGATGGTTTACTCGGGGTTGGACACTCCAGGATGGGTGTGGGCAACTATTCTGCCTAATGTCTACACAGCCTCAACGCCATGCTGGGCATGCATGTGTGAGAGATCTTGGACCCTGCCACGCACTCACCTTCACCAACGCGAAGCCTTAGGCATATAAGTCATGAGTTATTCAGTAGATTTCATATCAGCCCTTCGAGGCATCTGAGAGACGTCTCGCAATCTACACCCGCCGCTTCCATACTTCCCAGCAAGTTTACGTGCCGGCGACCAGAAATAGAGAACATGTTCAATATACACCACTTCAATAAATGGTCATAGTCTATCTTTCTGGTTGAGCAATGTTCCAGATGTTGTTTATCCAGCATCAACCCATGCTTCTTGGAGGCGAATCTGCGCATGGGTGGGTTGAATGAGCGTGTTATGTATCCTTTTGCAACGAAAATTTATCGCATTATACAACTCTGAATAGAGAGCACTCATCGTTGGTATATGGAGTTCCTCGTTCTAAGTTACTCAGCTCATTTCACTTTCGCGTCTCACACAAACTCACATCATGTGGCGGGGTGGCGTTTCCCTTATTCTTCCTCCTCGAAAGCCCTTTCGGGTTACAAAGCTTTATAGGAAAGTTTCCATTTTGGCAGTATGTAAGCTCTATCCTACTATAAGACCGGGCTCCGAGTCCTCGTCTATGTGAGCAAGGCCCCGATACAGACACCAAGGTTTGATCTACTCAAGGGTACTTCAGCTCCCCGCCTCTCATATATATATTTCCCAACACCTCACTTCACGTTCCCATCCACTTTCAGCCCTCTCTCTCTCTCCAATCCTCCTTCAATATGGTCCAAAACAAAACAATAACCTTCACCAAGAACCCCGACAAGTTCCCCATCCTCGGCACCCACCTCTCCATCACTTCCGACTCCATCGACCTCTCCATCGACCCGCCAGATGACGGTCTCTTGCTCAAAAACTACTACATATCCCTCGACCCCTTCATGCGCATGCGCATGGACAAGCCCATCAGCAAACCCTACGTAATTCCCTTCAAACTCGACGAACCAATCCACGGCGGCGGCATCGCCAAAGTGCTCAAATCCCAAAACGCAAAGTTCAGCACCGGCGATATCGTCTGCTTCTTCAACGACCGCGGGCTGCCGTTCCAAGAGTACACGGTCTGCGATGCCGCGTTGACTGAGATCCCGTTTGAAGTGCATAATCCGTATGACATTGATGTAAAGCATTTCGTGGGCGCGCTTGGACTTGCGGGCTTGACGGCGTATTGAGGTTTGTACGAGATCGGGAAGCCGAAGGCGGGCGAGACGATTTTGGTGTCGGCGGCTAGTGGGGCTGTTGGGCAGCTGGTTGGGCAGCTGGCGAAGAAAGAGGGGACGGTGTTTACGGGGATTGTGGGGAATAAGGAGAAATTGAGGTATGTAGTTGAGGAGTTGGGGTTTGATGCGGCGATTAATTATAAGGCGGAAGAGTCTATTGGGGAGGCTTTGAAGAGGATCGCACCTCAGGGGATTGATGTGTATTTTGATAATGTGGGGGGTGAGATTTTGGAGGCGGTGATTGAGAATATGAATTGGTTTGGGCGGATTGGTGAGTGGTTTTATACTTCTTCCTTCGCACAGTTCAAGTTTTCTAACTCTTGTCTCGCCGCAGTTGCTTGCGGTACGGTCTCCAGCTACAACCAGAAAAGGGAAGATAAGTACGGCATCAAGAACCACATAGAAATCTGCACCCGCCGCATCTCGATGCAGGGGTTCATCGCCAGTGACCCGAATATCCTCAAGCACTTTCCAGCACTGCAGGAGAACGTACAGAAAGGGATAGCTGACGGGTCGATCAAGTTCCGTCAGGATGTGACGGTGGGTATCGGTAATGCGATTGATGGTCTGCTGGGCATGCTGAAGGGGGAGAAACAGGGGAAGGCGATATTGCAGGTTGCAGATTTGGAAACGGAGTGACGAATCAAAATGAAAGAACTTTGGGGTAACAAGAAGCAATGAAGGAAAAGAAGACAGATATCGTACGTTTCCTCCTCGAGGAACGGGCGTGATTTGATGAAGTAGTAAAACACCAAGTCAGAATACGCAATATCGTGAATTGTCAGTTGCTCTTGCAGTCCTACTCAAACCCTCTAACCCTCAGCTCTTCCGACAAAATAAGTGTGTTGTACTAGCAATTGATGTATTGAGACATAACAACTCCGCTTTCCTACGCCGTGATTCTATGGAATTCCCTCAAGTGCTAGAACAGATATGGGCATGATTAGTCGGCTTCGTGAATTCTAGCATTCTGTGCAACACCTCTCAGAGTCCCCATCCTTCTCTCTGAGCCGCAAGGGACAGTTATCGTTGAAAATGTAATCCATAAGCCTCTCCAAGCCCTGCAAATCGCCTTCCTTCGTCTCCATCTTGTCTTTGTCAACCCATCCTTTAGTCGCGCCGCCTTCGAAATCAATGACGATTGCATTACCACTCTTGTCAATGACAACGTTATCGGCTTTGACATCTCCCCAAACGACATCTAATGCATGCAAAGTTGACACTGTCTTCTGGATTTGTGAAGCCCATTTCTCCCGAATCTCCCTGGGTGCCTGTTCAACCGTCTGCCATGTGAGAGCTCGATCAATATCAATCCAGTAGTAGAGCTGCCCGCGAGCGATGCCTTTGTTGTTCACAACTACTCCGTAAAGTCGCGACGTAAGCAGTTGATCCGGAAGAATGCCTGACTGGTGGATCTTGCTGTACTTTTTAACTACGGCTTTCGACTCATCCGACGTCCATGAAGATTTCCAAAACAGTGGCTGGCCTTGTACAGAGACTTTGTCGGGAACGATGTCAAAGACAGTACTAGGATCGTCAAAGATGACCTCGACATCGGAGAGTTGGAAGTGAGGGAACAGCGATATAAAGGGTGCCGGTTCTGGTTCTTGCCAATCGTCGAGAACATCAGGTTCATCAGGATCCTTGCGAGTAATAGCACTTGGACGTGGCACTTCGTTGTAGAATTCGAGTTGACATTTGTAGTATTGCCGAGCCTGTAGATCGGCAAGCGTCAACTTTCCGACATGGCGGACGGCCGGTGCGAGTTTTTGGAGTTCTGGCAAGAAATGCGACGCGATCACGTCTAGGTAGTCCCATAGATCAGGGTCATCGACGGAATCGCCACTTAAGTTCGCCTTATTTGTTTGCGCGGCCTCGAGAGCAATTGGCGAGCGATGAAAGTTCGGCATCAAGACGTGAATGTTTAACCATGCGCTCCGCACGCGAACGTAGAGAACAAATCCTCCGGGTGTGGTTTCCCAGCCAGGGAAGTCGTAGTCAGGTTTCCCGAGAGGAGCTTCTGTAGTGTCGTGAAGAGCCATTTTGGTGTAGAATTGAAGAAGGTGAACAGGAAGAGAGAGATCAAACTAGCAATTGCTGCGGTGGTGAAAGAAGTTGAAGATCGATCATTTGGCAAATCGCAGCACAAAGATATGAGTTGAGCGGGTTAAGAACTTCACCATACGCGCCGAAGGCACAAAGAAACTTATAAGTAGGAAGAATGAAACTGGGGGCGGCAGGTGGATCCACGGAGGTGGGAGGGAGGTGAGCCCGGAAAAGTGTCGGGCCGTTAACTTGACCAATAGAAGGGGCTCTTTCACTGTGCCATTCTATTCGGGTACTGTAGGCTGAGTGCTGCGCCGCATAATCAGGCCTTGGGTACGGAGCGCTTTGGAGTCGCGCGCTACCAACCTTTTGAAACGAGCCCGGTATTAGTTGCTAGCAATGCTATCCTACTGATTATTTTTTTGGGACTCAAATGCTGCCCGGCGCTTTCTGTCACTCTTCACCGTTTTAGCTTAACGGCGCAGTCTCCTCTAGATACCTGGGTAGCTTCGCCGCGCCGGGCAGCTTCGCCGCACCGGGTGAGACTGAGAGTTATAAAATGGACGGATGGAAGGGAGAAAGGAACACCATCCAAAGTTCGCTGCATCATTCGAAGCTGCATTATTCCTCATTATTGCTCGAAATTTTCTGATCTAATTCTTCTGCATTTTTCCCCTTCTATTACCTCCCTTCTCTACATTCTCTGTGAAGATGTGCAGGCGAGTCGAAAGAAGCCGCGTGTGCGGGCACACTCAGTTGCTTTGGCGTCCAGGGCCACGGACTTGTCCACGAGCCAGACGTGAGAACGCGCGCCGTCAGAGCAGCAGGTTATACCGATGTTCAGCAGCCTATCAAACCTATACGCAATCGGTACCCATACCTTGCAAGCTGAGCCAGTGTCGCATCAATTTCAAAGTAGCTAGGGGGTTTATATGCTGCCAATGTCAATGGCGCAATCGGAGTGGACAGACGCAATGCCATGGCCCCCCCGAAAGACACGAACGCGAAATCGATATCTGGGCAGTTCGCGTTAACACCCAATGTCCGCACTCAGTTTGCCACCTCAGATGCTGGCCTAATCAATGGGACCCAGAGTAAGCAACGCACAGTCAAGCCTTCGAACGAAAAAAACTGTACTAACGGTCCGTAGTCAAGCTTCGGACGCCAATTCTTAGACAATGCCCGGAGCATTCAGAAGAAGCCTGGGACAACAGTTGCAACTTGAGACAGTCACATACTTACGTTCAACCCCACGTATGATTGTTGTTACAGTCAGATCAAAGTGCTGAGCATGTTACCTAGAAGCTGGTTTCACGCACACCCTTTGGGTCGGTATAGATATCCTTTGAATTTGCGATACTGCACTCGCTTGGTCGAGATTGTTTGGTCAAAGTTACAGTCGTTCGGTCGGAATCGCACTCGTTTGGTCGAAAGTACGCTCTTTTGGTCTGTCGGAAATTACAGGTGTCTTCTTTATTGTAACTTTATCGGTCACAAATACACTCTTTTGGTCGATGTACTTCAATCTCAAAGTTTTGGGTAATTTGTGATGGCATGGAAAATCTAGACTGCTAAATCTTAGTAAATTGATTCCTTACCCTAAACTGTCATCTATAAAGTCACGATCGCGAATCTCCTGGATTTTCGAGCGTGCTTAATTCGGTAGCTAGAAGTTCGTCCTTTTATATACTCATCCGAGATATATTAATCTGCCGTTACTCTCGTACGAATCTATTTCGGGTGGGAAGGTAAGAGACCAGTCGTGGAGGTGCTATGGTGACTGCAGAAGCAAGGGAGGGAGAACAAAGAGAGATCGATGACCGTAGACGTACGTTCGAGAGACAAATGAGCATGCGTATGAGGAAGCAAAGGAGTCTGTTAGAGTCCGTGATTGATTCCTTCATCAAGCTGATTGCTACGCAGCCATTTGCTTCGTAGCTATCTTGATCGCTTGCATGAATAGAAACATCCCAGTAGATGTGTTAAAATACAAAATGTAAGCCATTTATTGCTGCAGAAGTGGATCCGTGGCATGCGTTATTATCTTGAGGATTGTCTTCTATTTGGGGGCTGTTCGGTCCGGATTTCCAAGGTGTAGATTGCTGTAGATTGAACACGCGTAACCAGCTTTCGGCCTGTAGATTTCCTGTAGATTCAATCTCCTGTAGATTGAACCTACAATTGCCCGACTGTTCGGTTTTTTTTGGTGTTGAGCTGTAGATTGCCTGAAGATAGAGTTCCGACGGGCTCAAAAGCCCTGCTAGCCTGCCTCGTATTCCGCATGCAGCCGCCAAGCCTGTAGATTCGCTGTAGATTCAATCTACAGCTTTGAAGTGTAGATGGAGTTGTAGATTCGAATCTACAGCAAATCTACAGGCTTGGCGGCCGCCCGAGCGGCCGTCGATGTCTGAAGTTCTCGTCCTCACCCAATTTTTGCCCTCTCCGCAAATCTATGGCACCGCCCAACGCCACCCTATCGCTCGGCCTCCAGCTGTTGTTACTTCTTGACCTTGCTGTTCTCATCCTGGCCGCTACAGAGGACCGCCTGTCAACTGGCGTACGTGTCCAGAACACCGATATATTCCGAGGAGCGATCTGGACGGCCCAGTTGATGCATGGCCATGAGAAAAGGATGCATAATATGGTGCGGATGAGGTCGGCGGTGTTTGTAAAGCTGGCTAATAAGCTGCGTGATGGGGGCTTTGTACAGGACTCGAATCTGCTTGGTGTTGAAGAGAAGCTGCTCATCTTCTTGCTGGTGTTTGCGGCGAACGATTCCTATCGCAAGGTTGGAGAGGAAACGCAGCATAGCCTGGCAACAATCCACGCGTGAGTCGTCTGGCTACACTATCTATTTGTTAGCGGAATCTGACACTACTGCCAGTGCAGTTCATGAGGTTATACCCGGTCTCCTCCAGCTCTACAATGAGGTTGTAGTCCTCCCTCCAAACGAGACTCCCGAAGAGATTGCCGACGAACCCAAACGTGACGCCCTCCAGGACTGCATTGGAGCTATAGACGGCACGCATTTGCCAGTGTCAATTCGTGGTGGAGAGGACCGGCAGGCTGCCTGGTGAGGCAAAGAGAAGAGGTTGACACAGAACGTCTTTGCTGCTGTCGACTTTAAGTTAAACTTTGTATACGCGCTTGCTGGATGGGAAGGTACTGCTCATGATCAGCGAGTGTTTGATGCAGCGATAAATCAACAAGAGCATCCTTTTGAGGTTCCGGCTGGCCGCTACTACGTAGCTGACGCTGGCTACGCCAACACTAAGACGACTCTGACACCATATTGTGGGGTCTGATATCACCTAAAGGAACAAGAGAGAGCTCAGCTGAGGCCGGCGCACGAGAAGGAGTTGTTTAACCTATGACACGCTTCGCTACGGAATGCAGTAGAGCGGATGTTTGGAGTCTTTAAGGCAAGGTTCTAGTACTTCAGTGCACCGCGTACGAACTTTCTGATAGAGGTTCAAGTCCAAATTGTTTACTGCTGCATGGCGGTGCATAATTTTATTAATCTAAACCACCCAACGGACCTGGATGAGCCCCCAGTTGAACCAGTTTATCCAGATGAAGCTGACGCTATTAGGGCAGAGGAAGAGAGCGAGTTTGAGATGGAGGATAGAAGAGACGCTATAGTGAGGTGGATGTGGAACGACTACGTTAAAATCCAGTGGGTTCGCATTAGAGAGGTAGTTGGACTTGTATTTCTAGAGTAGCAAATAGGCGTGTCAAAAGAAATAGTACGGCCGCACCAAATTTATAGACACACTTGTTTAGGCTTTGAATTCTATAGTCACAATATATCGCTTATATATCAGCCTCTTGTTCCTCCTCCTCCTCCTCCTCCTAACCCTCAACCTCAACACTACGGCCTAGCTGCACCGTACGGCCTACTACTTTACTAACTCAAGCCTCTCAAATAGCACCTGACGTTAGCAGGAAGCTGTTGGCTCTGGAGTCTATCTCAAACGTCTCTCGCACGGCTAACTGTTCGTCGATAGATAGGACTCTCTCGAATTCTGTAAACGCCGTAGTTGCACGTCCCTGTAGTAACCCTACTGCAGCCGGCGCCGTACTCTGCATCATCTGCTCGGTCAATAGCTTCCTTGTAGCAGTGGTCTCCTTTGAAACCGCCGCTGCAGTTTCAGCAAGCATTGACTTCTTAGTCCGTCCCTTCTTTACGTTCTCCTCCAACCGGCGAGCGGCTGCCTCTGCCGCCCGCTTCCTCAGGTTTATATTTGACGGTTTCTTAGGCCCCGGAGTTGGCCGAGGTAGTGGCGTAGCAGAGGCCGCCGTAGAGGCTGCCCGGGCAGGTGTTGTTAAGCTTCCAGGCGGAGCCGGAGTAGAGCTTCGAGACGGAGCCGGAGTAGAGCTTTGAGAAGGTGCAGTTGAAACAGGAGTAGAGGAAGCAGACCCGTTTGATGCTGGTGCAGTAGAAACTGACGTACGGCCAGTATTATCCTCGTCGTCCTCTCCCTCTCCGTCTTCATCTACTCCCCCATCATCGCTTATAAAGTTATCATCCTCCGCCGGCGGCTCCTCGTAGTCCTGTACGGCTTGGCTAAAGTCCTCATCTGGATCCTTAGCCTCATCGACGTCATCCTCATCTAGCACTAGGCCAGCGTTGCCGCCCGAGTCCTCCTCATTCTCTTCTAACACCTGCTGCATCTGCTGCGCCGTACGACTGTGTTGGCCTGTTGCTACAATTCCATGGAAGAGCTCGTACATCTGCTTATGCGCAAGGGGAGTTTTATGCTGCTATTTTAGGTGCAAAGGATTGGCCTCAAAAGTCCGCCGCCATGACATCGGCGTCAGATACAGGTACGTCATTCGCATCTACACTCCAGCCAGAGTGAGAGAAGTGCGCCTTCCAATTATGCCATAGTTTCCTACCTTCAGAGTGCTTTGACCGGCACTGCGGCTTCTGCACCGTTAGATCATGTTCTGTAGCCTCTTGTACAGCAGCAATAGCAAGCGTCCAACACCGAGGATGATACCCGCTCTGCGCGCGCAGTCCAATCTTTACTCCTCCAAGCAAGGCATCGTACATCGCCACCACCATCTTATCCGTCCATTCTATCCTGGGCTTCTTATCCTTTGCTCTTGGTGCCTTCTTGGCGGGCTTTGAGGCAGCGGCAGCGGCAATTGCTGCCTCATCTGCTGCCTCAGCTGCTGCCTCATCCGCTGCCTCAGCGGCGGCCGCGATGGCCTTGGCTGACAGCTTCTTCTTCCGTTTTGGCGGTGGAGGTGTCGATAGCGCTGCCGGAGGAGCATCTATGTCGGCGGAATTCGAGGCCTCATTGGCAGGCTGCGCAGTAGGGCTAGTAGCTTTGAACTGATGGGTAAAAGACATTTTTAACACCAAGCTGACGTTGGAAATAGCTATCGTAGGTTGTGTAACGGGAGGATTGAATTTCATTGGATTCTGCCCCCGTGCGCACGCCAAGATCAGCCGCAATCTACACGCAATCTACAACACCATAATCTACACCGAACACTCGGCCGATTGTATATTGGAAGCCACCAAAAGCCACCATCAGCCTAATTGTACGCCGCCGGCAATTAGTGTGGCCTTAAAAACCTGTAGATTCAATCTACAGGCAATCTACAGGAGCGCGGACCGAACACGCCCTTAAGAAGTTGGAATTCGTGGCGAGGTAGAGGCCGTGCGGAGGAAAACGCCACCTGATCACGTGTCGGTTTAACTATAGCCTGGTTAGGACTAGCGGTAATCCGGTCGCTTTCCCCTTTACTTAGGCCGGCCTGGCGGGCATGGATCGTGTTCAGGAACCCCGCACGACTATTATTTCACATCTCCTCTTCCACTGCTAACCACACCGACCAAGCCGCAAGTCTTGACCAAATCGTACCGGAAACGGCGCGTCTTGTTTTGAAGTCGAACGCCATGACTGAGAGCAACTTTCTGGACGACGACATCTACCTTCACCTGTCGCACCGCCCACGCTACATTCTCAACGGTGTAATCTCAATTGACGATTCTACGAAGCCAGCGTCTACAATCATTCAACGCGAATGTCGATCTTCTCTAGGACAGCTTGACAACCTACCTCTTGAAATTCTACACGAGTCTCTCACATACTTGGATCTCCAGTCCCTATGGCGCCTATCTCGTGTCTCCCTGCGCGGCAAAGCTATTGTTGAATCTCTCCGTGAACATAGAAACCTCGTCACATCCGCAGGTTATACCTTCGAGATCCTGAATCGGGCGAGAATCCTTGGCCTACACTCTGTTACTACGCTTTATGCAGCCCTATACTCTAAGCGATGCATATCCTGCGACGCATATGGGCCATTCCTACTTCTGCTCTCTGCTGAGCGGTGCTGTTTTGGATGTCTGGCAGTTAACCAATCTCTCTGGATGATCTCATTACCGTTAGTTGGGGAGTGCTTCGGCCTCACAAAGCAGCAATTGAGGGCTCTGCCTATCATGAGGAGCATTCCCGGGAAGTATCGCGTCGCACACAGCGTATCCCACCAACGATCAATAAGGCTCACCACTGTTAAAGCCGCAAAAGAACTAGCTCTCAAGGTGCATGGGTCACTTGAGGCATTGGCGACGAAATTCCCTTTGGACGCCCGGAATATTGCAACTGTCAATAAGCTCGACACGTTGACATGGTATCGACAAGCGGAGTTGCGTCCACTTTCGCATGACCCTCTTACAATAAAAGATGTGGGAATCAGACCTCGTGATAACTTCTGCGGTATGGGTGCCATACCATTTCCATCACTGCTCAAAAACGGTACTGAGCAGGGCCTCTGGTGCCGAGGATGTGAATTCACCTATAAAACAGGAGTTGCGATAGAAGAGATGGACCCTAGCACGTTATCTGGTTTGGTACCCCAAGGTTGCGATGCTGATCAATTTCTATTAAGAATCCAGTACCGCGCTTGGTCCAAAGCAGACTTTCTCCAGCACGCGAAGCACTGTCATTCCACAGCTGCGGTTATTTCCCAGAAGTGGATAGGCTCGACATAGGAAGGATAGATTAATCAATCAATCAAATGTATTGCATTACTCTCCATGATCGGCAACCCGATTCACGTAACCCGATTCATTTGTAATTCTTTCTTATCGTATGCATGTCAACGTGACGATATTTAATTATCCCTTGTATGCGTGTCGAGGGCTGTTTTGGCGATGAAGAGGATGATCCACGTAGCTTGGTCGTGGATCGCGTCGTTGGGCCTCTCGATGCCAATTTGGAGGTAACAACAGTCGCATTGACGGGATAGAGCGTTGCGTTGAGGCCGTGAGGACGCAATGTCGTTGGGAGAAGTCGTTAGATGTTCTCCGAATGCGGTGGCAGGTATGGATGTAGCGGCCACGTGGCATATTATACCGATTAAACACAATGCCCGGCGTACGTTTATTATACCCTGCACACCTCACCCTCATTCCACGCAGCTCTCTGACTTCTACGCCCGCAAGTCGTATCACCTCTATATTTTTCACAGTTGACAGACACTGCAACGCATTGCAAAGGCATCAGAAAACCCTATGGATTTGTTTTGAGGGCCGATTTCAGCCTGAGGGAGTCAGTAAGGTATACATATACCTAACCAAGTACCCGTCGACATACTTGCATAACTTTCGCCACTGCCTTAGTCTTACGAAAGATGAGCGGACAACTCAGTGGAACGGATAATGGAGATGCTGGCCCACACCTCAGCCATCGAGGAGTATCCGATGTTTCATACGATGTCCAGTCAAATCCCTGCGAGGGGTACAAAGCTAAGTCACCAATGGCGTCCATGTTTGTACCCCGTCGTTTGTTGTAGCTTTATACTGACTGTGGCAGAACCTCCAGAAACTCAAGGTCATCGACTTTCCTAGGAATCCCCGCAGAGCTCCGGAACGAAAATCATGGCCTCGTTCTCGGACAAAAATTCGTGCATGTAGAAACGTATTGCGAGGCATGCTCCGATTCGGAATATAACCGCGGTAACGTTAGATACAAATACTGGCACCATGCGTGGAAGATGAATATGAGGCTAAAGCTCAAGCGGCGTGGATGCGTGACACGACCATGGACAAGGCGTTTTGGATGAATAGCATGAGCGAGACCGATACTAAGATTTTCAAGGACAAGATCCAAAACCCTCAAGTTCGTCACCAGGAGTGTTGGAGAGATGCTTCTAAGGATCTGGGGCTAGATAATCCTCTATTCCATGCATGCCGACAGACCTACGAAGAGACACAGTCGCTGCCATACAAATCCTACACGTTCTCGTTTAGGCTTGCGACGTCGCTGGAAAGGTGGCTCACAGAACTCTCGTCATGGCAGCGAATGGACATCAGGAAACTTCACATGGAATGGGCCGCTGAACACGCAGAGAATTATTCAACGGGGACATATGATTGGGACCGTGTCGGGAGCTCTCAGGTGACGGAGTGTCTCTCCAGATGCACCACTCTTCACTTGTCACTCGAACTTCACGCCTTTTTGCCTGGCACTGTTAGTCCCGAACACTTCGATAACCTTTTCAAACTACGAGCACTGGCTTTGAAAGAAGTCACCATAATTATCAAGCCCATCTTTCGCCCTAAATACTACGCCCTTCGAGATACGCGAGACGGCACTCGCTGGCAGAGTTGTTCTCAGCCTGAATTGATTATGGATCTTTTCTCGAACAGGATGGTCCCAATAAGCAAGTACCAACGACTTGCTCTACTAGACATTGCGCTTCTTGATGAGGACAGAGAGCAACTCATGACACTCCATGATACACAGTTCCTTATCGAAATCGTAAGGGCCTCTGATAATGTAATAGAGCATCTTGGTGTTCAAGGAATGAAAGATCTGGCCACACTCATGTCTAAAAACTTGCTCTCAAACTGGTGATTGAGCTAAACGTTATCGCAGAATTCGATCTAAGACGTCGAAGTAATAGCGGTCGAGTAGTCGATGTTCTTCTAGTCTAGAGAAGGTCATCGCTTAGTAGGAAGTTGAACTTAGTAGGAAGTTGAAGATACAAACAAAGGTGGTAGATGATCATTCCAAGACAAATCGCATCACGATGGAACACCAACCCTCTAAGGAATGAATTCCCATCATCTTACATGAACATGTTCTATACTTACCTCACCTCTACATTTCCATCTACACCTCATGCAATCTCACTCGGTCCCCTCATTTCTTCCCCACGCCCAAGAAATACCCTCTCAATGGTTCTCCTTCCACCTCTCAACCTCTATCCTCTGCTCCCTCTCAATCCTCTCCACCTCCGCCTCCGTGTGCGCAAACTCTTTCCCAGGACACCCACCCTGCCCACACTCTGTAACCTCATACAACCAATCCTTATTCCGACACTGCCTACCCGGCGTATGATACCCATCAAACGTATACCAATCGACATCAATAAAGCTCGTCTCAATCGAGTCATCTGCATAGCACTCAATAACCTGCTTCATGTAATCAAAGCAATGCGGCCAGTGCCCCCTATGCTCAGACACGTCCGTAAACACCGAATACCCGGCCTGCTTCCCTTCCTGAAGCATGCTTATTTTTGCACTGCCACAAACTCAGGTTCGGAAACTAAAACTAGGCGCCAACGAGGTGCTCAACTTATCCTGCATTGCCACAGCTCAATTTTGCTTACTCATGGTTAAAACTGCCAGCATTTTAGGTGTAAAACCGGAACTAGAATTTCACCCGCTCATGTAAGGTCACTTTCTCTTCGTGTGTTTATTATCAAGCGTAGTCTTAAGATCATACCTAGTGTTATTGTTGAGGCCAGAGGTCATAAAGGACTAACAAAGTTCGATTCATAAAGCCCATCGTTTCTGGCGGTAATTGCCTCCACTATCGTAGGGCGTTGTTAGTAAGGGTGACATTCCTAAATGCAGCAAGTGTCACCCTTGCTGAACTTATGGAAGCTATTGCAGCCTTGGCACAAATGTAAACATCCATTTTTAATTGAATTACTCATCCCTAGACCGTTTTCAATCCACTTACGTGCTGTCGAGGTGCATAGAAATGACAACCATCCCCTGCGAAGCTAAACTAAGCCTTTCTCCTAGCGTAATTTACCCAAGGCGTATTCGGTGTCCTTCTTGTACTTAGCGGGCGGCTGCATCTAACGAAAGAGATGGTAGAGCTGGCATAACGGGAATTTAATGCGATTGGCGGCGCCGTTTGCTCTCAGTGGTAGAAAGATTGGCGTGCGACACCCTTTCAGCAAATTCGGGAGATCGAGAGTAGCGCAGTCATGGCACAGAGTGTTGGAAAGTTGAGCGAGGTCTCCTTTGGACGAGGCTGACGAGGCTGGGGCCATTAGATGGTATCGGCATTCGAAGATTGATCGAGCGGATTTGCAACCACGGAGGAAACGCGATCTCGAGGATGTCCAAATAGTCCTAGCTAACGTGTCAAGAGATATAGCGGAGCTCCTTCCACCTCGTTCGGTCGAGTTCTTCTCTCGCAAACGTATGCGACTTGGTGACAGTAGCTCTCTAAAGCAACAAATTCAACGGATAACAGGTGTTCCTGCCTCGGCGCTCAAAGGAGCCCGTTTATCCGAGTTCAGCGTAGAGGAACAATTTTTGTAGATAGAACGCCGCTAGACAAGGGTTGCAGAAGATAAAGTATACTTATTATTAGGTATTTTAGACGTTAAGATCCCCTTTTACTATAGTAAAAGGGTAGTAAATATATCTAAAAGGGTCTAAAAGGTAATTAATAAGTAAGAAAAATATATTAAAGATTTGTATATTACTAATCCCAGCTATAATAAAAAGCGTATTAAAGAAACTAAAGGCGGACCTTTAGAGAACTTATACTACTAGATTTTTAAAAATTTTAACTTCTAAAAATAGCGTAATAACTAGCAGAGCTAACTGCTATAGATTAAAAGCGACCTTAGTAAATACAAAATAATACTGCTCTATAGTATTATTAATAAACTAGAAAAGTTAATAGCTAAGGTAATATAGGTAATTAGGTTATTACGTTTACCCTAGTTATTACGCTGGTTTAAGCTTTTATATATATTCTAAATCTATACACCTGCTAAGCTTTTTCTTAATATTCGGAAGCGTAATAACTAGGGTAAATATAATAACCTAATTACCTATATTAAATCTTCTATTATATTTCTTCTACTAAGCTAATATAAGTAATAGGGTTATTATAGTAAAGGTAGTTATTACGGTTTTTAGCGCCGGAGTGCGGGCTAATACCTCCGGACCTAGAATTTATATAAAAGTAGTATTATATACTATAACCACGCCGCCTTATATATACTGCCGCTAATTCTAAATAATTTAAAACTAACTACTACTATACCTTACTAGCCTTAGGCGCCTGGCTATAAAAACCGTATACTATAAGCTATTACTACCTAGAATAGAAAGCTATATAGATTATATAAAAACTAACGTATTCTACTACTAAGCCGGCTACTTTTCCTTAGTATAACCAACACTATATGCGCGCAGTTAATTTATTCGCAACCAGCTATAGAACTTATATACAATATACTTAGATTAGATTTAGAAAAAGCTTTTTAATCCTTTTTACACGTACGCGTATTATGCCCAGCCTCTCTATAGTTTCTACAGCGCTATTAAGCTAGTAGAGCCCTATTTACACTATTTCTACTACCTATTTTTTTCCGTGGATTAAATGCTCTAGATACTTTAGCAGCTATATATAATACTGCTGTACTATACTCTATTATACTGCTAGTCTAGATTTACTTTCTTTTATAACCTTTATACTTAGTTATTTCTACTAGTTGCTCTTTAAGCTCTTTAACCTGGGCTTTAATAAGTATATTTTTATATAGCATTTCTTCGGCTCCTTTAATAAGCTTTAAGAAGCCTTTTTAGGCGGTTATTAGTAACTATATAAAGGAATTACTTACTAGCCTTAACTATAATCTAAATTTATATATATTACTTAGGGTTTTTAATTACTATAGTATTTCTAGTAGAGGTGCTAGTAGTAGGGTTTATAACTATATATTAAGGCGATTAAGAACTACCTGCGCGTTAATAGGAACTAATCTAGAGGCCTTAAAGGCCTTCTTGCAGTTTTTATATATAAATATATTAAAAAACGCGTCTTTAAAGGCTAGTAGGAAGCCTTTTTTATTAATATAGTAGATGCGTCGGCGTGCTAAGTCTTATATATATTAAAAGTACTTTAGCTTTAATAGTAAGAAATATACTATATTAAGTGGCTAAAGTATATATAATAAATATGCAGGTATATAAAGGGTAAGAATTTATTATTTAATATAATAATCCTTAAAATCTTAGTTAAGGTGGCTCTTATAGCCGTCCAAAATTAGTAACCTATATAACCCTACCTAACGCGCCTTTATATATATATTAAAGTGCTTTAACTACTTAAAACTAAGCTTATTATTAGTCCAGCCGTTTTTAGAAATAGAGAGCTTCTAATTATATAGTATTTCTGCTTTCTTATACTATATAAAGATATAAACGCGTTTTTTATAGATAATAAATAGTAGGGTTATATATCCGGCAGCGCAGATGCTCTAGATAACTATAACCTATTCTTAGTTACCTAGTTAAATAAAATTAGGCTTTATATATCTTTCTAAACCTATAATAACCTTTATTATACTAATTATACCTATTTAAAAGCTAGTTTTATTAAAGTTATAGATATTATCTAGGTGGACGCTATACTTAGCTATAGTTTCTTATATAAAAGTAAACTATATATTAATAACCTCTAGGTCTTCCTAAAGTATTCTCTAGCAGTTCTTTACCTAATTAAAAGCTATTTTAAGCTTCTTTATATAAGATATAAACTATTAAGTCTAGTTTTTACCTACTAGTATTCTACTATACGCAGCTAGTACTTTATCTACTATATCTGCCACCTTATATAACCGGGGTGCAAATCTTTATAAGTTTAGGTTAAGGATATATTATATAATTGTGTGCTCTTTAGTTATAGTAAGCTTTAGGCAGTTTAGTTATAATTAAGGTTAAAATATAATTCTATAGAGCTAATTAGAAAGCCGCTAATATTATATATTAAAGGCTGCTGCAGCGCGTTATATAGTCCTAAATTAACTAGAGGTAAAGGCTTAAAGCGCGAGATTAATACTGCCTTTTTACTAAAATAGATAATTGCTGTGTTGTTAATATATTACTATATAAATATAGTATTAGTTATACTAAGGAAAAGTAGCCGGCTTAGTAGTTTGGCCGGCTTAGTAATAGAATACGTTATATAAGATTTTATAATATTAATCTACTACTAATTTAGTAAGAAAAATATAATATAGTTATTCTAATAAGCTATTAGAAATTAAAGCTAAAGGGAGTTCTAATAGGCTTTCTAAGGCACTTAAAGTAATTATACGCAATTATAAAGCCCTTTAGGCAGCGGTAGTAGTATTATAGTAGGTTAAATCTTTCCTATAACTTTTAACCTTAGATTATAATATATTCCACTACTAAGCCGGCTAAACCACCGAGCCGGCCACTTTTCCTTGGTATAACCAACACTATATTTACACAGCAATGCATTAACAACGCAGCGATTATCTATTTTAGCAAGAAGGCAGTATTAATCTCGCGCTTTAAGCCTTTACCTCTGGTTAATTTAGGACTATACAACGCGCTGTAGCAGCCTTTAATATACGACATCAGCGGCTCTCTAATCGGCTCCACGGAATCACGTTTCAACCTTAATCACGACCAAACTGCCTAAAGCTCACTGCGACCGAAGAGCATACAATTATATAATATATCCTTAACCTAGACTTGTAAGGATTTGCGCCCCGGTTGTGTAAGGTGGCAGATATAGCAGATAAAGTACTAGCTGCGCGTGGTGGGATACTAGTAGGCAAGAACTAGACTTAACAGTTTATATCTTATATAAAGGAGCTTAAAATAGCTTTTAATTAGGTAAAAAACTGCTAGAGAATACTTTAGGAAGACCTAGAGGTTATTAATATATAGTTTACTCTTATGTAAGAAACTATAGCTAAGTATAGCATCTACCTAGATAATATCTATAACTTTAACAAGACTGGCTTTTAAATAGGTATAATTAGTATAATAAAGGTTATTACAGGTTTAGAGAAATATATAAGGCCTAATTTTATTTAACTAGGCAACTAAGAGTAGGTTATAGTTATCTAGAGCATCTGCGCTGCCGGATATATAACCCTACTATTTATTATCTATAAAGAACGCGTTTATATCTCTATATAGTATAAGGAAGCAGAAATACTATATAATTAGAAGCTCTCTATTTCTAAGAACGGCTAGACTAATAATAAGCTTAGTTTTAAGTAGTTAAAGCACTTTAATATATATATAAAGGCGCGTTAGGTAGGGTTATATAGGTTGCTAATTTTAGACGGCTATAAAAGCCACCTTAACTAAGATTTTAAGGATTATTATATTAAATAATAAATTTTTACCCTCTATATACCTGCGTATTTATTATATATACTTTAGCTACTTAATATAGTATGCTTCTCGCTATTAAAGCTAAAGTACTCTTAACG